TTGTTGGACAATCCTGGGCCATATGTCCGGTCTTTCCGCATTCGAAATACTCTCCTTTTTCTCTTCGTTTCTCCTTAGTGAACTGCTTCGCGTTTTTCTGAAACTTAGACTTCTTCACCCCTAATGGTCCAGGTCCATTGTCTTGCCGTTCCCTTCGAGGTGGTGGCGAGGATTTGGTTCCACAGGCATTGGTTTCGTGTAGAATCATATTCTTCTGTTCAGCTTTCTTAATGATATCATGGATATCATCATCATCTTCTTCCATTGGTTCCACTTCTCTGCGGCGTAGGGGGTGCATAGCATCATAGAACTGGCGCTTCTGCATGTAGGCCGATACTGCTCTACGGGGTATGCGTTTTGCATAGAGTAGGAGGTCTGTTGCTATCTTGGTTATTTGTTCTGTTTTTCCGCCATGGGTCTGGCTGATGCTGTTAAAAGCTTTGAATATCTCTTCTCTATTGCGGGACGACTGGAATCGCTCCTTCAGGGCTTCTAGTACCCTTGTTGCTCTGGCTCCTTCGCCATATGCGTCCATGCATTGCTGGTAAGCATCGAGGGCTCCGCCTTCACAGAAGGCTCTGATGTACATTCCCGTGTTGTGTTCCTCAATGTTGATACCATGCAATCTTAGGTACTGGTGCACTGCTGTTTCCCATCGCTGGAAAGCTTCAGGCTTCAAATCCTCACCTTTTCCTGAGAAATTCGCAGGCAGAGGGAGCTTGATCTCGAGAGGATTGGCTGGTATGCCACCGGGTCCATGTGCTCCTGTGGGCGGGTCTGGTGGTCCCAGGGGACCTCCAGGTGGTTCTCTCACCGAGCTTGCCATACTGTCTTCTCCGTCGCTACTGTTGCTGCTACCGTTGTCTTCTGGGCCCGGTGCCGCACCTGTGCCTTCTGTTGGTGGTCTTGATGAACTTCTGCTAGTTCCAGCTTGTTTTCCCTTTCCGGGGGTCGCTGGAAAGCCTCCGGGCGTGGATAGGCTTTGTTGGCTGAACTCTTCCTTGGATCCTTTGAAATCCTGAGCTGCCTGATCTCTTGCTAGCTATCTTCCTAGATCGTTGATTGCGAATCTGTCTTTTGGGCCTGTCACTTAGCCTGATCTCTTAGGCTTCGTTAGCCCTTCTCTGGAGACCTGTTTCCCACTGCGCGTTGTGAGAGGGTCTATGGTGTAGGTGGGGTAGGCGGGCCACTGCTGGGCTCCTCCGCCTTCGTGCTAGCTTTGCTGGGTTGTGCCTGTCGATTTGTGATCTTGCACACAAGTTTCTAACCACTTGCTGAGGTTAAAAAAATGTAATGTGTTCGCACTGGGGTGCTAGTCACGCTTCCGGGTACAATAGGAGTAGCGCCCAAGTTGATCTACAACCTATGGGCGTACTGCGCTAAGGGAGGCTCTGAGAGAAAGATATAAAGAATAGGGACTTGAAGAGGTAACCATTCAACCAAGTATATTAGAAATACTCTGTCCGTCGAAGTCTGCTGTTCCTCTAAGGGATTCAGCAGTCTTTAAATACAAGCTTCGTCCATGTCCTGCATGCACGGATTTCCAAATCATCCATAAACAAACCATAAAACAAACTGAGTATTAGAGGATACTCGAAACCACAAATAAAACAAACTAAGTATCAAAGGATACTCGAAACCACAAGTAAAACAAACTAAGTATCAAAGGATACTCGAAACCACAAGTAAAACAAACTAAGTATCAAAGGATACTTGAAACCACAAGTAAAACAAACTAAGTATCAAAGGATACTCGAAACCACAAGTAAAACAAAACATAAAACAAATCCCTGAACCGAACGGACTGAACTCCAGTTCCGGTTACAGCGCCCATCCGAGTTACATGATCTTATCACCATATAGGGAAGGCCAGATGCACAAAATTTTACAATACTAGATATCGGGACAATCATAGGACTGGCACACCTGATCCCGGAAGGTGACAGGTGATGGCCTGTCAATCGTAGGATTGACTTGAGGATGTTCAATGAGGTTTATTGAGTAGCTGTGTAGGAATTGGCATTCGGGGAAGCACTACACAGATGCTGGATTGTCCACGGAGGCAATCCCGAATGCCTGAGTCACCACAGCCCAAGGGCAGGAAATCAATGGATCTAGACTTAGGGAATAGTCCTCCAGGTATTTGGAACTGGTCGGTAGGTAACCTGAAGTCTGGCTAAGACGACACCAACATATCATCTTAGCCCGGACATCACAACTTGAACAATGTATTTCCATAGATACTAGTAGCTAGCTGGATTTAAGAATAATAAAAGCCTTAAAGGCCTAACTGAAAGCAAGGGTAGAGATCAAGAGCACAGCATGGTGGAAAAGTGCTAACTCCGAGATCAATACTCAGAAGCTGGCAGGTATTCATCTAAGTCTCGAGGCATCACGATAGTGGTATAACCAGGCTAGAAATGAAGCAAAGGAAGCCTGGAAGCAGGACAGTAACTAGACATCACGAAATCAGAAGTGATAAACCAGATGTGCGATACCAGTATGGGGCGCTAGGTGGGCAGCCACCAAACGTGAGAGGATGGGGAGCCTGAAGGCAGGATGTACCGAACAGGCATGCTAGAGAATAAAATCTCTGGAGGAAGAAGGAAACTGTGAGAGTGCTTAAGAAGTGGTCTGGATGACCAGGGAAGAGGGGGGAGAGTGCGCCGGATGCATGGAGGTGTGACAATAAGATTCCCAATGCAATGGATTATGGTAGGGTGACAATGTGGATTTGGATACATGGGATGCATCTGGGCCTTGCAATGCCAACCCAGACGCAGGGAACCTGGCTGGTCACTGCATGGGAGGACAGGATGCAGGGAATGCAGCTGGGTATTGTGTGGGAGGACAGGACGTAGGGGACACAATGGACAGAGACAAAAGGTGGCACGGGTCCAGATGCAGTGCCCGGGCGTCCTACACAGGCTTTTTTTTTTTGCTGATCTCCTCCTGCATTCCAAACAAACCAAGAAAATACAAAAAGTTCTTGATAGGTCAAAAATCAACAGGTATGATAGTATTCATATCAAATACCTTCTCAGAATAAGATACGAATTGTTGAATTATGAATGGAGTGGGAAGGGAATAAGGAGACAAGAAGAGAATTAGTAGTACATAAAAAAAATAATTTAATATATTCCACTTAGTGGATAGGATGGGAAAAATTTAACTTGGTGAGTGGGTTATCCTTCAAGGCAAGTTCTCTGCTTTGCCAAGGGGATATCCTCTTGGTGGATAGGATATCCCCTTGGTGAAGTAAAATCCTTTGTCAATGGGATAGAACATATATATAAGTTACAATCACTTATACATCTGGTCATATATGAAGGACATATGTTTCCTCAGATACTAGTACGTGGCTGTGCATGTAACCAGACCTGGGTAATATACATATATAAAAGAAGTTTATTTTCTGTTATCTCTTAGCTTGATAGTGCAAATAGGAAATTCTCTCTTACGGTCTAAAACTATATTGTATTCAACTCCCACTGCTAGCTTAATACCTTAAGACAAGTAATAGAGTTACTAATATTTTCATACCGAAGGAAACGAGGTACATTAACTTTGCGATCTGTTTTATTTAGGATACTGCTGCTCCATCTTTTGCAATTATAATATGGTGTAGTGACGTGGAACTTGCAGGACGGGATGACCGTTTTGCGCAGGTCTGACCGCCGCTTCCCTGGGTGGTTGTTTTAGGGGGCCCGAGACACCCGTGGCACCCCAGAGTACACTCCATGTACAGGTATCATAGTAGCAGCAGCTCTGTCAATGATTTGTGATGCAGAAAAAGGGAGGGAGAAGAAGTGGGCACCTGATATATACAGCAAACACCCCCATCCGCACACCCCTGAGCTAGACTTGGCTGTGAAGAGAAAGAGATATAATAGAGAATCACCAAGCCAGCAACCAAACAAGCCAAATAACTCAACCCACCTTACAAGCACCTTCCCTACCGCAGTGCATGTAACATAGTAACCGTTCCCACATCGTCACAATCTCAACCATAGCATGGTGCCATACCTTCAACCCTTGTCCACACTTCCACAAACCATAAACCCCAAACCCCACATCACGCTATCATATCCGTGGTATGATAACATAAATCCAAGACAACCCTAATGACGACAATTCACTGCTGAGTACCGCCAACACTGTATCATACCAGCAGTAAATCATACCATAACCCCACAGGTTAAAAGATCATAATCGTGGCATTATGAGGGTATGTAGACGCATGGGCTCGGCCCGAAATACTGGTACGTATGGTAAGCACGTATACCGCGATGGATGCCGTGTGCAACCCCCTCCTCTCTCTCTCTTCCCCTCTCTCCCTCCTGGCCCCTTTGTTTTAGTCTAGCCGGCAGAACGCAGGCAACCGCCGGCGCCGGTAGAACGTCTTTTTTATATATATATATATTTTTAGGGTTATAGTGGAACCATTGGGTTCGATGTTTGCGTGTGTGGTATGATAGAGTATACGATTCCCTTGTATCGCTTCTGGTGCCGATCCAGCAGTGGGTACATCCCAGCAGTAGGCACCGTGCCGAGTAGTAGTGTATCGGTTGCGGGTATAGTACCGGTATATGTTCTGATGTATCAGCGTGGCGGGATGCGTGTGGACTTCTGGCTGCTCGTTGTCGGTAGAGCACCGGTACGGCGGGTATGGTGCCGCTTTGGTACTGTAAAAAAAATCCGAAAAATCCAAAAATGTGGAATTGAATTCAGGGGGTTCCCAGGGTCTAATTAGAGCGTTTCGTGGCCCGGGCCAATTGAGCAACTGTTCTTCTGATCACCGTCTTCCCGTATTTTTTTTTTACGGCGGGCTGTACCAAACTACATTTTGAGAGCGGTAATAATACTGTATCCAAAAACCCGGAGGTAAGGGTGCTGTGAAATCTTGCACTACCAGAACGCTCAGAGGTGCTTGGTCACGGCGAGTCACGGCCAGAGTATGCGGCTGTGGGCGGTCGGCCTCACATTGTTGCGAGGACGGCGATCAATAAAATTGTCTCAAAGAGCACCTCTCGTGCAATTACGGTCCAGGGCTATATTACAGTAAATCAGCCTGGTCGTGTTGCTTATGCGCGAGATTTTACTGTACGACAAAACAACCTGAGAGTCATGAGAAATGAAACAGCAAAAGCGCCCAACTGCAATTTTCTTTCTTTTTTATTTATTTATCGTACATGTACTGTACAGCACAATCTGACCCAGGCTGCAGAGGCCTGTGTACGAGTAGCGAAAGATCCACATCCACCCAAGCTTGCTGTTTCCGTGATGCTACTGCATCAATCTCCGCCCTACCGTAGCTCAAAACCTAGAATCTAACTCTAACCTACAGTAGAAACCCCAAGGAAGGGGGGGGAAATGGTAAGACTAGTTAAAAGAATACGAGGGCTAGAAGGGAAAAGTGAGAATAGGAAAAAAACCCCAAATAGCAATGTTCCCTCCAGGCCTAGATTCGATGGAAAAAGAGTAATAACAGCAAAAAGAAAATTTTGGAAAATAATGTTAGGGACCTAGAAAGCCTTAGGGTTAGTAATGTAAGTACGGAGGTCAAAATTCAAACAGCCAAACTCATTTCCGTCTCTCTGCTAACGTCCACATAATCGCCAAAGTTGTGAATGGAGACATCCATCCTGTCCCTCACTTGCTCACCATCTCCATTAACAAGGGTAACCCCGTTGAGGACATCAGCAACATTCTCCTTGTTTGCAATACCGGAGGCTACTGCTTTGATAGCGGCAGCTTTCCTCTTGAGCCGAGAACTCTCCCCGCGAATACCCTCAAGTCTCTTGAAATAGTTAGGGTCAACGGGTGTGACATATTCACCACTAAAGACTCCAACCTCGAAGTTCTTTATAGCCGCAGACAAGGAAGCACAAGACTTGATGAGGTCGGGAAGAGTTTGGTAAATGACAGCATCGGCGCCGATATGCCTAGCAATCTCTTGCTCGGTGCGGTTGAAAGCAACCAGTTCTTTGGTGTCTGCAAGGTCAATACCATAAATGTGGGCATTTCTACGAGACCGTCAGCCATGGAATTGCATCGCCATAACCTGTATATAAATGTAGCGTGATGCTTACCGAATGGGGGGCGCACAACTGGCGAAAAAAACTTTCTTCGCCTGAGCATCCCTCGCCATATTGACAATCTCCCGACTAGTAGTGCCTCGAACAATGCTGTCGTCAACAAGGAGTACATTTTTGTCCTTGAACTCCTCTTTCATGGCATTTAGCTTTCTGCGGACCGATTTTTGCCTCTCCTTTTGTCCCGGCATAATGAAGGTTCTTCCAACATAACGATTCTTAACAAATGCTTGACAGAAGGGAATCTGAAGCTTTTGTGCAAGGCTAAGTGCGGATACCTCCGAGGTCGTAGGAATAGGGATGACTAAATCAATTGTCTTGACGACATCCTCGCCGAGGCTTTTCAGGACAGTATTTGCCAGAAGCAATCCCATGTTTTGCCGGGAGCGGTAAACTGACATTCCGTCGATTATGGAGTCTGGACGAGCAAAGTACACATACTCGAATATGTCAGGTGCATGATTTAGGATCGGGTTGACCTGTCTAAAAAGGGGCTTGCATCCTTTTTTAATGATGACAGCCTCGCCTAGAAAAGCGACTATGTTAGTGCTGGCCTATATATCTCTGAAGTTGGTGGCCTCACCAGGAGCGATGTTAACATGATTTGTAAAGTCCAGTTGGTCAAGGGCTACACTTTCACTGGAGAACATATAGTCCATGCCACCATTGGCACCTTCCCTCTCTCCCAAAACAAGTGGTCTGATGCCGTAAGAATCTCGGAACCCTATAATACCAAATCCTGCGAGACTTGTTAGCTATACGGGAATACTTTGAAAGCTTTTATCATTCTCACCAGCAAGCATGGCAACACATGCGTAACCGCCTTGGCATCTTCGATAGATTCCTTTCAAAGCGGTAAAGAGATCTTCCTCATTAACACGGAATTTTCCCGTCTCTTGAAGAGTGCTTGCGAAAATGTTCAACAACAATTCACTGTCTGAGTCTGTGTTTATATGTCTGTGCGCTTCGTGATCGAGATGATTGCGCAGTTCCGGTGAATTAATAATGTTGCCATTCTGTCAGGGATGTTAGCTGCTACCTCCCCTTCAAGAATGAGTAATAGCTGGGATAAGTAATCTACTTACATGGGCGAAACAAATTCCATATGGCGAATTCACGTAAAAAGGTTGCGCCTCTGCGTTTGCAGAGGACCCGGCAGTGGGATAACGTACTATTGAGTCATTAGAACTGATTTACGCACGGCCGATCGATTGTAGCGAATGGCGTCTCTACCCAGATGTGAAAGAAAAAGCAAGACGTGGGGGTAGGGAGATAACTGTGAAGGGAAAACTTATCTGCGAATGACTGGATATGGAGAAACCTACAATGACCAAGTCCCATACTTCCTGGCAAATCCATAAGCTGCTCAGGTGTTCTAAAGACCTCCGAGCAAAGGCCGTTACCCTTGCGGGTATAAATTCTTCCGCCCTGACCACATGTAGCTATTCCGCAAGCATCTTGTCCTCTATGTTGTAAAACCGGGAGTCCGTTATGAATATCAGTTACGGCAGAACCACTAGGATCCGCAAGAATGACAGCAATAATTCCGCACATTGTTGAAACTATCAATTGCGTCAGTGAAAGACCATGAGACGGTAAAAAGGGTAGCACCTTTAAACAGGAAAGCCCAGTGAAGTTAAGGAGGAGGGAAACGGCTTCTGCAATTTGGAAATTGAGGTGGCTCCGCGGCCAGCTGAGAGAGGACAGATTTGGGACCTAGCTTTGGGTGCGGCTCTGCGAAGGTGGTTGACAGACTTGGTGCGGACGAGATGAAAGTTTGTGGGAGGTTTCTAGCACTAAATAAGGCCCCACACGAAGAAATGCCAAAACAGGTGCCCTGCAACCTGTAAGGCAATTGAACGACGGTATACCTCGAATAACTTACTGTAGAAAACCGGTGCCCTCGGGGAGTGGGGAGGCAGAAGCAGGAAGACCTTTGGGGATGTTGACCGGGCAAACCTTTTAAAGTGTACAGCACCGGAATCCGGGGAGAGGCGGGAATACAAGGGTACAGGGAACGGAAAAGTCAGGAAGAGGAAGTTCGACCGCGGCCGGGCGAACCAGGACTATTTGCCGGAGCCCAAACTTTCAAGCAAAGCTGTAGAGAAGGATGGCAATTGAGGGATTGGGGGCGGGGGGGACGGGCAGCAGTGTGATATACTGGACTTTTGTGGAGGAGAGAATGGAATGCGAATACGGTATTTGCAAATACCTTCTTGGTAGGGAAGGAATATCTGGAAGGACAAAGTTCAAACCAGGCTAGCGATACTCAAAGCGATACCTGAAGGAGGAAGGCGAGGCCAATTTTGGTAAGAGCTCGAAGAGTAACGGGGACACTGATGGCGAGAGGGGAGGGGAACAACGAAGTAAGGTAGATGACAAGAACGAGGGGGAACAGAGTGAATAGTCTCACGGTGAAGATCTGTCTCTTCCTTTTTTTTTTTCTTTTCACACTTTTCTTTCTCCCTTCACCAGTTGGCCTTGGATTATTATTATTATTGTTGTTATCGTTATTATTATTATTATTATTACTATCATAATCGTCATCATCATTATTTTCAAATGGGAATGCATCCACCTTCTTCAATAATGTGGTACAGGGCTATCACATAAAAATTCCTCTCGTCCGATTACGGGTACTGTATCATGCTGTACTGGTACATCCAGAAAGAGTATGAGAATGCATTAACGGGGGTCCGCAGGAGCATTGGAGGAAAAAATATTTGTATGGTGTGTGAAAAAAAAAAAAGGGATAATCCTCTTGTCCCCACCGGGGGCGCCTGTGACAAAACCGAGCTCGACAAAACCCTTGCCCACAAGTTGGCCTGAGCACGCCAAGGCATCCTCCTATTGCCGATTGGTCTCCAGTCTTGCACCAAGCCAAGCCATTGGACCCTGGAGAGTGATAAATACCTGTACCGGTATGGGGGAACTAGTTGGAAACTGGTTGGAAAGCCCTTGATCTCCGGGAAAATAAAACGTGGTAATCCACAGAGCCTCATACAAAAACGTATGTAACATCCCAGCCTCATCTCATCACTCTCATTGTCTCAGCTCGTCTTACCCCACCTCTTATTGACCCGTCCCATATCACCCTCCTATGCGTACATACAGTACAATTGTCACGGCTGCAATCACCACAATACCATCCCATCGCCCTCATCATACCTATCGTGGTCACTATTCTCTTCTCACGAGTCCTCCAGGGTTTCTATCTCCTATTGGTTCCTGTTGGCTACAAACTTTTAAGTCCTAGTGTACCCTACCTGCTACAGCATTCATTTATTGGGCTCCTGGAGGGTGGATTGGGCTTCACGCCCTTCTTTGTTTCTCAGTCTTTGTTTGTTCGGTACAACTGGGAAGATGGCTCTTACCTGAATGTTGCTGCCCGGTGCCAATGAACGGTGAACAGGAGAGACTCTCATACCCAGTGTTTCCCGGTTGGATATCTGGGTCTGTGCACCATGGCTTTGGAACTGGGTGAATGCGGCATGGCTACGGCTGCGGGTCTCCCCCATCTCGGTGAGGCTCTTGCGTGGATATTGTTTCTCACGCCGCTGTTGTCTGAATAATACCTTGGCTTTCCTTTCCGGTTTGTTTTCTATTTGCTTTCACGATCTCCTCCGAGCCTTTTATGTGATATCTGCCTGTGTCACCCTCACTTCCTTCTGGGTTCACCGTTCTTCCGCCTTCCACCTCATCACTGCCCAGTTCTCTGGCTCATTTGTGGCCCGCTGTCATTCCGAGGGTTGGAGATTCCGGGTTTCTCATCTTACGGGATCAATTATACAGCCCTGCCGACCTGATTCCGAGTATCCCTTACGCTCTTCAAGTTGAGGATTGAAAATCGTCGGGCAAGGGTTGCACCCTTTGTCAAACAGTGCTCTGAAGGTTTCCGCTATTCTTTTCTCAGAGAAACACCACAATCGACGGATCATTGATTCGAGCATCCTACTGAACCAGGGCTCCTTCTCGCTACCCAGAAATACCGGAACCTCCTTGGGCAGGAGTCTGCTAACGAGCCAGTATCTTTACCCTCTGCGCCGTGAATAGTTGCCGCATTTTGTCAGCACCATCTCAAAATCACTTTGCTTACCACTGCCATGGAATTCTGTCGAACCCTTCCCCCAATTTTTGAGCACATGGGAGGTTACGAGCACCCCACTGTTATTGAAGTTCAGGATCATGGTATTGTTCTCTAGGCCTCGGGGCTGTCAGTGGTTTATCCTAGTGATTTTGAATATTCATATAAATTCTTTAGATCAATACCTCCCAAAGAAACCGGCTATCGGTTATTCCAAGCAACTAGTTGATCTTACAGCCGATATGATGCTTACTAATAGAGGTGGTTGGCTATCTATTCAAATTGAACCTTTGACATGTACTTTGAAATTGACGATGGGCACTTGAAACTATAGGCAATCACACACCCTTATCTAACGCTGCCTTCGATTGGAGACTTCCTCGTGCCGAGCCTAATGGATCTATTAGGGAAGCCCCCCGAACTCCTCAAACTCCTAAAACACCAAAGCCTCACGAAAATTCTAGATACCCCGGGTCCGGGCACACCGGGGAATGCAAAATCTCAGGGATTACCGGCACCGATTTCCATGGTCCCAGCGCTCCACAGAGACCTACTCAGGTGCACGAGTTGGACCTTGAATTGATTGAGTATCATAAGATGAGACTCCGCAAGCGGAAGACTGTTGAACTTTTCGATGGGTCCTTTATCCGCATTGTCTCAATCAAGAATAAACTTACAGAAGATGGGAGTAGTGAGATATTTCTTCAAGGGCCACAGTTCCTCAGAAGCAGAAATTTGTTAGGGTTTTTGCCATTGAAGAAGAACGAAGTTGCCATGTCTTCGCTATCGTTATCCGTCCCCCTTTCGAAGGTCTTAAAAACAAGGATTTTGATTCTTACAAACGCCAATTTTCCAGAGTTCCGGGATATCACCGGGGTGGGTGATGCTGATGAGAGGGAAGGTAGACTAATTTGTCGGTGGGCAATAAACCTCGTCAGCAAGGCAGAAGGCTATCTATGGCGTCTCAAGGAAGACGAAGCAGACAAAGAATTTCGAGTTGCAGAAAGGGGCTTGCGAGATCAATGGAGAGGGGGTCTCATGAGAGCTAAAACCACGAATTCGAACCATCTAAACCACGCAAAGAAACGCCATAAACGCCAACGGGATGGGACTCTCAAACAGATACGCCTCAATAGTGGCGGGGACTATGGCGAGCCAAAAGGAACATATTCTCATCTCACAGGAAACCCCTTTACCAAAGATGGATGTATGCAAAGAACCACAGGCTCCGCATTTGCTAAGTGTCATGCGCAAGTACCTGAGAAGGAAACCCGATTCCCCAATACACAACCAGCCCCTTGTGCTCCTCCATCGCCTCCAACTTCGAGATGGGATCCTGATCCTGAACTCATGGACATATCTCCTCCTCCTCCCCTTAAGTCCTTCGACGAATTGTTTCCCGACCAATTGGCTTTTGGAGGCTTCTCGACCAAATTCGGGCTCCAGTCGCCCCCTAGAACGCCATTCTCGAAAACTGGGACTGGGCTTCGGGTAAACATTGACCCTTCGGTGGTATATCTGTGGAATATTTCTAATGAGACCCAGGTTAACGGCTCTCATATCTATAACAAAAATGCCCCTGCCTTCCCAGGCTCCAATACAAGACTCTCTACGTTAAGTCGCCCCGAGCGGCTTACGAATAACCCCCCAGCTAGAGCCAATCCACTCGGTAGCCCGATGCAACGGGAGGCTCCTCTCAGAGGGGGCGGCCTAAGAAAGGTTACTACTCTTGACGATGTCGGGTCAGAAGGTTATAACCCTATAACTAGCATTCCTCTTCGCCAGCCCGTCTTCAACTCTCCTTGCGAAACTGCTTACACATTTGGCGATGCGTTTTGTGGCGGAGGCGGGATGTCTAGTGGTGCCCGTGCAGCGGGGTTCAGGAATGCGTGGAGCTTTGACTCTAATTATGAAGCCGTGTCAACCTATCGCCGGAACTTCCCTCAGTGCACAACTTATCACTCGACAGTTAATGATTTTCTCACGCTTCGTCATCCGGAGCTTCTGGTTGATGTCGTGCATCTTTCCCCTCCATGCCAACCTCACTCACCTGCTCACACGATTGCTGGGAAGGATGACGATAACAACGAAGCATCCTTATTCTGTGTCCGGCAGTGTCTGCAGGCTTGCAGACCGAGAATGGTTACGCTTGAACAGACCGACGGGCTCTTGAATAGACCTGAATGGTTCCGGAGCTTGGTCATGATGTTCACAGATCTCGGCTTCTCCCTCAGTTGGAAGGTTTTACATGGAGTGGAGTATGGGGTACCACAAACACGAAAAAGATTGTTTCTTCTAGCAGCGAGGTGAGTGCCCGATCTGCGTCTGGATTAGTGGGCTCTGCTGACCCATCTAGTCCCGGAGAAGCGTTGCCCGAATTTCCAAAGCCAACCCACGCCCACCCAAAAGCTGCGAACACAGAGGGTCGTGCCCCTCCACGCACAGTGCGTGATGCCATATCCGGCATACCGGCAACTGCCACCTGTCATGTCCATAACTTTAGCCCATTCCCCGATGGACCCCGACTGTCGACAGTAAACCTCGATTTACCACTCATGTCTACAATCCTTGCTAGTGGTGGCCCTTACGACGTTCACCCAAATGGTCGAAGACCCTTCACCCCGAGAGAGCTCGCGTGTCTCCAAACGTTTCCTATCTCCCATGTCTTTTATGGCAGTCCGTTCCAGAAGAAGAAGCAGATTGGAAATGCTGTCCCGCCTGTTCTTGCAGAGGCACTGCTAAGGGAGGTGCGCAAGGCTCTCGAGAGAGCGGATCGGTCGAGGAAGAAGAAATCTGGCCAAGATCCGTCTTGGGTTCCAGGAGGCAGCCGGGGAAGATTGGCACGTAACCCTATATGCATCGCGGATTGAGCTGTGATAAGGGGTGTGTGTGCACTCCATTAATCGATTTTATGAAATCTTTTTTTTTCCTCCTTTTTTTTTCCCTTATCGCGGGGGCATTTTGGTCGCGTTCGGGCTGGGAGTCGAGTGGGGTGTTTTCGTTCTTCTCAATATTTTTACCCAACTTTTGTTATGTACACCAGCACTCTTGGAGAGGAGTATTAGCTATTTTATATTATGTCTGGGCTATGCACGGGACGGAGTATGGCAATCAGGGGGGGATTTTGATGTCTTTTTTCCCTCCCCTCCCTCCATTTACCATAGACACAATGCAATTTTTTACTCTTTTCAACCCAACATGGATGGGATTAATCAGCCGACAAAGGCTTTATCCCGCAGATCGTATCATTCCATAGCATTTTCGCACATCAAGCCAATATATGTATAACATGGTGAAAAGCCGAGTCCATTCAGGGAGAGAGGTGGAGAAAGAAGCACAAGGTATCAACATCAACCAATGGACAACCCCAACTCCAGAAGCATGAAAACGGCAACAGTAACAATAAAAGAAAGCACTGCGAAAGGAAAAGAATCATGCATCACATCCCACCCATGATTCGCTCCCATCTCAGTTCGGGCTGCCCGCGGGGCTACGCGACATGAGTCCTGCGACTCCTAACCCACCTCCTCCTCCCGGCCCCTCCAGTACGCCGGCAAGTCAAGCAGGAAATGATAATGTCAAAAACACTACAGACCCAACCCATCAGCATACACTTTTCTGTTCTTTTCCGTCTTTTTTCTTTTCCCTTCTTCGGAAGAGGAGGGGGATAACCTACTTTGCAACGCCGTTAATGATAGCTTTCAAGATACCAGCGATACCATTCACGATGGCCATGCAGGTATTCCCGATCGCGCGAAAGACAGACCTGATCTGTTGGCTGTTAGCTATTGGAGTAGCATCATAGGAGGCGGGAGGGGTACGCAGGAAACTAGGCCGCCCATTTTTTTCTTTTTTCTCTCTCTAGTAAGGTGCGAGTAGTAGAGAAGGTAGGTAGACTAAGTTTTCTGCTTGTAGAGTGGAGGTGGAGAGAGGTATGATACTCGAGTAGAGGTAAAAAAAAGTAGCTCAAGTTGGTGGATAGGGTTAGTATTTCTGGACCTGGGTGGGTGGTGGCTGTATAATACTATGACAGTAGTCGATATTCGACAGAGAATGGGGGAAAAGTGTTAGGATATGATAATACTAAGATTGAGAAAGCTACGGCAAGTCGCGTCCAGGCCGGGATTTATATACGGTAAAGTTACCCTTCTTCCTCTTCTTCTTCTTCCCCTTGCGACATATGATACGAGATGCGAATCTTTTACCCGTATGGTACAAGTAAGGTATCATACGTAAGTTACCGTAGGCCTTGTATCATACTCTACCTACAGGTACTGTGCTATGCCGATATCGTGTACTAGTGCAGTATCTTGATACACGAAACCTGCTGTCTATCTATCTGTCTATACGAGTACAGTACGCCGCCAGTAACTTATCAAGTTTATCGGTATGTACATGGACTACACGCGTAACCATAGTCTACTCAAGTAATCATACGGTATTCGTACAGTACATCATCATGACCCATCATCATCACTGGGTAACTTAAGTTAACGCACAGAAGCGTTTTTTCTCGGAAAAATACTGTATGATACCTGACGTCAATGATGATGCGAGTGTGACGTATGCGGCTCAACTGGAAGATGGGGAAAACAATAGATTCATCTCATTAAGGCCATCTATGATACTCAAGTAATTTACCGGTATCACGCCGTATTCGGATGGTCAGCGTGCAAGCGAAGAAAGATTCAGGGTTAGGTGTGTGCACTAAGATGAGTATCTATTTTTATTTTTATTTATTTTTATTTTTCCCCCAACGTCACGCACGGGTGGATGGATCGATGGATGGAAAGTTGCTCCCCAAGTTTTTAACTTTGACCCGGCAAAATCCTGGAATGTTAAGTTACCTACTGTATCGTGCCAAACTATTATAGCCATCATTGGTGGCTTGGCGTGATGCCGGGAAGCCTCGGGGCTGGGTATGATACCTGGAATCTACCATACGCTTGGGCATCCCAGATTGGACGGACGGATGGATGGGTGGGTAGATTGACGGGCAAGTGGGTGATTCTATCAAGTACTCGTACGGTACGAGTATTAGTCCAGTGGGGCATAGCTCCCTTCCCTTTTCCACCCAGCCGGTGAAGGCTCTACTCGAGTAGGAGCGAGCTATGATAGGTGTTAGTACTCGAGTATGGGAATAATAAGTCACCAGATTATATCCGTAATTAGATGGTCGGATCCTGCTTTTTTATGAGGGTACACTACACGTTAGGATAGATAGCATCTCTTGTTGAGTCCTCAAGGGGGGGCGTACTGTACAGTACAGTACAAGTACAATACTGTGCTTTGCGCTCTATTATGCGCTAGGAGAGATTCAGCATACACATAAACTAGATTTAATGGGAATAAATAATACCGGTAAGAGTATATACACCATTGCAGCGGCGGAATCCGGGCTGCATTTTTAAAGGTATGGTATGATGCTCCCAGCGTGCATCCGCCCGCGAGACTTCAAGGCGCCTTTCCAGTGATGGGTACCTACTGAGTGTATTCTATCTTTGGGATGAAGTACAGTGCTATACAGTATCATACTCGAGTGCGGTAGTCTACATTAACAGACTACCAACCCCTCGGTTCCCTCCCCCCCCCTCCAGAAGGCCTGAAGGCGAAGGGGAAGGGTGGGGGTCGGTGGCCAATGATGCACTGTACAGCACAGTACCATCCCGGACTATCATAGCCGATTTCCAGGTACAGTGCTGTACTCGCACAATAAGGTGCACTAAAGACTACTTGTACGAGTAGTAGACCACCCAACATTTCCCCATTACTTACTCACTCACTAATAGTGTACGGCGGTCCACCTCCAATCCGCCAGCACCATACCATCAGCAACATTTTACACTTTGTTGGTATTATCAACTTACATTCCTTAGTATCATACATCCCCACCAAACCCTCCCCCCAAACATATTGTACAGTACAATCACTCACCCATTCACCCTTCCCATCGCAACGTCACAGGGCGCGATAAACCACCGGGCCGTCCGGGACTCCCCGGATCAAGAAACTGGGCTTCACATCCCATCACCCGCTAACTTAATGACCATTTCGGGTTTGGGTGAGGGGGAATGGCCGTCGGATCCTGCGCGTCTGTCTGTATGTTTGTCTGGCATACCGCTGTCGTACGGCACGTGCGGTGGATGTTGTGCTACTACTACTCATAATTGAATAGCGTTTGTAGGTAAAATACGACCACTGCCGCATTGTGTACTAGCACAGTGCCGCCGGATTCAGCTTTCCTCCCCTCCCCCAACTTAGATCCTGGTATCCACAATCGCTGTTCAGTTATGAGCACCGGTAAGTATTAGTCTGTTAGGTTAAGGCATTGTATGTCAGTGGCCGGTTCCGACTAGGCTGGTGAGAGGGGGACGGGTGACAAGTATACTGAATACGGGATGGAGGGAGTCCTCGATGTGCTTGAGTAGTCAAGCTATTATGGGGTTTGTTCCTGGGTGGTAGAGAACCGGCAGAGTAGTTACGGTGCGGTATTATGTATGATACTCATATGAACGATCTTGCTCAACTTGACCCAATGAAATGCTACCGTCCATATGTGATTACCACGACTATGAAAATCTCAACAATTCACCACTCAATAACTTTTATTACACCCCCCATCCACCCCCACCGCCGGCCTAAACAATCTCAAAAGGATCCCTATCCCTCTCACTGACCACAACCTCAAACTCCACCTCCCGCTCCGCCTCGTTTTTTAAAACCTCAGTCAACTTCCCCTTCATAACATCTCTCAGAAAGCCCCTTTCACTGTTTGTATGGAAGCCTATTCTTATCAGTTCTCACTCGCCCCTATTTGGTAGGTAGGGCAAAATAAGGACTCACAAGTAATAAACCCAACCCCCCGTTCCTTCGCCGCGAGCGCCTCGTGATGCGAGAGCTCCCCCGTGAATAACAAGTCCGCATCGATGTTCTTGAACATGGAAGCGCCGGAGCCGGCGCATACGGCTATCGTGCGGACCCGTTTGCCGCCGGGGGGGCTTCCAATCATGACTATGATACTCCCGCCATCAGTTCACGCTAGCAAACCATGATCCTCGGGGAAGCGAGTGCAAACCAACCTTGCTTCAATCCCAAAAACCTCTTCACTCTATCCACGAGCTCTTGAAACTCTTCTGGTTCTTTGAGCGTTATTATACGGCCCATTCCCGAGTCCTCGTATCCTATAGCCCCCCCACCACTCTCAATTAACTCTCCTCCTTCTTTCGGCCCCCAACCCCCCCTTTAGGCAGTAAAACAAACAAACCTGGAACGTCCTTAACCCCCTCAATTACCGCTCTCCCACTCTCCTCCCCCTTCCCACCAGAAATCCCATCCGCCAGCCAATCATTAACCCCCCCGATCGTAGCGTCGACGGCCGTATGCGGGGAGTATACGCTGATGCCTTCCTGCGCCAACTTCAGGAGGCTCTCTTGTTGTGTATTCGCTAGTGTGAGCGATTTTAAAGGGCGGAAAATTATCGGGTCTATATTCCACCGCGTTAGCAAAGCCGGGGTAGGCAATGCGGAGTGGGAATAGGGTAGTACGGTAGGCTACTATCACGGAAGACTTTAGTGAGATTGCTTCGTCCGCTACGGCTTTCGTGAGGTCAATTGTCAGGAGGACTTTATGGGCTTTGAGAGGGGCACGGTCGATTCGGTCTGGGGCTTCGAGGAGGACTAGTACACTGTTAGCTTTAGTATCATATTATCGTGGAAAGAGGGCAGGGCGTACGGCCTGTGTTATCCCAGGTTTTGTCCGCAAGTGCTTGTGGGTAGCTGTACGAAGATGTCAATAGCGGGGATCCCCAAGCGGCGACTGTGGATGAGGGGGCGGGTACAGTTTCTGCACAGCGTTGACTACCGTGCGAAGAGTTCCAGAACGGATCATTGCGTTGGAAGACATGGCTGTAGATGGCCGCGGCAGCAGAAAAATGGAGAGGAGTTCCGGTGATGATGGTGGGGAGGACCGGTACATTTAGTAGGGTCATTCAGATGCCTCTAGTGATAGCCCATCAAGCCACCTTGGGACAACCAAGAGAGATGAAATTTATAACTTCAGTTATCATACTTTGACAGCGTACAGCCAACAGACTACGAGTACCGGTAGAGCACCCCTCGGCTTATCTCTACATATGATACAATTATACAGCACCGTATTGTACAGTGCGGTACCCTACTGTACCCGAGCACAAGTACCGTACGATACAGCGCAGCCCGTGATATCTAGTTTCACTAACCCCCAAGGTTAAATGCCACAAGGAATCCAGCCACAGTATATGTCATCTGATCAGAAAGTACACAATACTCCTAACCTCTACATCCCCAGGTTTAAAATATAATCCGCCCATATCTACAGTGTTTCACGTTCACCCACTCTTCTCATCGACGGTCTCATTCGCGACCGGCTGCTTTCGTATATACTCGATGAACCTCTTGCCATCGTTGAAGATCTGTCCGGGCAAGGCCATGTTTTGAACCCATCGGGGAATGCTTCCTCCGGCGTCGCTCTGCTATCCATCAGCAACACTCTCCCCAACAGAGGCAACCAGAGCACAACTTACGCAAACGCCCGTGAGAATCTCTACCTCCCCATTCGCCAGCTCAGATATATATTCAACCGATATGTACTTCCCACGAACATCCGACTCCGACACCATCTCACCCTCTATCGGCAGAGAGATAACCACAGAAGACCTCCATCCATCCGCCCCCAGCAAGTCCTTCGAGATCACACTCGCGAGGAATTCCCGACCGGCAAACGCCTGGATGTGCAAGAACCTGCGTACATCTTCCATCCAAGCAACCAGAATCAGCGAGAGTGATTATTGATTGGCTAGGTTGGGGGAGGAGTGGTGAGACAAACCCCTAACCAATATTCCACCTTCAAACTCCTCCACTGCCATTTCCTCATTTGTATCCTTTGGCCCGTCCAACCACTCACTCTCGGCAAGGACCCGCTCGTCGATCATGGCGCGGTGGATAACGCCGTAGTCCGCATGGACCTTTATTACCCGAGCGATCCAGGTACCGTTGTCGTGGTAGGTTCGGTAGGTACTCAGATGGACATCTGTTTTCAAGGGGGCCCACTTTATCTCTGAAGTGGCACTTGAAAGGGATGTTATGAAGGATAGTCCGTCCTTGGTGACCTGCTCAAGGAGCGGGGCGGTAAAGGAGTCACGGGCAACAGGATCGAGGACGAGTTTTAATGGCATGGTTGAAACGGGCCGTGGTGAGAATGGGAAGGGGAGGAAGGGGAAGGGGAAAGAAAGAACGAAAAGAGAGGAGAGATGGAGAGGGGGAGAGGAGAAGGAAAGCAGGAATACCAGGGGTCACTCAAGCCCGAGTAGGCACCCAGTACCATACATATCGCGCACCGTATCACCAATGTCAGGCAAGCTGGCCACTCCCGACGCAGGCACATGATGCAGGAGTAGAGTTTCGCTACGGTACCGCTGGCCCGCGTCCATCCCAACAGTGAGAACGGCAACCGTGGTCTCTTAACTACGGCACACAGCAGCCAATCGGACAGCCAAGCGATCCATGAGGATGTTGTGCAGCTTCTTCACTTAGTCTATCCATAGGACGCCGGACGGAGAATCATACAGTATGACATGATACTACGCACTTTATTCGTTACGAAAATTCCAGCCTGTTCAATTCGGCGGGAACCCTGTAATCTCACTGCAACCACCACCACTTTCCTTCCCCGTCGGGTTTAGGGCTTCCTTCAGTTTCCCCACGTTGTTTAGGGCTGACCGCCGAATCAATCTCATCTTGGTTTAACCTCAACCCGCAGTGATCGTAGATCTAGATTAGCGCACTACCGATGATAAGATGATTTTTTTGGGGGGGGGATTTCTTTCTCTCCTCCTTTTCCATTCCATCTCCCCTCCTCCCTCCCCCTCACGACAACCGAAGACGAAGACGGCCCTTTCTTTTGTCTGCCATCATATCATATCATACTACGGGAGAGATTGGAGCAGGCTTTACACTTTCGTTTCTTTCGCCCAATTCCCCTCCTCACGATTAACGAACGACAAACACCCAATCAATGAACGCCCTACCGGTATCATAGCCAAGAATTCTGGGGGGGGAAAAAAAAGGAGAAAGCGGGGCCAGAAAATGGGCTTCGTAAACCCCGGCCGCTCCTCAACCCGACTGAACAAAACATTCGGAAAACGCTACAACAACCGCCCTCCTTCGCCCCCTTCTCAAAAACGTCGAAAACTCCTCTCATCCTGTTCCTCCCCCCACTCCACATCATCGCCATCAACGGCCTCCCCACCATACTCCTCCCGGCTGCAAACTCCCCTCTCCATCGCCTCACCGCCCCCAACCCGCAATCCCCCAACCCTGCAAACCCTCCCACCGGAACTCCTCCAACGCATATTCCTCTTCAGCAAAAACCCGCAACTCCCCGCAACAACCCTCCACCTCACCCGCGTCCTCTCCGCCCCTATTCTAAAACACGAGTACATCCGCATACACCACGACTCACACATCCCCCCGGAACTCCTCCTCCGTCGCTTCTTCACCCCTCAATTCTTGCATGCCCACGAAATCCGCTACCAATCCGCGATAGAATTCGCACCGGATACATCTCTCCCCCCGCACCGGTATTCCGTTGCCATGCTGCGCTTGCTGCTCCTCCGCGGGGCAACCCCGTCTGTGGAGGACGCGGAGGAGTGGACCGCTGTGCTCAGGGAGGGCGTGCAGGAGGCGGACTTGGTCTTTGTCAGGGCCCTGCTGGAAGAGGCGCGGGTGAAGCCCGATGAAGAGTGTCTGAGATTAGCGATTGAGAAGGGGTGGGTGGAAGGGATGGAGGTTTTGGTTGAGAAGGGCGGAGTCGGGTTGGGTGGGCGGGGTGTCTGGGAGAAGGCGCTCGAGGTGGGGAAAGATGGGAGGGGCGTCGGATTGAGGTTTCTATTGGAGAGGGGATGTCCGCCTGCCGGGTTGTTAGGAAAGGTTGGGGAGATTGTCAGGAGGTTGAAGCGGTGACCAGGAGAGAGGGGGGAGAAAAAAATAGATTTCTCTTGCCTTGTTTTCTTTGCTATACGTTCTTGTGCATTTTAGGGATGTTCTCGTGGATTCCTTGTTCATAGCACCATATTTCACTTTTCCCTGTACATTCTAGGGATCCCGGGGACCGGCGGTGGGGATACGTACAAATGTTGCATAGAAAATCACTCGTATAGGCGGAGTGTACTGTACAGTAAACCGTCTTATAACTACTTTTCCTCTTTTAACTTTGCTTTTCTGTAACCTTGTTTGCTAGAGAGCTTTTGCAACACAGGTGAATAAAAAGGGTTCTCGTTGATACACGCTTTATCTCATCTCATGAATCACACAGCCCGGCCTACCCCCTGAATACTCATACATTAGCTTATCCCCCCCATATTCCCCACCATCTATCCACAAAACCGCCTAGAGCAAATAACCATCAAACCCAGCCCAGGGTACTCCCAATACAGCACCATAACTCATCTAGGAAAAGAGAAGAAGAAAAAAAGAGAGAAAGGAAAAACCCCAAAAGAACAAGTAGAAGTGAAGCAAGAGAACCCGAAATTCCCAAACCAAACCGAAACGGCCCCGCCCCACCCCACCCCCGGCAAGGACGGCATTTGCTACAACTAGGCCTAGCAAAAGGGTCCAGGGACGAGACGATCTACATAATAACGCACTCCCCATCATCCTTATTCTTCTTAACGTGCACCCTGGAGAGTTTCTCCCGGGACCTTTGCACGGCTGCACCGCCCTTCTTGAGTTCGTTTAGGCGTTGGCGGGCTTTTTCGTGGTTTTGGCCTATTCCCTCGCATCGATCAGTCAATCAACCGCTCACCCACTCCTGGCAAAAATAATAATAATAAAAAGTAGGGGGGCGGTGACTTACTAGCAGCTTTATAATACCACCTCTTCGCTTCCTCCAAGTTCGCCACCACGCCGATGCCGACTTCGGTGTAGTAGCCGAGAGCGTACTCTGCGTTTCCCAGGCCCTTCTCGGCTGCTTTGCGCGCCCACAGATACGCCTCGGTGTCGGATTGCTTAATCACGCCGTCGGCACCGGTGAGATACCACCCGCTCAGAGCGAGCGCACTCTCCTCCTCGCTTTGCATTGCCGCGCGGCTATACCAGGATATACTCTGGCGGGGATCGATCGGGCAGCCCATGGTGCCATACTCAAAGGCGCAGCCAATGCGGAATTGCGAGGGGGGGTAGTTGAGCTCTGCGGCTTTCATAAAGAGTTCACGGGAGTAGGAAACGTCAGGGATGATCTTGTCGTTGGATTCAGATTCATAGATTAGGCCCTGTGAGGCCGTTAGCCCAGTATTAGAGTGTCTGGGTAAGGATGGACTTACAAGTTGGTGGAGAGCATGGGGATTGTTCTCATCCGCTTGATCGGCAGCCCTCTTCAGCCAGTTGATGGCATCTCGTGGGTTCTTGGTCTGGCCCAGCAGTCCCTTCAACTGTATCATGCCAAGCTTGTACATGGCCGCGGTATCCCCTAGCGCGGCTGCTTTCCTGTACCATGTAATTGACTTGAGCGGATCTTTCCGCACCCCCGCGCCGAGCTCGCAGCAAACTAGAACCAGGCTACTATTAGCTCATGCTCCGGCACCTAAGCCATTGATAACGATATGCCGTACCAGCAGTGCGATAAGCCGATGGCCCATGGTTTAGCTTTGCCGCGGATTGATACAAGTTGAATGCGCGCTCGAGGTCAACCTGCAATCCAAGCAAGCCTTCCCAGTAGCATTCCGCTAGGTAGAACATCGCGTCGGGGTATGGGTGGGACTTCAAACATCTGGTCAGCCAGGTACTATAACAAACGGACTCAATATACCAACCGAATTGCACAATTTCTTGACAATCTTGTGTGCGTCGAATATGTAATTCTCCCTATTCCTCTTGGCAGTCTTAGCATCTGCCCGGCCGCCCTCGTCCGCAAGGACCGATGACGCCTCGACCATCTTCTTCGCAAGCATCAATTGGAGCCTCTGATCTCCCGGGTTGGTCTTGGCGTTCTGGCGCAATTGGTTCAGCTCAATTGGAGTGACAGGACCCGGCTGCTGTTGAATGGACTGCCGCGATATGGTGCTGCCACGGTCGGGTGAATACTGCCGTATAGGTGGAGGATGGTTATTCCATCCAGACTGATCCTGCATTAATCCCGGGCGGATTGGCGGGGGATGAGCTGGGAGAAAATCCGCACTATACCTAAGACTGGACGTATCTGAAACTACATTAGGAGACGGCGCGGGGTGGTGGGGAAGTGAGTCGCCCACCACACTCGGTTGTGCGGATTGGGTCCTTGGAGGATACTGATTCTGCGGCGGTGACATTCGCTTCTGAGGCGATGGCCCTAGAATTTGCTGCGATGGTGCAGGTGATCCGACCCTGAGAGCCGCTGGGATATTGGGTTGAGGAGGCGGAGGGGGGAACCCGTTCGCCGTCAACACCGGCGGAGAATCCTCTGGGGTATCTCCCAGCACCCCGATAGCGCCGTCATATTGCCCATGGTTGTGTGGGTTTCCATTGGCCTCGCTATAGCTATTAGTAGGTAGGGGAGGTGGCGGTCCAGTCGCTGCTCTGGATTCTCCGCGCAGATCGGGCTGTGATCTACTACGATAGGCCTGTTGAGCGAAATCCTGGGGCTCATCCGTATAACCTTCTTGATAAGTTGGTCCCGGATACTCGAAAGAGGTATCATTCCCCCCATATTGCGCTGGCTCCTCGTGATATTGCGCTAGCTCCTCATGATAGGCGTTCGCTGGATGCTGCTGATCGTAACCCCCCTCAGTATAATCAGCGCCATAATAAGCATCCAATATCAAACCAACACTCTCTCTATTCTGAGGATCACCTGGACCCTGCGGCGGATATTCCTCATACACTGGTCGCGGAGGATACGCCCGAGGACTAGAAAAGTTCACCGCCCCCACATGCCGCTGAGGGTTATACGCTGTATATTGCGTCTCCGCTTGAGATGGCACCTGTTGCGGTAGTGGGGACTGTGCGTTCGCAGGCATGGTCATACTCCTCTGCGGTGGCCCGAAACCAGGGCCCTGAGGTGGTGCTTCCCCATAATGTTCATTCTGTGATTGATACGTCCCGGTCCATCCCTGATCATAATGGCCCGTGCCCTGTCCAGGTCGATTGCCAGACGGAGGCCCTCTACTCGCCATCGGCATTGGCATGTTCCCGCGGGGAGGTGGCATTCTCTGGTGCACCGCCGGTGGTCCTCTCATCCCAGACGGGGGAGGTCCCCTCATTCCCGGGGGCGGAGGCCCACGATAACCTGGCCCTCCTCCCGCTCCCTGATAGCCAGGAGGTGGCTTTCCCCTACCCATTCTATCCGACATAGTCTGTGACCTAGGCATTGCTCCCTCACGTCCAGGCGGGAGAGGGCCACGCTGCCGCATTTGAGGCGGTGAAGGGCCATCGTCATACAAGTTCATTGCAAGCATTGAGTCGTCTATGGGTAGAGCCCCAGGGGGTACCGGATCGCGACGCTTCATTGACCCCCCAAAAGGTGGGAAAGGACTATCAGAATTGGAAACCATTCCTGGTGATGGAGGTGGACGGGCTAAAGTACAAGCGCGCGTAAGAATACTGCATATCCAGAAACAAGCCACCTGGTGCGGAAGCAAAAGTCAAAAGCTCACCTCTCTCACTCCCTCCCTGCCTATAAGCTGAATTCATCCCGGGTTGGCTCGCGTATCTATTCAAGCCCCGCTGTGAAGGCGGCTGTCCTCGACCACCGTGCGGTTGCGCATATTGCTGACCCTGGCCCTCATAATAATCTCCTGGATATCCCCTCTGTGGCGGATACTGTCCTTGCTCATATGCCATTCCGTCCATCTCCAGATTCCCCACAAGTCCCGTATTGAGTAGCAGCGCAGCCTCGTCGTCGTCGCTCAAGGGGAACAACGGGTGGAAAGTGAAAAGAAAGAGGGTACACCACGGTACGGTATTCGTGAATTCAAAACAACGCTCTTTTTTCCGCGCCTGTTGTACTTTTTTCCTTTTCCTTTTCCTTTTCTTTCCTTTTTTTTCCCCTTCTTCCTTTTTCCTTTCTCTTGCCGTTGTGCTTTGTCGAGGCTTGCCGTAAAGAGTACCGTACGTCCACGCTCACAGTGGACGGATGAATGCAACAAGTCCTTTTTACCCCCCGCCCCCACAGCTCGGTACTAGTGAGAAAATGGAAGAGTACTCGAGCACAAGCAGAGCCCGCACAGCGCAGCCAGCGAGCAAGACGTGAAGACGCAACTGCAGAGGGGAAAGTCGGACCAGGGGACCAATGCAAAAAAAACGAAAGCGAACAGTGGAAGCGCCGAAGCCGAATTTTCAAAGGAAAAGGTAAACTTCAACGTTTAGTGTTTTCTTCCCTGGTTAAACAGGAATCCAAAATTGATGGGCGCTGTGAGGGTTTTTCTGCGCTCCCGCCGCCAAACCTTCCCCCTCAGGGCAAGCCAGGTATCGGTTAGAGTGGGCAAGCACTCGAGTAAACGTTAATAAGCGGTACGGTGCCTGATCCCTTCTACCGGGTCGCTTCCCTCCTTTTTCTCCCTATAGCCTTTTTCCCCAGGTCTGTTTAAAGAAGGGTGCCTTGCATGAGGGAAGTGGAGTTTTATGAGGCTGGCGGGCAGCTGGCCAACCAACGAACCAGTCAATCACTCGAGTACAAGTACTCGTACTGGACAGAAGGGAGGGGAGGGAGGATCTAACAACGCCTTCTTAATCCCCTTTTCTCCTCCACACACCGCATCCAGAAGCTCGTCCTGACCTCTGTGGCCACTGATCAGCTGCTGCCGCCCCAGGGGCTTGGGTACGGTACTGGGCGGGTACGGTGATCCAGGCGGTGAAATAGAAACGTACAGCACGAATAGAGAGGGAGAGGGAGAGAAGCGCGGAGAAAGGAACGACCCAACAAGACAACTGGAAGAGCACGGTATAGCGCAAACAGGCACGAGCTGGTGTGAAGGTATACCAGTACGGTACTCGTACTCTACAGTTGGTTGGCAACCCGAAAATGTATTTAAATTTTCGTGGTCGAAAAATACAACTGTGTGCTGTCGGTGTATAGTACCATACCGAGAACTTTGAACCCCCCCCAAATGCGAGCCAGGCCCGGCATGCCGGCAGCACGGTGTTCGCACTGTACCACAATGCACTGTACGAGCACCGTACTATACCTGCACTGTCCTCGCGCTTCTCAACTTGTACTGTACTGTACTGTACCCGTATGATAGGGGGGTAAGCATCATTCTATTCTTACCAACTTTCTTACCCCTTAATCCAGCACCAGTCCACCGCTGCAGGCACTGTGCCGGTACTTGAACCGTGATATAGCAACAGCATTCACCAACACAGTACGGTACGGTACCGGTAACTCGATACAGCAGGACCAATACATTCCCACACTGTAACGCCAGTGCATGAGCACAGAGAGCATCACAGACCACCTTCAGCACCCTACCGTACGAGTGTCGGTACTCGAGTACAGTACTCGTACTAGTAAATTACATTACTCAGACCGGTGGACCGGCACCATGACAATCGACCCTGCTGCTCGAGTACTGTAATAAATTTACCGGTGGACCATGAGCTCCACTTCGGAAAACAACTCAAGACGACAATCCACGATCCAAGCACGTGGAAATGAGAAAAGAATCCATCGGCGATCACACTCCCTATCCAACCGACCAGTACCGGTATCCGGCTAGCCCTTTGGCAATAGCAATAAACACGCCACCAGCCACCTAGGTCACCCCTTGTGGCGTCGTGGTGCACGCGATTACGAACAGTACCGGTACCGGTATCATTCTTACCCCGAAACCTTTTCAGCGTCGACGATCCATTCGCCCTCGGACCCCGCCAAACAATCGCCATAAGCGGAACGCACACCCCGTCAAGGGAAGGAAACCAAGGGACAAACGAAGACAGCGGCGAACACCGGTACTCGGGTACCCTAACGAATATATACAATGCGCCCAATCGCATACATCAAGATGTTCGTGGCGTGAGTTCCCCCCCCCCCTCCAATCGAACGAATACGGGAAACCCTGAAGCATGCAAAGCTAACACTCCAATCAGCGGCACGGTCTGCTGCGTCGGCGGCCCCGCTCTAGTATACTATGTAACCCCCGATCCCGACGAACTCTTCAAAGCACGACGCCCTTCCTCCCCCGCTCGCACCGCGTACTGACAGTCTCGCCAGCGCTACAACCCGGAACTCCAAAAGAAAACTCTGGAGATGCGCGAAGTGCGGGAGAAAAGGTACGCCGAGTTTATGGGGAAGCTGCGCGAGTACTCCAAGAGCGATAAGCCGATCTGGGTGGTCGCCGCGGAGGAAGAGAAGAAGCAGAAGATTGCGGCGAACGCTGAGAGGAAGAGGATTAGGGATGAGCAGGAGAGGCAGAGGCAGGAGATTTTGGAGGAGCAGTTGAGCGGGAAGTAGTTTGAGGCGTTTCCGTTCCGGTCGTGTAAGTATAGGGGATTGGAGAAGAAGGGTCTTCTTTGTATATTCTTTCTTTTCTCTTTTCCTCCCAGATCGTCGATATCACTATGCCTGTACAATTATCGGTCCCCTCCCTTCACTGTTTGATGGGGCTGCGAGGTTTAGCACCATACCGGTATTATCAATTCTGAGCGACAACCCGCGAGAAACGGAGATGCCATACCCCCCCCTGCCCTCCCCCCCAAACCACTCCTCGAACAGACTCCGCAACACACATTATGAGACCACGGCACCACTATCAACGGCACAACAACAAAACAATATTATCATGATAATTATTATACCCAACACCCCAACACCACCCGCACCCTACAGTAGAAAACGATCCACCCACCAAACCACAAGTATCATATCACACCACACAATAAATACGGTATCATACACAAACCATCACTCACTCACTCACACCCTCTTGCCCTCATCCCACCAACCCTTCCAATACAACTCCACCCCCACCACCACCAAAAAAATACAATACCCCTCCCCTCCCCTCCCCAACCCCAACCCCAATCCTTCCCTTCCGCCATCAACCTCTCGCACTGCATTTTCATTTTCATTGCACACCGAAACCGCAGAGCCTTTCGGTAAAGCGTTACCGTCTTTCCTTCTTTCGAGATCTTGGAGATGGCGATGGGTATCATCTGCCCTCCTCGAACTTGAGCAAAAACAATATAAATAAATAGAAACCCCCATTCTTTGCCGTTTCCATGTCTGGATGCTTTATAGAATTGCGAATACGTACTACTACGGTGGTGGTGGTTGATGGATCGGTAGGGACAAGCGAGTCATGAGGCATCACTGAGGGGGGTGGGGGTGACGAGTTTTGCTCAAGTGGTATGATACGGTACGGAAGAAAGATTGCTACGGTGATTGTTGTTGATACTTGTAGTGATAGTACTGTACGTCTTCAGCACCGTTTTCTGTCATCTGGATTATCATACCGGTATGCGAGGTGTCAGACCTGTACCATGCTAGAAAAGTCAAGATCCCAAAATCATACAAGTACCAACGGGGAAACGGGAACCAGATCAGTGCAGTGCATCACTAACGACAGCCCCCACAAGGATCATCTACTTACTAACCCTCCCTTCACTCAAACGCAATCCAAACAGGCACAGGCGTGAGAAAAAAAAAATCCCCCGAAAAAGTGTCAATTTTTTCGTCCCCGATATCTTCCTAAGCTACTTGTAGCCCAATTACAGGTACCACCCTTCTTGAACCTTTTTTTCCCGAGCCAACAACAAACCCAATTACCGGTACTCGTACCGGTACAAGTATATTAGCCCCCCACCCCACCCCTGTCCATTCATCTTAAAGCACCGAAGTACTTGTAGAAGAACCCTGAGCCTAATAAAAATCAGACCCCGGTAGAAAGAAAAGAAAAGAAGAAAAATTCCATCAATCGCAAGCAAAATCGCAGTCCCAGTCTGGTATCGGGATACTATGCCCTCCGCCTGGCCTGTCGTATTCTTGTTTTTCCCAAATCGTACAAACTCTCCATCCAACCAATCCCACAACCACTCTCCCCAACTCCAAAGAAAGCAAGAGCAGGAAGGAAGGAAGGAGGGTAATCAAAGTCTCGCGGCAACGCCACCCACCGTTACAATCTCGTTATAGAGCAATGTGGTAAGGAAATCCGCATAGTCCTCCCCGGTGATCTGGGTCGCGAAGTAGCGCGCTGCAAGGTGGTACTTGCTCCCAGCGGGGGCTTTGCCGGCGAGTTTTTCCGTGACCTCCTTGAGGAGTTGGAGGTTCAGTTCTTTGGTGACCTTCTTGCCTTCGATGGTGCTCACGCCGTGTTTGGCCCACTGCCAGAGCTGCAGACATGTTAGTTTATGGCCTCGAAGAAAGTGGGAGGGGGAGGGAGGGAGATATGAGGGCATACTTGAGAGCGGGAGACTTCAGCGGTTGCGGCGTCCTCCATCAGGTAGTTTATTGGTACACACCCGACGCCACGGAGCCAACCTTCCATGTATCCAACGCCGATTTCGAGGTTCTTGCGGATCCCCTCCTCGGTGATTGTGCCTGGCATGTTCATGTTGAGAAGGTCCATTGCTGTTATAGAGACTTCCTCCTTGCGCTTGAAGATCTGGTTGGGGGTTGGCATGTGCTTGTTGAAAACCTCAGATGCGATCTTTGCGAGGGCGGGGTGGGCGACCCTATTCACTCTGTTGGTTAGTACCGAGTCTACAAATTTCGGTGCATTATATGGCCGTTTTTATGAGTGGTATCCCTCCGCTACATAATCATGTCAGATCGCTCGGGGTTTTCAGGCATACCAAGTTCCACTATAAAGCCCGTTAGTGGGTCCCTTCAGGAGAGTCGGACGGAGGAAACATACTCATGACCGGCCCTAGCCTCTCGCAGCTTATCAGCATAGACACCAGCCATGGCCTTCTTGTTGGCCTCTTCATTATCCTTGATAGGAATCTGTGCAGCCATTCCTCCCATGGCATGAACACCCCTACGGTGACATGTCTTAATCAACAACTTGACATACGCCTCCATAAATGGCACACTCATGGTAACAGCGCTTCTATCCGGGAGCACGAATTGTGGGTTATTCCTGAACTTCTTGATCACGCTGAAGATGTAATCCCAACGACCGCAGTTGAGACCGGAGCTGTGCTGTCGCAATTCATATATGATCTATCGTCTCGTGAGTAACTGTCCCCAACTTTTACAGAATATCACTTTTCCCACCTCGTCCATTTCAAAAGCAGCCAGGATGGTCTCGATCAACACGGTGCCACGAATAGTACCCCTTGGGATTCCAACAGTATCCTGAGAGAGGTTGAACACATCGTTCCATAACCTGGCCTCAAGATGCGATTCCATCTTTGGCAGGTAGAAGTACGGCCCGTGGCCATTCTGGACCAACTGTTTAGCATTGTGGAAAAAGTAACACCCAAAGTCGAAGAGACCGCCGGAGATTGGCTCCCCGTCGACGACAAAGTGCTTCTCGTCAAGATGCCAGCCACGAGGACTAGGATGCGTTGGTAATGATGTTCATCAGAGAAGCAGGGTGGCGGTGCGGGAGACAGTGAAGAACATACCGAACGATCAGGGTTGGCGGGGGACGATCAGTGCGAAGCTTGTAATCCTTCCCGTTGAGCTTAAAATCAACCTGCCGACGGATGGCGTCGTACAAGTTGACCTGCCCGTTAATCACGTTATCCCATGTTGGCGAGTTAGAATCTATGACGCAGATATTAGCCACGCCCCACAGTTGTTCCACCACGTTACCGAGCCACTCTCCCCCCTCCCCTCTACTCTAGCATGGCAAACTCCATACCTTCAAAATCCGCCATATAAGTCCAGACATCCGCATTCAAAGCATTAACAACCATCTTCCTGTCAATGGGCCCCGTAATCTCCACCCTACGATCCACCAAGCCGGGCGCAGGATCAGCTCCACGCCAGGTATCATTGTCACGAATGTGCTTCGTCTCCGGCAGAAAGTCGGGGAGGACTCCCTTGTCAATCTCGGCTTGACGGAGCACACGTCTGTGGAGGAGCTGCTTTCGAGTAGCATTGAACGTTCTATGAAGAGTAACCAGGAATGCACAGCATTCTTTCGTAAGGATCTTGCGGTGAGGGTCCTGTACATGGCCGAGAACTTGAGCGTCCTTGATGAGGTCTTGGGTGGCAGCCATGCTTGCCCCCGTTTGTGTATGCCGGGTTTGTTTGTTGTGATTTTCGTGGGCTTACAGGTGTAAATCAACCGCTCCACTCCTCGAAGAAATTATGGAGCGCGTCACGAAGTAGAAGAGGAAGAGAGGAAGAGCAGTGGAAAAAGAGAGAAGGAGGGAAGCCCAGAATAGAGGATTGAAGGGGGTAATATCCCTATCACTCACGGACCCGTGGAACTAGACAGATGCACGGTACAATACCTCTGACACATGTGGACGACCGGCAGCAGACCTAGACTACCGTATTTCTTACAAGCTTCCTTGCAAACCTTCTTCTCCCCATTCCCTTCCCATCCACTTGTTACGAGTACTTGCAGCGAAGCCCATCAAACCCCCCGAGGCCGCTCAGCACGACACCACAGTTTTCCCCCTTCCATCGGCATCCCACCCCATGCGCTCACCCACCCACTACATACCACCCCTCTACCTCGGGCCACTCACCTCCATCATAGCTCCGAGGGCATTCAAGAACTAAAGGATCTAAATTGTTCGTATCATACCACCGGTATGCCTCTGCCCACTTACCATACCAAACCCGTTTAACACCTTAAGCCCCCCTCATTAGATTACTCCCCCCAATGGCCCGTACGATCACTCGGGTAATAGACCACAACGTTTAAACCCCGTACTCGAGTACTCGAGTAGACAAAAAGTAGACAAAAATGTCCAAGCACCAGAAGCCGAACAACAACAAGAGCCACCTATGACGTTTTCAGCACAGAACTAGCAGATATCGGCACATGCAAATCAACCACAATCCACAACCACCGGACCTCGGCCTTGATCCCTCAAGCCAGCAGACACGGTTTCTCCCGAGCCTAACCTGTAGACTACCGGTACAAGTACTCGAGTACTCGTACAAGTACCACCATAACACTGATTCACCTGAAAGAAAGAAATGGAGACAAGACCGTGCGTGCCGGAAGAATCACAAGCGTAGCAACGCATAGAATCGGTATTCGGAGCCAACCTGCGGGGGGTGAACAAACGCTAAGATACCTTGCTTTTTTTTTTCTTCCCTTGGATGGAAAAGAAAAAAGAGCACTCTTTGTGGTCCTGATACCGGGTAGGCCACTCTTCTCCGTTTGCTCGGATGAGTACGGTATTCGACGGGAATGCGGAGAGGTTCTGGCTTTAACTTTTCACAGGGCTGAGTGGTCCGGTCTGGACCTTCCAGCGCCCCATTCGCTGTACGAGTACTCGAGTAGACTATCATACACGCACCATGCCAGCATTCCACGAGAAAACAGCGCCTAGCCTACCGGTAACCCGCCCATGTACGAGTACCGGTATATGATGCTCGAGTATGGTGGGGTATGATAAGAATTATATTTTGGGTCAACCCTGATCAACCATTCACTAACCTTACCGTGGAGGGGGTTTTATGGTGGTTGGAATTGTCATGTTTGGGGTCTATCCTACGAGTACCGTACTCGTACAAAGAAGACGGTTTCCAAAATTCTCCAGCAGAGAAGAAAAAGTCATGATCGACCTATGATCCATCTCATGCCAACAGGAGACAGCCTAGCCCAGCCCAGCCTGGCCTAGCTTAACTCAAGGCACCATCCGTAACCGCACTCCGAGCACATTGCCGGCATCGACCTATTTATTCACCCATGTACCGTAGCGGTGCAGTACTCGTACAACAAGCACCAGGCAAGATGCTTCCGTACTGTACGAGTACCTGTACTCGCACAGGTAAAGACAAGGATAACCAAACCAGCAGAATTGTCCCCGTCTTTGTATCCATACAATACTTGCACGAAAACAAGCACGAGTACCGTATCATACAGTTCCCACTTCCACCCTAGCAGCTAGCCACGAAACCCCACCACCATTCACGGAATTTACCAAAACCTCAAACGATCAAAAAAAAAAACTCCATTCACCCACCCCCTTTCCAGCACCGCAACCATGATATGATACTTGCACTTCCTAGCAACTTCTACTAGTACAAGTACTAGCACTCACTAGTGCTCGATCACAAAATTAAGGCACACCATACATAAAAGCAATTCTCTTCCGTCACTCAAAGTGTTTGTTTGTCGCGGATCCAGGATGTCACGACTCACCCGTACTGTTTCTTTTACACTAAGCTCTCTCGGTCAAAGGGTTTCGGGTTTTGAATTTTCGAGGGGAAGGAAATAGAAATAGAAATAAAATAAAAACTGCGCTTGTGTATGCCGGTGTTGAGGAAGGCGTAACTTGGTTCATTTTCTTATCATTACTTCGTCGGTGTTCGATGTTCATGGTCCGATATCATACCTCCGTGCGTCCGCCCCCTCATTAGCCTCCGGGCCCGGGCGCTTGCGTGATACATACCGGTACCGTTCAACTAGGGATTCTTTCTTCTGCTGCTAATCATCATACCTGTGGATTTCTCGAGTCTATTTATATCATCTCGTTCTGGTCGCTCACATGGTCTGGGGTTTGGGGGTACGGTATTATACTCGTACCGGTAGGTATGGAGTGGCTTCCAGAAGAACCGCGGCTAGCGTGGGGGGGAGGGAAGCAATCATTGAGTTTGGTATGCCGGCATTTGAGTGCATGCTATCTACATCTCCCTCCCCCTCCCCAACCTCCAGTGTTCTGTATGTCGTACAGTAGATCGCTCTCGAAGCAAGAGTGATGCCACGAAAAAAAATGAAATGAAATGAAAAACAAAGTCTGAACCAAAGAAAGAAAAGGCTGGCAAGCAGGCCCAAGCTACGGATAAAAAATATGATACAAACAGCAGGAATCGAATGCAGCCTCAAAGGGTATAAAGGGGAGGATCGAATGGAATAAATACTACAAACACAGAAAAAAAATAAAAGAAAACAAAAAACAAAAATGCACAGAAAGGAAAAAGAAAAAAAAAAAAAAAAAGGACTCGCTGATAGATAGAAACAGACGCAACATGCCTGTCGATCGACCTAACACGGCGTGGTATTATGTAGACTTGGAAGGAAATGAGAGACCGTAACTGTCCGAACAGCTTCCACGTGCTTTCCCGATGCTCACTCACCGCCCCTGACTCGCCATCATCGAACGGTGGGTTAAAGCACGCAGCAGGTGCCTGACTCCACGGCTTTGGTCGTAATGCATAAAGCCCCGGTGATTCCAGGCGCCACCACTCGTAGGGAAAGAAAATCTCCTCCGGTCATCACCAAGCCACGCCTCCGCAACCTCTTAGATATTGCCCATACCCCATTTCTGATCGATGAGCCTGTAGCGCAGCTGCTCCTTGCGGTACCGGATAAGCATCGCAGCGCACAGTATGAGCACAGCATCCATCCCTTCATTGCATACAGATCAGCATCATCCCTGGCGGAAACAGTCTGTGAAATTAAATAGTGTGCGGGGAAGATTGAAAAACATACCAACAATGCCAAAAAGAGCGGTGAAGAGAAGGTTAATCCATCTCTCAGCATAGTTCGAAAAGGGGCTAACACAACCTTCCTTCGATGCTGCAGAGATGTCATTCGTGCACACGCTATCGACGACGTACAATGGAGAAGTGCTATTCAGGTATCCGCAGCAGTTGAACTATAAATAACAGCGGATAAATCATCAGCGACTTTCCCAATTAGGCAGGGCAACCACGCAACGCGAAACTCGGGAGAGTGCTGCCCTGCGATGAAACCGGTTTTAAGCGCCGCAATATCGGGAGGTACTGTATAACGAACCTTCTGTTGAAGCATGCTTTGGATCTGAGGAGTCTGCTGACCCCAGATTGTCTCGAGATTCGCCCGGGTGGTAAGAGTGGTGACCCATTCCATCAATCCCAATACCATCGTGAAGAGCGCGCACACCATGACCAACCAGCCGTGGGCCTTGAGCCATGTTCGTGATGTCGGTAGAGCGAAAGTTGGTAGGGAAAGCAGGAAAGCGGCGAGGACCATAACTCCATTTGCGATTACCGCTGAAAAACCAAGCCAGTGAACTCGTTAACCACAAAACTCTACCGTAGCCCACCATGCCCGTATCCCCAATAGTCTGGAAGGGTCGAGGGACGAAGCTTACCACTAAGGGGTGCCTTCTTCAACAACAGCAATCTTGCAACCGAGTCCATCGCTGGTTCACCCATCAACTCCTTCTGCCATATCGCCGCAGCCGACACGAGCAGAATACCAGTCCCCAAGAAGATGATGTTTGTTGCAACATAGGATATCACTACCGAGTTGACCATTTTTCCAAGATTTCTCCCAGATTCGTTTTTTTTCCGTTCTCACCTCCTTTGTGAGCTATCGAAACCCGCAGAATCAAGGTTGATTTAGGTTTGGTGAAAGAAATCCTTGCGGTACAGAGAATGGCTACCGTAGTGAGTGCAAGTTGAAAAGAAAAAAAAGAAAAAAAAACGTTAAAAGAATGGGACAAAAAAAATTAGACGGCCTGCGTCGCGAAAAGCGTGAGGATTCCGATGATGTCGAGAGGGCAAACCGAAATAAAACAAAAGTAAGGAACGACGAACGGTGGAAGACCGAAAGGAATGTGAAGATGGATGGTGCCCTTGAAAGACTGACTGACTGAGTTCTGGGTTGAAGGGGAAGGGGCTCGGACGATGGGTGCAGCAGTCGGAAGAGAAAAGCTATTTGTGTGACAGGACTCTCACATGAGTGAAACTTAGTTGGAGGAGAGCTAGACAAATCCGAAAGGGGGGGCGGAGCAGGAGTGGCTCGACTCCGAATACAATGCATGGGAGCCACCCTCCATTAGAATTACTGGCAAAGACATCAAAAGAATGGTGACATTTGGTGAACCAATCCGGGTGCCGGTTTCTGGGGCGAAATTCAACGAGCTTTTGCCCCCCCACTCACCGCGAGTCAAATCGCGGCAGCGGTAGTCACGATACCGGTACTCGAGTAGACACATTTTCCATGCATCCATTCATTGTCACCGCGGCAATCATCTTGCATACCACACACTGCGAACTCGAGCGCTCGTGCTCATACATGTAACATGCTCGAGTAGGTGTTCAAGTATTTACCCATATTACCCAAGTGCTTCCCCCACCCCTCGCTCTCGCTCTCTCCCCCCCACTGTGCTCGAGTACATGTACTGTACTCGCACTTGCACGATACCGGTACTTGTAGGTAAGGGAAATTAGAAACAGCGCGTGCCTGGCAGAAGAAAGAAGGCCGAAATATTCCCCCTGTGCGCACTACGCGTGCTCGAGTACTCGTACAGTACCGTACCGTGCCGCTACCATTAGTTTTGGGGCAAAATCGACAAAAAAAATAAAATAAAACGTGAAGCCTGGCGGGGGCAGAGGTGAGGTGCAGCGTGATTCGATCCCGTTTGCAACAAGTTTGTGCTTCAAATTCAAAGGCAGTCCGGATATCATATCGGTATCATTCTGCGATCGAATTATCGAGTCTGGACCGATTGCTGTGCTAATTTTTTGCTAGCTAGATGCAGCAGCTAAGCTTCAAGAGATAACGCATCTCTCCTTGGAACTTTTTGTCCCCAACGATTCTATCACTGCGGTATCATACCATATCGCAACTTGGCTCGGATCGTCGTGAGCTGCCTCAACCGTTCGGGCGAGTGTCGTACTGCACTGCCGGTATGAATTCTTGCGGTTCTCAATGCGCCTCTCAAAGCAGCGGGTCGACCGCGGTCAAGTTTTTTGCTCTCTTCCCTCGAGGATTGCCGTATCGTAGAGTGGTCTCGTCACTTCTACCGTGTTTTTTATTTTTCATTTTTTTCCTTCCATCTTTCCATTTTTTCCTTTTTCCTTTCAGTGCAAAACCGTGAGATTCGCCGCTCGCCAAGAGGGCCAACCAGCCCTCCCTCTACCAAGGCCGACGACCCCAGGCGGGCTCCCGGAAGCCAGAGAACGAGAAAGAGACAGCCCACGAGAGAGGCCCGTGTAAAGCAGGGTAGACTCATCCCTCCACCAATCACGACACACCGGCAGCTGGTGTGATATTTCTTTTTCCCTCCCTTCCCCCTCGCGCAGAAGCCGGTTTCAATGTGTGAGCACCAACAGCCGCTTGTCCCTCTGTGGTGATACCTGATTCGGACATAATAGCCGATGCCGAGTTTTTTTTCTTTTCTTCTTTTCTTTTCATTTTATCATGATTTATTTTTATTTTTATTTTTATTCTTGCTCCCCGTTTTCTTTTTAGAATAAATTATCTCGTAATTTCGATCCGGGCTGCATGTCCATTTCTTCTTTATGCGGAAACATGCTCGTCCTGGGAGTATGTCAGCATTACTCTGTCACAATTGCCATCACCGGGCACAGCCTACCCCAGATGGTTATAGCCTTGGGCACAGGTGCCAGCAAGGGATTGAATGTCTAACCGTTCATGGGATAGCGCGGGCAATCCCTGTCACCACTAACCTGCTCAGTATCGATTCCAAGCTTTCTTTACGGCTTAAAGCCGTGCTCTCCCCATTTGAAGTTCCACCCTTCCCTTTCCGACGACACGTTCAACCAACGCAGGAAAGTCGAGTCCCAACACCCTTTTCAGACACCCCTCCTTGTCTCCTTTCAGTGCCGCCTTAACCCTCTTCCATCCTCTTGTCGTCCCGTTGCCACCGAGAACAGAAGAGCAGCAGAACGGGGTCATAGAAGAAGAGGGGGACTCTGATATTGAATGAACTCTTCTTAGACGCTGTGCCTTTTTCTTTCCTTCCAATCCGATACCTGCTCTTATTATTCTTCCAAATAATTCGGTCCAACTCAATTAAGAATCCTTGAGGTAAGTCGTTGACCCTTTTCTTTCTTTTTTTTTTCTTTAAGGAAAAAAAGTGTCTACTCGGGCACCGTGCTAGTTCGTCCTTTCCCTCGTCGAGTACTATAACTTGTTCCGCCTTGTTGAGATATTTTGTAACAAAAGTACGATATTGTACTCTTGTACACCTTTTTTTTTATACCAATTGCGATCTTTTCCTTTCTCCTTTCTCCTTTCTTCTTTCTTCTTTCTGCTCTGTTTAGCGTTCTCTTCATGCGCGTATTCATCCTCCTTGCCACGATACTTGCCAATTTTTCTTTTGGCTTCGTCCCCATTTTTTACAGATTATTTAGCACTTGCATCACCAGCCATCATTTTTTTTTTTTTTAAATTGTTGTTGCCATGATATTCCTGCCTCCTCATCCAACTCAGACACACGCATTCATTCCCCCCCCCCCCCCTACCGTTCACTAGCCGATGCCCTTGTCCTGCTTACTACTCTGCTCCAGCATACCGCATCTTGCCACAGAGGAGAGAGAAAAGGAAAAGTAAAGTAAAGCAAGCATCCATCCATCCATACACCAAGTTTTAGTCTTTTTTTTTTTTCTCTCTCTCAATCTTTCTCCCTTTTGTATCGCTACGATTATCTATTGTTCGAGTTTGCCCTGCCTCCTTTTCTCCTCCCCATTCTTAACTAACTCGATAGGCTCCTCATTGGTCCAGTCTGCGCGTCAACCACTCAAAAAATTCACTTTGCTGTCGCACTCGTACATACGTACACTTGGAGACTTGCATTGCTCGTTCTCCCACACGCCATACCCATACCCTCCTATCATCCCTGCTTGCCCTTACCATTAACTCACCTAACCTCTTCTCCTCTTCTCCCCCACTCATTCCCCTTCCACACACACCCAGGAAAAGGAAAGAAAAACCCTTCTCCACTGCCCACCCCTTCCTTCGTTCGACCCCCTTCCCTTTCCTCCCCCCCATCCGAACTCCCGCCCTCCACCCAGCCTCCATCTAACGCCAATACCACCCCAAATCAACACCCCTTTCCCTTCCCATACAACGACCTACATCCCCCTTCCGGATTCATCGTTCCGCTCCTTTCCCCTTATATTTTAATCGCACAGAAACGCAGCAAGCCATACCTCGCTCGCCCCTTCCCTCTACCCTCCCCCTCCCATATCCAGATACAGGCAAACCATAACACAAGAAAAACACCAAACCCGAATCCAGTCGGAGGGACACATTTTTTTTTTAAAAATAAAAAATAAAAAATTTCGCGGCTATGTCTGACAACGACCCACAACCCTCCCCCGGTCCGCACGACGACTCTGCTGGTCCGAACGCTTCCGGTCTCGCTGCTGGCAATGGCGGGGTTCCGAATTCCAACCCCAATGCCGGTGTTGACCCTTCTCGGGGAGTAAAACGAAGCCGACCGAATGCAGATGACGACGATGATGATGAGGACAATAAGCCCGGTCGTGAGCGCAGGAAGATCGAGATCAAGTTTATCCAAGACAAATCCCGACGTCATATAACCTTCTCGAAACGAAAGGCGGGTATTATGAAGAAGGTGCATTCCGCTATTGTTCTTTGTTTTTCCTTATCTTAGCCTTTGACCTTTTCTTTTTCCTCAATCGCGATTCACGATCTCTACGCGTACCAACTCTCCTCACCTTCAACATCCATTTGCTAACCCTTTCAATCAATTCATCCAGGCCTACGAGCTTTCCGTTTTGACTGGCACTCAGGTTCTGTTGCTTGTTGTCTCCGAGACCGGTCTGGTTTATACCTTCACTACCCCCAAACTTCAACCTTTGGTCACCAAGGCGGAAGGAAAGAATCTCATCCAGGTAACTTTGACAAGCTCGATTCGTGTTTCTTCTGGAGAGTAGATGTTTGACGAGTTTTCAGGCATGTTTGAACGCGCCCGAGCCGCACTCCAACGAGAATGGTGTTGCTGAGGGCGACTCTGCGTATGTATCCTCCTGTTACTCGGGGCCTCGCATTATCACGGGTGGCTGACCCGGATATCTTGAATAGTGTTGATTCCCCCGAGGAGCCACAGCATACCCAACTACCTCCTCAGGTCACTGCACGTCCGCCGGTAGGAATGCCCGTCGGTCCGGGTGTTCCGCCAGGTCCCTATATGGGCATGCCAGACGCCGCTACCCAGGCTCAAGCCCATGCGTATCAACAATATATGCAACAGCAACAAGCTGCGGCTCAAGCTCAAGCTCAGGTGCAGGCACAGCGCGGAGGATACCTCCCTCAACATCCGGCTCAGATGCAACCACATCCGGCCCAGACGTCATGATTTACTGCACCATTTATGGTCCGCTGACGGGGCATCGAGGCAGCCACCCCGCTCACCAATAAAATCGACAACACTTTCTCCTCTTGAAGGAAAAAAAACTACTGCTTCTTTTTGCCAATTTCTTGCGCTGTGGTTCATTCAGGCGGTGTTGTTTTGGTTTGCTCGCGTGGTACCATTGTTAACCGGACCACGTTTTCTTGGCCAAAGGACGATAGTGAAGACTACTACCTTCTTGTAGCCAAGATACCCTTTGCAGCCTTTTTTATTTTTTGCTTTCTTTCTTTGTATTTTTGCATGTTTTTCCCTGTCACATGTTCCATGCACTTCACCTATTAATCGTTGGGATTTATTTCTCATACAACTTACTGGGTTCATCTCGTCTAGTGGTGTGGATTCGGGAAATTCCGTTGGGTTACGCTTTGCTCTCTCACGAAATGGAAACTGCTGTGTCTGTATGCTTGAGCCACGCCTTCCGATTGCCGACTTTTTGTACCGAAACAGCACTTTCTCCCCCCATTAATGTATTCTCAAAAATTTCAGGTTGGTTTCGGTCTTGGGAATTTGTTTTCTTTTTCCTATCTTGGTTTCTTTGTTCTATCTCGGTTTTTCATTTTATTTTCCTCTTACCATCCATTGGCCGCTGCACTCGGTTTCTATATACCTCTCTTTTTTTCTTCCGGTGTAAATTTATCTTTTTCTCAACATCTCACGGGTACTAGGATATAATATCTCCGGGGGAGGATGGTGGGGGTCGATGTGGATCAATGAGGGGTAGGATGTGCGGGAATGGGTGGGGAAGAGGCTTGAATTAATTTGAGTTCCACACAACACACCCTGATCACTTTCAATCACTCGGAGCAATGATCGATTACTCTGAGCTTCGAAAAAAAAAATTACCCGCATTTTTGCAGCAGTGAAGTTGATACAGTGGCACTTGTATGATGGAAAGAAAAAAAGCAAACAGAAACTTGATAGGCTTGTAATTGCGCCATGGTGGCATATCACACGAGTGCAGTACGAATATCATACTCCTGGACAAAGGTAAACCCCCATTTCGCTGAGGAGCAGGCCAAATCACAACCCTTCCACCCACCCCCCCCACGATTCGCCCATGCACACGGCGTGCAAATCATAAGGCCGAAGATGGAGAGAGAGTCAACTCTGTTCCTCCCTCGTTTCCCCTCACGCGCGCCGCGCCGAGTTCCAGCTCCCCCCGTCTATCGTACACACACGATACTGTACAGTACCGTATCCTTCCTCACCTCTGACGGAAGCCACACCGCTTCGAGCAAGCCCAAGCGAAGCGGGACGAACGAAACGGGCAAGTCCATCGCATTGCACCGAAAAGCTACTCGGCCGCCTCCCTCTTTACACCATGCACATGGTGTCATACGGTGCTCGAGTAGAGAGGAGAGGAGAGGAGGGAAAGAGGGTAAGTGATTGATTGATTGATTGATCCTCTTGCAGGGCTGTGTACGAGTACTCGTTACGGTATGATGGATTTTTCCTTTTTTTTATATTCTTTTTATCTTGTGAAATCTGGTCAGATTGATTGATGGTATTCCCGGAGTGAATACCGGTGTGGTGCGGCTACCCTACTGTACCGATAGGGTGGGTGTTGGGCGGGGTGCACTGATTGACTGATTGATCGATTGATGAGATGCCAGCACGGTATGGGTAGTTGGGGGGGGGGGGGGGGGCATACCGTAAGAATGTTGGGGATGAAAAGGAAGGGGGATTGAATTATGCTACGGTACAAGGTACGCCGTGTTATGCTATGCCATATTAGCTACCGTATATTATATCCTGTGCGGTAGCAGTGAAGTCATACGGTAGTCAACCAGAGATTGATTGCGTTGATGCTACGGAATGGTACGAGTAATTGTACGGTACTGTACTGCCATCATACTGCCGTAAGTCAGTTAGTTCGTATCTGATGTCCACTCTATTTCTATCTCCGGTACCTTCTTCTCCGACAGAGCGAGGGAGAGAGGGAGAGAGGGAGAGGGAGAGAAAGGAATTGACCAACCCGCTCATCTTTCGTGATAGCGCCTACAGCGCTATACTATACTATACTCGTACTATACCGTACTCCTACAAGGAAGAAGGAAAGAAAGAAAGAGAGAAATCCGGTCCAATTCAATCACGGCAGTGTGCTATCGTATACATACAACGAGTCGGAAGTGCAGTATCATATGAAGAATGGGGTTGGTTGGTTTTGCCCTTCTTTGCTGCCCACCTTCAGGATGTAGCACGTGATCCTCTGTTCTTTCGGACTTGTATTTTATTATTATTATTTTCCCGAGAGGGGGTTGGATGCGGTGGTTATCATACTCGTACACTGCCATTGCGAGCAATTGCAAGACAATTGTTCACGGTGTGTGTGTGTGCGGTGATAAGGCTACATATGCTGCTGCTGCGTGCTGGGTATGATACAGTATGATACTCGAGTACTCGTATTGTATTGTACGAGTACTCGTACGGTATTAATGAAACCCGGGGCTGGAAGCTCCGATGGCTTGGGGGTTGTTTCAGACCTTGTTGAGACGGGGGTGGAGGAATGGGGGGAAGGGGGGTACAGGCGGGTACGGTACAGTAACTGTACGGTACTCTGGGCGCGGGGGGGTTTGGATTACTTTGTGTTGATAATATCCGGGAGAAGGTGAAGGGAACACTTTTTTTTTCTTCTTCTCTTCCTTTCTTTTCTTTTCCTTCGCGTGTTCCTTAGTTCCCTTTTCCTCCTTTCCTCATCGCGTCCGCGCCTCCCCGGGCCTTCCCCAGCCCCCCCCCTGTCATTGTGGGGAAAGGAGTGTTGAAAAGAAAAAAAAGAAAATTGAATCAAAGAATCAGGTGAGAAGCCACGACAGATTCAGGGGCGTTCCGGAAAGAGGGAAGAGAGGAAGATGGGGGACGGCGGACTGCCGGTATCACTCGTACCATGCGTTATTCATCCCTAACCCATGGGTTGCACGGGAATTGACTAACTCGACTTGTCTTTGTCCAACGGCAACAAAACGCAACCGAAGCTCTGACCCCTTGCACAACAAACTGACTTACACTGCCACTGCATCGACCGAATCGAGGAGTAGAGGAAGAATAACGAACCTTTTTTTTTTCTTCCCTAAACACCACGGCCGGTACCAACCCCCCTCGCGCCCCCGCGTACCCACCTACCTACCTACCTACCTACCTGCCTTCCTGCCTGCCTGCCCACCTCTTTACTGCGATGAAGTTACCCCTCGCTCTCGTCACGTTATTGTCATGCGGAGCTCTGGCCCAGCACACGTCCAATTGGGCGGTCCTGGTATCGACGTCCAGGTTCTGGTTCAACTACCGCCACCTGGCGAACGTGCTGTCAATGTACCGGACGGTGAAGAGGCTTGGGATCCCAGACTCGCAGATCATCCTGATGCTCTCGGACGACATCGCCTGCAATCCCCGCAACGCCTTCCCCGGCACCGTCTACAACAACGCCGACCGTGCGCTGGACCTGTACGGGGACAACATCGAGGTGGATTACCGGGGGTACGAGGTCACGGTCGAGAACTTTATCCGGCTGCTCACTGACAGGGTCGAGCCCGACACGCCCAGGAGTAAGAGGCTGCTGACGGACGACCGGAGCAACATCTTCATCTACATGACCGGCCATGGCGGGAACGAATTCTTAAAGTTCCAGGACGCGGAGGAGATTAGCGCCTTCGATATCGCCGATGCCTTCGAGCAGATGTGGGAGAAGAAGCGGTATCACGAGATGCTGTTCATGATAGATACTTGCCAGGCCAACACCATGTATAGCAAGTTCTACTCCAAGAACATCCTCGCCACGGGGTCGAGCAAGCTGGACGAGAGCTCCTACTCGCATCATGCCGATAACGACGTTGGCGTTGCCGTCATCGATCGGTATACGTATTACAACCTCGAGTTCCTGGAGAATAACGTGCAGAGCTCCTCCAAGCACACCATGAAGGACCTCTTTGACTCCTACGAGACGGAGAAGATACACTCCACCCCCGGCGTACGCACTGATCTGTTCAAGCGGGATCTGAAAGACGTCCTCATCACGGACTTTTTCGGCAACGTGCAGAACGTGGAGATTGACGGTGAGGATGAGCAAAAGCGGAAGGAGGATGTGCTGCAGCTGTCGAGGCTAGCGGTCGACTTTGCCATGCCCGGGCGAAGGAATGGGACGTGTGCCAGCGCCAAGGCAAGCGTGGAGACACTAGCGCCGGCGGTGAAGAAGGTTGGCGCCGTGAGAGTGGAAGGGAGCAAAGGATGGAGTAGAAATGCTATGGGTGTTGGTGCATTACTGGCCTGTGCAGCGGCTTGGATTGCGGGGTCGGCACTCTCATAACGGCATTGTAATGTTTTTTTTTGTCTTGTTTTTTTTCAGCGTGTATACCTATTTCTTTTATATATATATATGGATCCTTCCTTGTCGCTGGTGTGGTGGGGCGTACTGGTAATTTCTGGGCGTGAAATGGAACAAGTTGTGTAGAAGGTGGGCTTGTCTTGAATCATGGATTATCAATCGGATATCCCAACGGTATGACGTGGTAGTTTGGATCGAGCAAGTATCCGCCATGTACTTTACCACTGACCCCACGCACAAACGGTCCGGCATCGATCGAGCCGTGGGGCACGTATGATGCCGTAGATTTCCCCGGATCAATTCTCGGGATTTGACAGCCCAGCGGCGGTTCCATCCTCCATTCCACCCCTCGAGAGCGGTTCCCCGCTTTTACCCGTTGAAGACTCCTCCTCCTCTTCTTCGCTTTCATTCCATTTTATTCGACCTTTTGTCCATTCCGTCGTGGGTCTCTATTGTGCGCCGAGTTTATTACCGCAAGCTCCATCCCGGCCCGTCGAGGGGTGTTTTTTTTTAAATTTTATTATTATTATTATGACGTTTTTCGTGTCACACACAGGTTATATCCTATCCTGTCGTAAGTATCATGTCATATCATACCTGGAATAACGGATATCATCGTCGTTGATTGCGGCGCTGTATGATGCATAGTTTTTCTATCATATCTTGAGGGTTCGGGGCCGTGATCTTTACGCTATCGTATGATGTGATAATATCATGGCGATTATGATATATAGTGTACTTGTAGGATGATACGGTGCGATACGGTATGATGAGAGGGTGGGTTAGCACTGTTGCCGTCACCGTCACCGTCGCCGTCACCGTCACGCACAGCGCTGGTGAGAAGCCCATAGATAGAGCTCTCGGGGGCTTTGACAAGCCCGGTGCTCATCTTATTATCATTTTTGTCTTCTATCATACCAATCCGAACGGGTTCACAGTGATTTGATTTCTCGTTTTTGTTGTGAACTTTGGACTCACGGTGCTATCCTGCCCCCCCTCCATTCTTGGCGATTGATTGAAGCCGTTCCCCTGTATCATATCGTCGGAATGTGGTCGGTGCCTTTCCTTTCTTTTCCTTAATTACTGTAATTGGCTTGTGGGGTATGTCATAGTCTAGCTTGCATTTCGTTTCCTTTCGGTATTGTTTTTTCTTCTTCTATTTCGAATATCATACTCCCGGTGAGATTACTGTAAATGTCCGTAAATGGTGACTTGTGGCATCACGGGCTTCGTGGGGCAAATTGCGAGTAACCTCTTACGGACGTTTAATCTCATCTCGAGTGGTTGGTGGTGATAGTTTTGAAAATTTATTTATTTATTCATTTATTCCTGTCGAGTGATAGATAGATGATGTGGAGATGGGGGAACAACTAAATGGTGATGGGCTTTAAGTGTGCCCGAGTATAGGTAAGGTTGTGATGCGGGAAATGGTGCCTTGCTATGATATGATATTTAGCCGATTGCGTTGTGGTAGGTATATCTGTGGAGATAGGCCATGATATAGCTGACACGCACCGTATCATGCTTTGAATTGTCTTTTTTTTTCTTTCAGTCGTGGTTGGTTTCCTGCAAGAGGGTTCACGGAGGGAGATCTCTGGACAGCGCCTGGGCGAGGGTCCCCTCCGTGGACACCCCCTCAATATTTATCCAAGTACGGTATTGTGTGGTAGCACCTGAAGCGGGGTGGAAGCGTGCCCGTCCGATCCTCTAGATATATGCAGTATTTGGTATCGCGTCTCCTTGCTCCAGAAGTTTTGCCGGAACGGCTCCGGGACGCTGCGCAGATCGTCATCTCCGGCGATCCCAAATACGGTGTGCACCATAACCTGCGTATCCAGAGGATTCCCACCCGCCCTCACGCTTCACGTTCCAGGTCCCAACAACCTTATCCCCGAGGATCACCCTATAGATATCTCGGCTCTGCCAGATCCGATGTGCGGTTGATAATGTGCCCCGGCGGAACTCACCGCTCCAGAAGGCCAATGATATGAGATGCGCCTTTTCAGGACTAACACCCTATTTCGTCACTGGGAACACTTTACCCCCCCCCTCCTATGCCGACCCCTCGTGGCGGGGAGGGTATTCGCGAGTATATAACCCGGGTACCCAACCCAGACACCAAACCGGACCCAACAAACCATTCCTCGTGCGTTTCACATCTCGACTATCGAAGCAGGAGAAAATTGAGAGATACCTCGAAAATGGTTATCCCCTACGCATGACTTCTTCTGAGCTACAGTACAGCATTGTGAATGATTACTTATGCAGGTGGAGGAGGGGTATGATAGATCGATCCACTGACCGCGATGCGCTTGTTCGTCTTCGGCTTTCTCGCCGTGGTCAATTGGGGGTACTACCTGAGCGGGAGGTCTAGGGAGGGATTGCGCGATTGTTGAGTTGAGCGATGTTCTTTGAAGCCGTGGGTTGTGGGTTTGGGGAACGATTTATGTATGATATGAAATTTCCCGTGATTCGCCAGGTTACGACTTGACGTATGATATATATCCTAGGTCGTCATGGAGGAATGCTGAACCCGAGTGCTGGGTCTCTCTCTCACGGCTCACGGTGGGCCTTACGCATAGGGTACAATCCCAACCGCCGTGAAGATGGACAGTATAGCATCCCATACACCTGCCTATAACAGCGCTCGCGATTTCCTCCTTTGGTTCCCATCCTGACGGCCAGTTATGTGCACACATGGTATCGTAGGTAAGGTATCATAGTCTACTGATCGATCTTGGTAACGACGGCGTTAACCCTCAACTTCAATCCACCAATCGCGTAACCTATACAGTATGATATCATACGATACCAAGCCACGCACAAGAGTCCCCCCAAATATCATACACTACCACAACACGATTCTCAACTCAACCTAAATCACTACAATCACATCACCATCCATCACTCTCAACAGATCCTCCCTCCGGAAAACCATATACTGTATCACACCACCCACCGAAACAACCCCTAGCAACCGGTATCGTAAATTTATACAAGCATTCCGCAATCCAATGATAGTACTATACGGTACTGGTATGATGATATTGTCATAACTCGGAAATCCCCGAATAAAAAAACAAACTTGAATCCTCCCTTTTCTCCAACATTTGTATGATATGATGGGACACGGTACTTGTGCTAGTACTCTAGCACTGTAATTTAGACCGTCGTTCATATTAGGCTGCCGTACGGTACGGTACTACGAGTAGAGTACGGCTACACAGTTAACGCCACGCCCACCACAAACTCGACAACCCTTAGCGAAAGAAAAAAAACCCCAATGTCCTCGGAGGCTTATTATTAAAGTCATGTACTCGAGTAGAGTGAGATACATTTCTTGATTACCGTACCGTACTGTACTGTACCCGTACGTATGATAAACACAGTCGCGATAAATACCATGTAATAATACAAGTACAATACAAACCACTACCCCATAATACAACAATACAATTACCGTAGTCTACAGAAAATGGTTTTCTCACTCACTCACTAATTTTACTCCCGAGCCTTTTTTGGGGGTTTTTTTTTTAGTACGAGTATAATATAGGTCTTCGCCGAGACATGACGTGAAGCACTTTTTTTTTTTTTCTTTTCCCCTTCCCTGGCGAGTTTGGCTTGCAATGATTGTTATACAAAATTCACGTTTATTGTGAGTGCGGTACCGTACTGTACTCGAGTACCTGGTAGGTACGGGGGGTTACTTTGTAGACCTTGTGACTGTTTCGGAGGAGGCCGTGTGGCTGTTCCCGTGCTACCGTAGCCGTTTTCTTTTCTTTTCCTTTCCTTTCCTTTCCTGCCTTGTGCGCCCGATGGCTGGGTTTGGTTGTGGGGAGGAGGAAAGTGTTGGTTATTTTGTGATGATGTGGGGATTACGGTACGGTAAATTGCAAGTGTTGAATGGGTGAATCAATCAATCAATTGGTATGGTACTGTACATGAAGGTTTATAAACTACAAGTGGTATGTTGTGGTAAATGGGATTAATGCTCTCTTTGGGACATGCCTGCCTGCGCTTAAATTGGAATGGAAAGATGAAAAGGGAAAAAAAAAAAAATGAATAGATGGTGGTGGTGGTACAGTGATGATATCGTATTGGATAAAGTGAGAAGAAAAGGGAAAAAGAAAAAACATAGAAAAATATATAAAAAAGAATTAAAAAATAAAAAAAAAAAGTTCACCTAAACTCCTGAGACTCGTGTCGTGATGGGGGTGAGAGCGCCTCCAATAATGGCGCTTCCGTTATCGCTTCCAATATTTTTTGTTCGTTTCTATATTTTGTTCTCCCGTTCCGTGAATGTCATGAATAGGTCAGAGATGAACATCTGGATGATGTTCTTTTCCTTCAGCGGGGCTTTTGGGTCCCTGAGTTCTACATTGAAGCGTCTTAATATCTGTACGACGGATAGGGCGAGGAGTTAGCGGCTGTGGAAGGGTGACACGACATTTACCCTGCACTCCGGCCGGCGTCCTTAAAGGGCGATGTGAGGATGAGGGGGGGAAAAGGTTTATCATACCTCGACAACCGTCTTATTAATCTTTTGAGAGGCGAGGTACTTCCCCATGCAGGCGGTGCTCCCGTATCCGAACACGGAGAGATGCTTCGCCATGGCATGATACCTATCCCCGCCGATGGGCAACCACCTCTCGGGCTTGAACTCCTCCGCGTCCTCGCCGAAGATGAGCTTATCCCTCTGCGATATATAAGTGTTAACGCTCAACCACACCCCGCCGGGCACCACCACTCCCGGCAACACCTCCAACCCTTCACCCCCCTCCGGCGCAACCCTGCTGAACTGTCCCTGGAAAGCGGGACTCAACCTCATCGTCTCCTTCACCACCGCTAGGAAGTAGGGCAGTCGCAGAGTCTGCGCGTACGTCACGACACCCTCCGCGGAGCTCTGCTCCAGCTCCCCCACCCCGCGCAGTTCCTGCAAAACCTTCTCGCGCACCTCCCCGTGCCGGCAGATGCGGTCGAGGATGGAGCTGATCTCGTAGGCCGTTGGGTCCGAGCCCGCAGTCGTGAAGGCGAGCATCTCACCTATTAGCTCCTTCTTGCTGAGGGGAGTGTTGTCGTCGTTTCGGCATTGGAGGAGGTCGTGTGACATGTTGCGTTTGCCTGTTGTATTGCCATTCTCCAGCAGGTCCGTTGCGAGGGCTTGGGTCATCTGGTGGGTGTTAGTTAAGTCATGGGATGAGGTGCGAGATGGGAGAGCGGGGAGGGGGAGGGGGAAGAGTGGAAGGGGAAGGGCGAAGAGAGGGAAGATATAATTTACCCCAATCATATGTCCGTACCCATGCTTATCCTTGGGTGAGGGCGCAAGATACGGGCTCAGCCATTTGGATTTTATAACGTAATTCAGACCAGTAAGGTACCCCATTGTAGCGATGAACACCACCGACTCCTGTTGTTGTTGCATAAACCAACAAATGGTCAGTCCCATATTTGCTTGTTTTGCCTGTTTCCCTCCCTCTCAACCAGGGACGAAAGCGGCTAGACTGCTCCAGGAGTACGCATCGGCCACACCAAGCCAGCCAGAAAGCTCGGGGCATATTCACACCCACCCTCACTCACTCCTTCTTCGGCGGACTTACATGCAGCGCTTTACGATAACCATTGACATCCGTCCCATTAATAAGAAAGCCCATGCGATTACCATAGGCGATTTCACTCACTGGAGTTGCAATGAACGTTAGTAGTGCACTGCTTCGCCATTAGGGGAAGAACGAGAGGTTAAAACGCAATAACGTACTACAGTCCATAGCGAAATAGTGTGTCCAAACGGACACGTCCAAAGTCTTGAGCTCCTTCATCCAGGCCAACAAATCGTTAACATTCCTGTCGATAACAGGCTCGTATACCCGTACGGATGTCATCGAGTACTGCCGGAGAGAGAAAATCATCAGCCCATCCATTCATGGGGGGAAGCATGATATAATCGGACATACCGCACCGGCAATCCTTTTCTTCAACCGCTTATGCTGCTCCGCCCTCCTGCTGGAGAAGACGCTATAGTCCTCGCCCGTGTTGTCCGGGTCCATGATGAGGTACCAGGGCGTCTTGCTCAACTCGTTCCTGGTCCCGTAGATGGGCTCCAGGGCGCGCGGGTCGGCGATCGATAGCGAGTTGGGCCCGTCGCGGAATACGGGGCCATACTTTTGGTGCAGGGCGTGGTCGTTGAGGGATTGTCTGAATGTGAGGATGTTTGAGAGGCGCCAGAAGACGGTCAAGCTTGCGAGGACTTTGGAGTTATTTTTCCCCCGGTTAGCGTGATATTGGGGGGGGAGAGCGAGAATTTGTTTGTTTATGCAGGTGGGTAGGTAGGTAGCTGGGTGAGTGGGTGGGTGGATGGATGAGTGGGTGGGAGAGTGGTATGCTTACATGGTCCTGGAAACTTCCTCAGCGGATGAAAGTATCGTTGGTATACCACGTACCAGACCAGGAATGCTGCGAGTGCCTGGAGGGAGGAGTGGTGTAGCGGCTTGAGCAGTAGGTGCTCGACCCGTGATAGAAGATCTGTTGCTTGATCCATGACCTATCGTAGCGTGTGAGAGGGTATGAAGGAAGATGGAAGCAAGGGTATATTAGCACAGGTGAATTAATTGAACAAGGAAGGTTCAATAGTGTTTATAGTCCAACCCTCGCTCACTCACTCACTCACATGGGGAGTAATGGCGGGCGGCAACGGTGAGCAGGCAGGAATGTATGGGGTACTGAACTGAGGGCATATACACGAGAGGGGCCTAAGCTGGCGGACGTTGATACTATATACTCGAGTACTCTCTCCCGTCCCAGGGTGAATGTCGTTCGCCCCAGATATTTACTCACACACCATACAAGGGGGGTGGAAGGAAAGAGAGACATGAATGGAGAAATGGAATTACCGTAGATGCATAGATGTACCGGTAGAGGGGGTTGGAACGGGGATAAGGGGGGAGGGGTGAGGGTTGAAGCTGAGCCTGCAAGACCAGCGAGTACAGTTGCACCTGGCTATAATGAACGCCAAGAATCAGCATTTTGGATTACGTTCACTAATTTTTACTATGGGAGGTTCACTATAGCAAGTTATTTTCCGGTGTAAATTGACTTTTATGCTCACAGGAAATAGTCTGAGACACTAATTCTTGGCGTTCATTATAGCCAGGTGCAACTGTACTAGTACATCAATCCCGCCGCAATATGGCATACCGGTAGATAGGGTGAGTGGGGCATTAGGAAAAATCCAAGAACCAAATCAATCAATCAGTCAGTTCAAATCAATCAATGGTAGGGAGGCTAGGTCAACAGGGCTCTTTACCTTCTTCTTCTCTTTCCCCCTCTTCCTCTTCACAGATACGCAGACACGGCACCGCAAGCTAGGAAAAAGGAGAAAGAAAGTCACACAATTGTCATTCGTCTCGTCTCGTCCTTCTTGTTGGAATACGATACGGCAGGTTAATATATGAAGGAATGAATAAATAACATATTATTACAACGCCACTATCCCCCATCCCTTCCCGGCTCCACACACAAGATTTCGAACCCTGTGAACGAAATTTCCCAGGCTTGTAGACTACGGTATGTTCCAATTGACCTGCTGTGTACTACTAGTACTTGCCGGCTAACGATGATAACTGGGTCAACAGTACGATACGGCGCGGGATTAAGTTGGCAAGTAAATGGCATCCAGGAGCATTACGTCGAGATGCACGATTGCGCAGCTGGACCTATGACAACCGCTCAGGCAGGGAGAGGGAGTCGCATATGATCTCCCTGAATGCATCAGTATCGTACTGTAAGGATGGACGCAAGATCACATACAGCACCAAGTACTGATCAGTACTCGTGCATGTATCATAGCAGGCAAGAAAGAAAGTATCCGGAAACAGGGGTGGTGGATGTGTAGGGGCACCGGGACATGCACGGCTTTTTTGCCCTACGTTTTGTGAAACCCTGCTTCCGGGTATTTCTTTCCTGCTGTTGTCGAGTGCAGTACCGTGCTCGTATCGTACTCGAGTACAGTATACACGTGTAGTACGGTACGGTACCAGTACTATGGACTACTTGGGGTGTGAGCACAAGTCAAGTCTGTTGAACTTTAGCTCATTCGTCAAAGTCACTATGTGTAACCGTTTTTTTTCCCATGCTACAAGTACCCGAGCACTCGGCCAATCCACGCTAGGTTTAGGGAAGGAAAAGAAAAGAGAATGTCAAACTCTCGCCCAGTGGCTGGAGGGAATCCCGCCTTCTACTCGTAAGTGGTAGAGGTGACACCGGGCCAACCAGAGAGGGGTTCAAGAGAGACTAACCTTTGATGACCTGTACGAATACCATACAGCGCAGTACATACTCGTACTGCACGAGAACACAGCGCCGTACTCATTGAATTGACCAACTATCGCGCCGCAGCTGGCACGCTGGTAGGAGTGGCCAAGTTCTCTCTTTCTCCCGGCACTCGTCCTGTGTTTTCTGCTTGTTTTTTCCTCTTTTCTTTTTTTCGCTTCCTTGTTTCTCTACCCGTTGGACGCGTAGTAGAGCAAAGGGTGCCCAATCCGGTGGCATCCTTGGGTATAATACTCTAAGACCAGCCTATGGCAGGCAGTCCAGGCGAAACCTTGTGATACTCGTAAAGTAGGGCTCCGGTAAACGAAGAGCTCTGCTTTCTTTTTCCCTGGGGGGGGGGGTGGGAGGGGGCTTTTGCTCTAACTCACGATATGATCACCTAGATTCTCCTGCGTTACCGTTCAGACCAAGCTCCTTTCCCTTCTCGTACAGTATGGTCTAACTTAGGCTCCCTCCACCTCCTGAACCTTAAACCGCTGGTTGTATCACACCAATCATACTCGTACAGTACGATACCGGTACGGTACTCGAGTACATATGCTTCCTTCTGTTTTACCTTTTTTTCTCCGTGACCATAAAGCACACTAGGCTACCGGAATACCGGCATATCTCAAGCTAACCCCTCAAATCCTTCGAATACTAGTACGGTACCATAGCCTCTGCAAGCCAAAAGAAGGAAAGAAAGGAGGAAAATAATTTTCCTCTTCAACCCCCCCCAACTCGTCGTCAGAAATTCCCCCGCGCTCGGGCCATTAAAAACCACAAACACTGCCGGGATCCAACCCCTCCTCCAAGGGGATAAAATAAAGTAAAAATAGAAAAGATCCAACAAAGAAAGTATGATACCGGTACTCGAGTACTAAGTAAGCTAGAGCCGACTGTAGTCCCGTCTACCCCTAGATAGATGACTCGCCCGCTTGTCGGCTATAGGCGCGGTGACATAGCGTAGGGTTTCCTCCCTGAAGGGTGGGGTGATTCATGCAATCTCACTCGGAGTTCAAGCAGTTGGGTGGGGAATAGATTTCTGGAAAGCGCGTGACCGGAGGGTATCGAATGGATCCGGAAAGAGGGGAGGTTTCGAGATTGTATTGGAGGGATCGTGGAGGTTTGATGCGAATGCGCTTTTTGAAAAGTGGTTGCTGAATGCAAGGTAAAAGAGAGAGAGGTGGGAGGGTGAAGGGGGGGGGAAGATCTGTGTCTTGGAATTTCGAACGTGGGGAATGTATTGGGAAGGTACTCGAGTATCACGGTCTACAGGGGGGGCGATGGGAACAGGAAGTGACGACACGATAGCCAAAACAGGAGTTGTGAAGAGCAGGGGTATGATATTTGGAATGCAGAAAGGGTAAATTCGTCGAGGCACTGGTACCGTACTATACAGTACGGTAGGGTAACCAAAGAATGGTCAGAAAATATCGTATCTTACTTATTGCTTATCCCTGGTCGCCACTCGTGGTGACCTTGTTGAAGACTGTGTGTTTGCCGATTCAGGTTTTGCCCTTTTGTGACGTTTTCCACGATCTTATCCTATCATATCACCGGCACTCTGCGCCGTCGGCGTTCAAACGCCGGAGGGTTGTTTATCAATTCCACCCACCACCCCGACCGCCACCACGACCTCCGTCCATAACGACAGACACGGTACTCGAGATGCCAGTCTAGATTCCACCCAACCCGGCGGGCCGGTCCGGGACCATTCCCTGGCTCCCCGGATTTTAGCCTAACCTCGTCATCACTCGATCCGCTATACCGCGCCCGTTTGCAAATCACTGCTCATGCAACTCCTCCCCGCCATCACAGCGATATACTCGAGTACCGGTAAGGCTTCAAGCACTACTATGCTTCACATTCCATCTTTGCCTCATATTGGTGTGACACCTGTACGGGCACTGCACCTGGCATTTTTGCTATGGCACCGCAGTTCCCCGCTTGGCGGTGGCTATCCCAAATCCGTGCAAGTGCACGATGCGTGTGCCTCGATCTGTAGCCAAATTTTCTGCAGTATGCCGGCGTTTTCAGATCGGGGCTTGATTGGGGGTGGTTATCATGGGGGATCACTCGTGGTTAGCTTGGTCTCGGAAGCTTACTTGCCAAGTTTGGATGGCTCGGGTCCAGCGAGTAAGAGGGAGGGAATACCGGTAAGGGTATTTGCTTTTTTTTTGGATCGGGTCCGAGTGACTTGTTCGGGGGGATCATGAGTCCCGTACCGTACTCGAGTACGAGTAGAGGGATGGAGATGTATCCGCTGACGACATACTACCACTGACGTGCTCGACGAATCGAGGCCTCCTAACAAGCGATTCCGTGCGTGTATTTTTTTGTTTCTTTCTTTTGCGATCAATGGAATGTGGTGTTCGCATTGATCGTCGGGATTTCCCTCCTCCTCTTCCGAACAGGTCCTCCAAGAATACTGCTGTGTTGAACCGCACCCGCATATATCCCTCGAACCCGTGATATGATACTCATGCGGGTATGATGGCCATCCCCCCCCCCCTCTCCCTGCGGTAACACATCGCGGCTCTCCTCGACTACTTGTAATGCATTCCGGCTGACTACCGTATACACCGTAGCGGGTTGGGGGAGGGGGAAAGGTGGACTTAGGGCAACGATTCGAGAGCCGACTTACCGGTACTTGCCGAGGGTATGCCGGGATTTGATTGCGTGCATGCATCGCGAGCCTAGCAACTTTAGCGTCGATCCAATCCTCTCTTCTACACTTAGCATGTTCGGTCACCCATCTAGGTGTCTCTCTTTGAGCCTTTTCCTTCTCTCCCCTCAGGTTTCATGCGCAGCCGCACCACGCTATCCCGGATGACCAAAGTTTCGGGATTTCATTCGGTCCAGCGGGGCATGGGACAGCGGAGGAAGAGGGTTCACGATACCAGTAGTCTACTTGCAGCACCGAATGGATTGTCTGTTCTAACGCTGACGAGTCCGGTTGAAGCTCCTATGGTTTCTCTCTCCCTCAGCCTGCACCTTCAAATTCACTCTGCGGTACCAGCAGAGCATCCTGAGCGATGTGTCAAGGGGATCAACCCCCTCTGCGCTCAACATGGGATGCAAAAGGCAGGAAAACCTGCGTCCCCCGGCGCTATGCTATACAGCCAGTTTATCGCCCAATTATTATTCTCATCCTTTCTTTCTCATCCTTTTTAGGAATAGCCCTTCTAGACTTGCCATAGGAGCGCTGTTCGGAATGAGGGTGTGCAGTACTACCGGTAGCACTCGAGTACTCTACAGTGTGGGGACAGGGGGGTTTCTAAGGTGCATTCCAATTCCATCCGGTCGGGTGATATCCGGAATAGCGGGGCGTGAATGTATCATACAAGGGCCAGGATAAAATAATGAATGATATGGTGCATAACTACTGGTAAAATTTCACTTGTGATGATACTCGTACACCTGAGAAAACATGACCCAGGCAGGATTTCCATTTTCTCTTGATCAATTTCAAGGAAATGTAATTGATGGATGAGATACCTGACCTCCAGTTCATTACGTCCAAGTTATCGAAAGAGAAGAAATAAGAATTCTTTTTGACTTGGGCTCTTGAGCTGGTTGCGAATTGCTTACTAACCCGACTAGAATCAACGTCCACACCACTGCTTTAAGCCGCCTTTTTATGCACGACCCTTGTAATTTGTTGGCGAGGGACCGGGCGCTGGATTCCAGTGTTGGAAATCATTTCCGCTTTGTGTTGGGTGTTGGTGAGGGGTCGGCTGAGCATAGGTGCATAATATCATAGGTGAATGAATGGACGAATTGATCAAACAGGACAAAGCAGAAGAGGAAGAGGGGGAGTTCCGATCGTCTGAGGAGATGAGAGCTGAAAAGGTTGCAAGAATGGTGGTCTCATTATTCATGTCGCCGGACTGAAGTCGCTCGCTCTTTGGTACTGATGCACCGAAGGAAAAACAAAAAAAACACCACTTCACTGCGACACGAGTGCTGTGAAAACTGGTGTTTCGCCGACTACTGAATCCAGGGGCAAAACAGGATACGTTACTGAATCTAAGCCGTCCGATTCAACCCCAGGGGGCAATGGGTAAAGGTAAGGCGGTAAGATATGGGGCGGGGACTTGATGTTCAGATAAGTTAACCTGACGTAAAGTACTGTACAGTACATTTTCACCTGGAAGATTAGGTAGGGCTGTTGCGGCCTTTGTCGAGCGCCGGCGACTAGTGACTACCGGCACGGGCACGATCTGGCTGGAGTCGGGGAGTGATGTGGAGAGACGGTATGTGCGCTTCTTCTAGATTTCGGCAGGTTACTAAAGCGAAAATATGGCTTTGTTCCGAGTTGTAATTCCGACGAGGCTGGGACGCGAAGATGAAGCACAATCCTCGCGCTTGACGACTTTGCCAAGTGGATGATACTCCATCCTAGCTATGAACTGCGGTCCTAGGATACTCGAGTACACTACATGTACTCGCGCGGCTACCGCGCCTGTGCTTCTTCCACTCGAGAAACGCAAGAACAATAAACACAGTGCTAAACAAGGGGCTACAGTGCCTCGGGAAACGAAACGAAGTAGTGGCTTGACTGATGCTGATGGCGGAGATTATATGGGGCCGGGTTTGCGCCGTCTTTGGCTGTTCTTCTAAACCGGGGTACTGAGATAACGGTTTGTAATGAAATTCCCAGAATCTTGCTCAGGATTGAGTGTTTTATCTTAGGAAAGGACTCTCGTTCGGGATATACGGTATCCGCAGGCCTCATGATCCGGGGAATCGCACTACGGCACACAGGGTGCGTCACGGTATCTGCACCCGCCTAAATAGATACCAGAATATCAGGACAACCGGGCAGACGCACACACTTCTGCTTGGATTGAATACTTACATGTGAGGGTAGGGGATAATCTGTCTATCTGACTGATAAACTGATAAACACTGATGGCCAAAGGCTAGCCAAATCTACACAATCGTAGTGGGCGCACTTCTTCCATACTCAATAATCGAAGGAAATATATCCCACTATCGGGCTAGCAAGGCTGATGCACACATTGACAGGAAATAGTCTATCGCGCCTATCACCCTACGACGAAATATCGAGAATTATGCGTTATGGAAACCAGGGGACTAGAAAAAAACAAAGACAGAACACTTCCCCCATGTCTGCGGCACCATCTCCGCCTCCTAGGAGTTAGCCACACAAATGGCGGGGAAGTACCTAACCAACAATACACGGGATTCACTTTCGAAACCGGGCAACTGGAATATGAGAGCAACCAACACTCAAGTGCAATTCCAGGGCTTCCGAACACAGGGATATTCCAGGTAGCGGTGGGGGGGGATTATCGTCTGAATAAATACCTACTACGCCACCCGAATACCTCCTGGCACGGTCCATGACTCGGCGGCCACAAAAAAAACTAAAATGCGCCACAGCGACACAGCCGCGCCTCTAGCAGGCAGAGGTGATAACCAGTGACTTTGAATAGACCTTCCTTCCTTTTAACTTTGATATAACACCATACGGGCAATGTACACCATGATCCCCCCCATGCAAAACATTATCAGGAAAGATGGAGCTCCCGGATACCTTGGGACTCGATCTCACCACAGCACACCCCAAAATTACCACACCACACCATACCATACCATACCATGCTATGCTATGCTGCACCACACCGTACCGCTGTCGGAGACCGTGCGGGGTGAGTGGATATCGAAGATAAGCTATGTGGGAAGATATGCAGAATAGAGTAGATGGGGGGCAGAGAGCATCGCATGCTAAACCGCCCGCTCGGCGCGCGGACACCCCGCGCCGCCATACCCATACCAATAAGCAGGGTCCCTGTCCACCCACAAGGCTCTTGCCCTCCATTCCCCGAGCACCAATGCACCAAGCAGGACGGTGGGGCAGCTGGATACGGTGTGGGGTATTCCCGCACCCTCCCTCACACCAGAGTGATATCGAATGATTATTGAGAACTGTGAGTCTTGGATATAACTTGGCATCATCGAAAACGTTCCCACGCTGCATTTTTCATGGGCTCTACTCGGGCTCTCCCGTCTGTTCCTCTACTCGACTCAAGTTTGAACCTTCAACCTTTTTTTTTCTCTTCATTCAGACCCTCTACTCGAGTATTGTAAATAATTCTCCTCGTGTTATAAACATATGTTTCTTATCCCCCCCCACCCTCTAGCATCACTTTCCATTCCTAACTTTGAATATCCCTAATACCGTAGTGGGGGGTAATACCCGTGTCTGGGTATCACCTCGTAACCACGCCGACGACCGAAACGCACGAAGAAAATGTCCTTTTTACATAGCCTGATACTATCCCAAGTGGCTGAATTTTACCTGTATTCTAAACATTTAAAAACTAATAGTCTACTGCCAAAACACCCACCCGTGCACCACCATACATATAAGCATCACCGCATCAAAAACTCGATTCTCAATGCCCAATCCTCCAATCCCAATCGATATCCAAAGCTACACACATACATCTAACATGCCACCCACCTAGCGGTACAGAATATCACCGTCTCTCCCCCTCCCCACCAATAGTATATCCTCTCGCAACCCCACTCCTACCGGCCTCTACCACAGCGCCAAATCCATCATTCCCATTCTCATCTTCCTCATACTTAATCAGTATGTCACTGCCTAGGCCTCTCCATGAGCGCTTATCTTTCAAAAACCGTGCAGCCGGAGAAACTACCCCCCTAATGGCACTGCTTAGTTGTTTTGATGAATTCAAGGTATGTATTAATACAGACGAGGGGGTGGAGGGATCATGAGAGTATTTTATGGGGTGGGGTTTTCGAGGCATGTGACGGGGGGTAGTTACGTATCTGCCGGTATGTAGGTCGAATTCTGGGGGTTCGTCTTCCTCTTCGTCTGCTCCCTCCTCCCTACCCTCTTCACTAACATCTACCTCTTTGCCGCTAGCAGCAGCCGCAAGCTTCGTATCCCCATCCATCTTAAGCAAACTTTCGAAATCAGACACCCAGAGGCCGGTCCACCCCCACCCATCTTTCCTGCTAAGTGCAATTCCAATCTCGAACAGGGTCACCACGCCCCTGAAAAATCCCCTGCTACTCCCTTCCGTACCACCCCCTACAATCCCCTGTTCCCAACAGCCTACACCTACCCAAACCTCTACCTCGGCAAAATTCGCCACCTTCTCGACGTTGACCTTACCAACGACAACTAAGTAACTTATCCTCCCAGCATCCCAGATCTGTCGTTTCAGCATTGATATAACCGGGAGGTAATTTTTTACGTTTAGAGTGTTGACTAGAATTCCTATAACATTTGCGTTGCCAGCATGGGAGAGGAGGGCATATCGCCGGCGGAGGAGGATGGAGATGGTTTCTCGGTTGTAGGTTGGCAGAGTAGTGGTTGTGTCATATATGTGGATTGAGTGGACGTGGGAGTTTAGGACCTAGAGGAGGGAGGAGAGTGGGGGGGAGATGTGGAATAGGGAGTATGACTTTAATCCTCCCTCTTCTCCCTCCTCTTTTCCTTTTCTTTCTTCTGCTAAGCAGTTTGGAGGAGGGCCCCTGTTGCGAATTTGAGCTGATGGGTCATGTATTACCTCTGTTGAATAAACATTAGTGTACCCCATTCCTTGCAGAATCTTGTGTAAAGGCCCGACGTGAGAAGAATATGTGACATCTGCCATTATGATCACCTTTTGTGACTTGTACGAGAATGTGTTGCAGAATGTGCTAGCGGCATGGGTGAGGTCTAGAGGGCTTGAGGTAAAGACATAGATTCCCGGTAGGCGGGTGGTGGGTGAAAGACATGAGCGGCCGTAGTGCACGAGAACATCGGCAGCACAGTGTTCTGCGGTAATCTCATCGATGCAGCAGGCAGAGTATGAGGTGTTGGCTAGGATGAAGGCTCTCTTGGGCTCTGAGGTTGGGGTGGTGGTAGCTGTGCCAGTGGTAGACTGCGTGGTTTGAGGGATGGGAAGATAATTTTTCAAAAAAGTGAAGAACATAAATGGTAGGGTTCACTTGGGAAGCCTGGAGCCCGCCCTTCTCTCGGGAGCACGAAACAGTTTGCATGAAACTAGGAGGCTCAGTTGGCCCTGTACCATCTATGGTAATCATTCATGCCTCATTGCTGCTGCAGCTAACATATTTATAAGTACTTTTCGTATCAAAGCTGTGCCCCCAGATACTCTGCAATCTGCTCCGTACGTTGTGCAACAGTGGCGGCCGCGGGCAGGTGAGGGAGACCAAGAAGCGCCGCAACAGCCTGACATTGGTTTACTATCAACCGAAAAATATTAATAAAGTTCAGAAGTGCTAATAGGGAGAGCCTACTGGTCATGTGAACAAGAGCATGACGGGTGGGTAGGAGTGCGGGGGCTACTGGTATCCCAACTGGGTAGCGAAGGGGTACGTGACTGGAGACAGTCGAATTATACAATCTGATCGGCAAGAGTTGCTGCCTAGTTGACATGTAAGTTATACTGTTTAGCCCAACTGAGATCGGTAAAGATACTCATTCTGCATCCCCGCAAATTGCTCCTGCATCCCCCCAAATTGCTCCTGCATCCCCACAATTTGCTCCTGCATCTGTCCCAGAAGAGCAACTATTTGCAAATGGTTTGCATTGATCTGTTGCTGCAGCGCATCGATCCCAACCAACGCAGGTATGTTGGGAACCAAGACAACCTCATTCTGGATGCCATGAACGTGAGCCTGGACGCCCTGTAGGTAATCTTGAACACCCTGTAGGTAGTGTTCGTTACGGGGCGGCGCGGCGCGGCTTTCCGCAATTTCTCCCCGCCCCGTTGCGGCCACGGGGCGCCGCCAAACTCCCCCCTCCCCGCCCCGCCCCCCGCACGGGGGCTACCGGGCGACCCCAATTGTGCTCCCAGCCATATAATTTGGTGGGAGCAGTAGCGGGGCCCCGTACAGGGGGTGGCCATGGCGGGGGGCCGTATCGGGCGGGGGAGGGAATGGAGGAGAAAATAGGCCCCGCCCCGGGCCAAACGCCGGGGCGGGGCGGGGAACGGGGGCAGGGACCTGCAGTTTTCGGGACCAGAGGCCCCGTAACGAACTCTACCTGTAGGTGGTTGCCAATGGCTGGGAAATTGGGCTGGGCCATTTTTCCGATAGTAGTTCTTCCGGCGGTCTCTGGAACAACCTTCAACAGCCTACCGGTCAAACTGTCAGTGATGGTTAGTCAGGAGCTTCCATGGTTTTTAAAATTCAGACATCGATGAATATTGTTAATTTACCTAACGTCTTATTGTGTTAAGCAAGGGGAGGTATTGCTGTTCTGTATTTGTTGTGTTGTGAGGTTGAAGAAGCGTCGTGGAAAAGAATTAGTTGTTGCCAAAGCATCTGAAAGCCACATGTAGCCCGTTTTTTGCCAAGACATGCCAAGGCTGTTCTGAATTCTGATTTTATGAACTGGAGCTTACGACAACCGAAACCTGCGGAAATGTATTCCATCTCAACTTCAAAAGCCAACTGAACATATCGCACTAGTTTGTCCTTTGCACAGAGGGCCCCGGGACTCTACTTGAGTATGTATTATTCAGACAAAGATTGGTCACGTGGTGTCAGCTGGTGTGTCGTGGCATGCGGCCGCTAACTAATTCTTCAAGCGTACGGTAGCCGTCAAGCAGGGCAGCATTGCTTCCATTATCAGTTTTAGATCAACGCTGCATAAAGCCGCAACCTCAAAACTCTCGTACCTTCGCTTAGTAGTGTGAGAAGGTTTTCAAAGCTCCTGGACGATACGAGTATGATACTGTGTTTATTCCGCGAGTGCGGGATATCTATTTGTAAACCTAAACCACACAAGATGCCCAGGCTTGGTGTAAAAATAATAATACAAGTTTTATGGGTTTTGTGGGGGTGCCTAACTTGGTGAAAAATATGCTTTCTTTTTTTTTAGATTATGTTAGCTTTGTGAAAACGATTACCCGGTATTGGAGTTAGTGGGATCTTGCTGGTGGCTGAGTCTGAAGCATCATATATGTCGGCTTCTGGTATTTTAAGTTGGCTTTGGTGTGTGAAAAGCTGCCCTTTGTGGGGTTTGCGAGGTTCTTCTACTTGGTGAAAAGATGTCTCCCGAGGGGATATGGAATGTCTGGTCACGGAGCTAAATCTGGCTCCAAGAGTCTGTTTACGGCTTCAAGATGCTGCTTTGGGGCTGTCCGGAGCATCATCTAAGATCATTACGAGTGATATGATACCTCCGACGACACCTCATATCAAAAAGCGAGTGCGAACCCATGACCGCACACCACACCAACCAACCAACCCCGCCTCCGCCTTCCCACGTGGACCGCACGACGTTGCCCATGGTATCCCATCATGTCATATCCCGGGGGTTTGTCAATCCTGTTGGCATGATAGCAAGCGAACAGAGCTAATAAACCCCCAAGTTATATACTCGTACATCCATCCCGTCACAATATAGAGTATCAGGCAACATGCTATACGTAACACAGTAGCATATCATACGGACACTTTTCTCTCGCCAACAGGACACACGTATGTACCGCAACGGCGTTGGCAATTGATAGACAAAAAAAAAATAAACACATGGCGCAAAAGCGTTCAAAACGTGTATCATACCACACCTTGCCTGTCGCATCCTGCGATGCCTCCCTTATGTCAGGGTAAAAGGGGTGGAATAATACACGCGAACAATTATATCATAGGAGATCTAGTGTTCAATCCTCCGGCTGGTCTCCCACATATCTCGTAAGTCAATTATTTTCCTTGCAACTAGTACTCGCACAGTATAACTAGAAGTCCGGTATCATACTTGCATATTAAAACACCACACTTCTTTATAAACTTCTTTTCCCAAATCACAACCCCAGCAAGACCCATCAAACAGATTGAGATTTCTCCTTCTTCTTCTCTGATGTATTTTAAAGCATCATGGGATATTCTCTATTTATGCTAGTATTCGCTGCCTTCGAAAAGGGTTGGGAAATGTGAATCGAACGCTGACTGATGAATTCCATATCGTTTTCACAATTTTGCCCTGCCGGTGACATGAGGGAGGAATTGCAGTATTCAACTGGCCGGGTACGATATGATTCGGTATGATACAGTGCTCAAGTGGCCGGATTGATGTTACTCCCGTTTCGGTGGTGACCTGCCCAGAGGAGAAAAAAAAGAACGCGACTTCAATTCGGCCGGCGACGTGAGTGCTCGAGTACATGTTCGGAACACTTTGCACTATACCGTAGGGTGATTGATTGATTGCCAGCAATTTTAATTTTAATTTTTTTAAAAAAAACCCCCCAGACCACGGCACAACAGCACATCCCGCCAGCATTCAAAAAAACGTGCTCGTAGAGTCTCACGTCATGCTTGTATCGCGTCTATTTGCTTGTTTATTTGTTTACTTATTTATCTCTCGTTCCGGTCGTTTGTATGATAGAGTACAGTATATAAGTTAAGATACATACACACTTGCCCACCCAGCTAGCGGACTGACTGACTGACTACTCGAGTACACCCTCCGCACGCTGCACATATTCCGAGGAAAAGGGAGGGGGGGGAAGGGGAAAGGGAAAGGGAAAGGATAGGTCTTACGATAATTGAATGACCGGACTGGGAAGGCGAGATAGAACCCATGCATAAGGAAATACAAACGATGAACGCCACACGGAACACGACACTAAGATACACCTCTGACTAGAAAAGAACAGGACGGAATGGAACAGGCAGGATGTAATGGTGATGAAGAAAAGAATCACAAAATTTATCATAGAGAGAAGCAGCAGTGGAGCGAGGATCTGAAAAACAGAGAAGGGGAAGAAAAGGAAACCGTTGGTTTCATAGCTGGGGGTCAGCATTACTGCTACTACCCCTGTCTTCCCGCACCACATCAACCTCTGCCTCCTCGCGCTTCATCACCATCATCCTGCCCACGACGACGACCATCATTCCCTTCCTTTCCCTCTTTCCACCATTTCAGTTTCCACCAGCCTCCTATCGCACCTTGCAGGATTCTCTCTTTCCTGGAACCCCTGCCCGAGTTGCCACGACCCATGTGGCTTCCTCTTCGGGTGTACCTCCTCCCGCCCGAGGCCTTCCTTAATAGACTCGTGCCCTCATCCACGTCACTTCCGGCCTCTTCTTCGTCCCTCGGGAGCCCGCCCTCGTCTTGGAGCTCTCCCCAGATCTCTTCCACTTCCGACAGCGCACGCCTTCGTTTTAGGAACTTGTCGTGGGCGGATGGGGATGACGGGGAGGCAAGCAGCCGGTCTGTGTCAATCTCCGAGCCCTCGTCTTCGGTGTCTGTCGAGGGCTCCGAAGAGTCGGTATCTATGAAGCCTATGCCGGGGGAGAGTACACCTGCGGCAGTTGTGGGTGGGTTCACTGGTTCCTGATTTAGGCGCCAGGAGAGGGCAAGAACGCCGGTTAGGAGGATGACAGTGCCGAGGGCGATCTTTTATACCCTATGTTAATGCAACTCTAGAAGAGGGAGAAGTGAAAGAAAGAAAGAAAGAGGTGAATACCAAGCAGCCGTGTAGCAGCGTAAGTCTGGATGCCTGTCTATAGTACAAAAGACCGTCTAAGATGGCAATTATGTTATATACGCAGAAAACAAGAGGATATAGAACACTGGTTGAGCAGAGCTTTAGTCCTCGGTGGAGATAGTATAGCTGTGTCAGTGCAAGGCCTACGAGGCCGAGTAGGATCATCCAGGATTGCCAACGGTTGAATTGATTGTGTCGGTCGACTATTGTGCGAACGAGTAGCTCGACAGCGGATTTGGCGAGAAGGAGACAATGAGCAGAGAGTATCCCACTTTACATGTTAAAGGGAAGAAAAGAAAAAAAAAGTCAGCCTCTCAACAGCACCGCTCACTTCCGTCCCATCTCGGAATAAGTAAACTCATACCTAACGCAGCCGTATGCAACACCCCGAACCATCCTCATCTTGGCAGTATGTTTCAACCTGGGCCGTAGGATCGAACTCGCTTTCGTCGCCCCGAGAATCCCCATAATCAACAAAGCTGTACACACCATCCACGACAAAAAGGTCTTCTTCGCCAATAAATCCAGCAGCTCATCAAGACTGTGCGCGGGCTCCTTCATCGCCCCGAACGCCGCGATCAGCGCGGCGCCGACGCACACGAGGATGGTTCCTATCAGTGAGTACCGAGTGAAAGGTTCTGACAGGATTAAGGTCGCGCAGATGGAGTTGAAGACCAAGCCCGAGGCTTGCAGTGGCGAGAGGATGACCAGCGGCAGAGTGGTAATTTGAATGCTAGAGCCCAAGATATTGGATATTATGAATAGCAGCATTCCAATCTGTAATTGTTCTAGAATTAGCTCGAGCATTACCGGTGGGTGAGCGCCGGTGAGTTACCTGCCACAGTCGTCGGCGATGCGGTGGCCGCTGCTTGACATGTGGTGGTCTATCATCTTCCTGTAGATGAGATTTGCGCTGCAGCGTTAAGCCTAAGCTCTGCACGCTCGTTGACAGCACCCCGACACATACACCTATCGTAATCTGGGCGCCGGAAGAGAGATCGCTGGGTCCCACCATGAAGAGCGACTTTATCCCGTTACTTTTCACGGACAAGTGATGAGTGGGGGTGGGGGGTCAGAGAGAGAGGCGTTCGTTGTTGGTAATGGGGTGTGAATCGTTGGCTCCGGTGGGTGGGTGTGTTGTAAAGATGGGGGGGTTCGTGTTGTACGGGTGCGTATCCGGGTGGGAGAGATATGAAGAGCAGCCAGCTGGGTTCGAACGCACTTTCGCTTAAATTCCCATGGCGGTGTTTCCTAAAACGATGAGCGAAAAACAAGAGGGTTGGCCCGCAGCTGGTATGTCGAGAGGGAGAGGGAGTGGCCAGAATGTTAAACTGCGGAAATGGTGGGAAAAAATGTCTAGCTGGCTAGTTGTCTCAGGTTGTGTTTCCACAGGTATCGGGCGGGAGGGGGTGGTTGAAAGTGGTTGAAAGTGGTTGAGGAGGAAGGGAGAGAAGGAGGGGGAGAACGGAGCTAAAGTTAGCCGCAGATGGGGTAAAGGTACAAAGTGAGTAAGGACAGCCAGAATTTAAAAAAGGAGAGACAGGCAATCTACGGTATTGAATAGAGAGATTGTACCTGTACCCTACGTCCTGCTGGTAATTCGAGATGCGCTGTCACTGGATGCCTCTGCTGCAATATATTTATGAAGGGTCCGGTAAGTTAGTGTGCAGGATAATCATGCTTGTGCATATCCTCTTTACTTATTCTATGCCACTTTCCCATCCTTCCTTCAGGTCCCCCCTCTATTCTATACTTCTTCCATCGCGGACGATCCCACTCCCCCAGAACTCATCTCCAAATCTTTCTCGGGGGGCGTCGCGGTCGAGATGGGTAGAAAACAAAGAGCGAACCAAGGTAAATAAACATCATCCAATCTACCTGATGGATCCAGGAGAACTTCTCGCCGTCACGTGCTCGGGGCGGCCGAGTTGAACTCGAACACCTTGTACTCGAGTAGACTGTAGGAACCGCCGCCTCGGGCGTCCAACTCCAACTCGACCGCGCTGGCGGGTGATTGATTTTAAATAAGCTCCCACACGACTTCATGCTACGAGTACTACCGGTGTCATTGTTAGGCGCTGAATGGGGCGTGGGTCATACTGTATATGGTGCCGTGGAAATAACACATTTCATACTCGTCCGACCTGGCTGCGAAACGACCTGAATCCCAACCCCCTATCCCCTCCCGCTTCATCTGTAGGGCTGTGACAGAGCCCTGCGACCTATCCTTGTCAAAACACTGGCCCCCCCCTCACGTGGGCCCAAAGCATGCACCCGGCGCCTCGCTGCCTGGAAATCCGATTAGATGCACTTCGTAGCATAGCACGGCATCACAAAAGTGCCGATATTCCTGCGGGAGAGGGAGGCGGTGTCATTACGAGAGTCGACACAAGATGGACAGCAGCGCGCTCCATGGAGATTACATTGATCGGATGATGGCAGTGAGGAGGGATTCCTGCAGGAGATCCCGCCTGCCAGGAGCTAACCCGCCCAGGCAAGCTCGGATAAAATGTTGGGCGAGGGGTGAGGGGCGAGGCTAAAAATGGACTCTCTGTAGACGTTATGGTGCAACAAGTGAGCGGACAGTCGCAGCTTCTGATACCAGCATATTGTCCGCCCGTATTGCAGGTTACGAGTGTCCACTATGTCAAGTTGAGGTGCTGACACATCCCCAATCAGCTCCGGCAACCCAAGTTTCCAGCTTGGGAGAACTCGAGTACACTTACGGCGCCTGAACAGCGGATCCGGTGGATGCACAGTACCGTACTCTCACAGTGCTACGATTCCACCAGTTCTATCGTATCTGGAAGAGCATCCACCACCGGTACTCGAGCAAACGCATAGAAGCCGACACTTCTAGTCTGTACCCACGCAAGTTGCGAATCACTATACTCGAGTATATCATGCACGACAAACTAAGACAAATTTAGCAGCTTGCGGTTAACCAGTTCAATAAACTCAAAGCAATTACAGTAATGTAGGGTATTGTACTCGTACCCGAGTACAGTAGAGAGGCCCTCAGCCCCGGGTTTGAAGAACATTTATGCAAAGCTTTTCGGGTGGAAAAATCCTAGTCCGTGTAACGCTTCTCTGCACACAAAACCGACGTATCAACCCGAAACTTGGCACTCCAAATGTTTTTTTGAACCCCGACGCTGGATGCCTCTCTGCTGCCAGGGCGAGAAGTCTCCGAAAACAGGGATCTGCAAAGCATAACTGTACTATACGGTACTCGAGTACGGCAAAAGCTCCGTGCGGATCTGAGCCCCCATGCAGGCCCACAGCCCATATTCTCGCGTACTTCTTGCCGGGGGCGAGCCTTGAGAGTTGAGGGACACTCCGCATCTGGAGTTCATTCACGACCTATCACTCGAATACCTGTCCGGGACTGCTGGATGCCGTTTCCGGTCAGGAACAGCTCTCGTGAGAGTGCCAATTAGGGAGAAATGTGATCGGTGGCCCCTTAGAATAAATGCCTATAGCATAAACATAAGAACACCGTTCCTCTGCAGCTCGTCAGGATTCACCTGTTTACGAGAGCACCTCTCCAACCCGGACACACCATGAGCCGATTTAGACGCCATGTAGACTACCTCTCTCAAACCATACCGTCAGAGCTCGGATAATAGAATCTTGTGCCATCACGTCGGGGCTCCTGCTCCTGGTGAGTCCTTACTTGGAAGAGTGGCCTAGACGTGCACAATCATTATCAACCGAGAACAGAGGTGCGGGCCTGATTATATTGACGGCCGGGGCAAGTGGATCCATGGCTGGAACGTAGAACACAGGCAGACCAATATCTCGCTTTCTAATTACCCCCCCCAACAAAGCCCTATGGGCGGCCCAACTCCAAAGTATTTACCAATAAAAGTTCAAGGCGGTTGGCAGAGTGTGAGGCCTCGATACAGCAACATCTTGGGTGGAGTGGAGAGAAAAAGGAGATGCCTATGGTGGCGTCTCGCACATCATTACCAGTGCCGGAAAACACCGAGAGACCCCGAGGCCTCTAAATTTAAGCTCACCATAACTGTGGTATTGTAACCTGCGGCTTGCCGAAATCCAAGTCGTTGTGCTGGCGTAGGCCCAACATTGAGTGACGATCCGTCATTCCTACCCCTGCTGACCAAGTACGGTAAATCTACCGGCAGACAACCGGTACCGTATGAATCGTATGACACGGTACGGCTGCCACTAAAAACAGCTTCCCCACACCCGACCCCACAATGCCAAATCCCCAAATGCACAAAAGGGTCCGTTTTTTAGTCACCCGTAGTTGAAACCAATTGGTTAGCTTGAGCCTCCATTTCTGTATTTCTCAACCCCTTCCGGTTGTATATGTTCGTTTCGTGTCTTACCTTGCCAGAGCCTCTTGGGTTCCGCATCGTCGTCATTTTAAGCTACGGTACCGCAGTCTACCGTATCTCTCCGCATTTTCCCAACATAGCCCCACAGCACCGACAACAACAGCAACGCCGTTGAACCATCTCATAACAACCGCTCTATCCTTCTCGATACCGGATACATTCTACCCGCGGTTTTCACGCTCTCATCTACTTTCGTCGAATACCTTTTACTTGCGGATTTGTGATAGACAGAGCACTCGATTGCTTCCCACACTTTGGAACAACCGGTCTTAAGTTTAATTAACTCAAACATTAGGCTGCATTCACAATGGCGCACGCTCTTAGCAATGACCAGGTCAGTGGTACTTCTCTCTTCAAGAACCCGACTTTAAGGGAAGGTTTTTACAGAACAGACCGACCAGACCATACCAAACACTTCCCCTTCCCCGCCCCATCATAGAGCTGGCAAGACACTAAAACAATGCAGGTCAACACCGAACTCAAAAAAATGGTCGCCTTCATAAAACAAGAAGCCCTCGAGAAGGCCCGTGAGATCAGCATAAAAGCCGATGAGGAATTCGCCATCGAAAAGTCCAAACTAGTCCGAACAGAGACGCTAGCGATAGACACCCAATACGAGCGCAAATTCAAGCAAGCTGAACTGTCGCAACAAATTGCGCGCTCGAACGTCACGAACAAGACGCGGCTCAAGGTTCTCGCTGCGAGACAGCAGCTTCTGGACGACATCTTTGAGAAGGTCCGTGGGAGGTTGGCGGACATTAGCAAGGATGAGGAGAATTACGGGGAGATATTGAAGAATTTGGTGTTGGAGTGTGTGTACGCACTTGATGAGAGGAATGTTAGTATCCGTGTTAGGGAGAAGGATCTAGAGGTTGCCAAGCGGGCGGTGGAGAAGGCCAAGGGGGAGTATAAAGGGGGGCTGCAGGTGGAGATTGAGGAGGGGAATTGGTTGCCTGCTGAGGAGTTTGTCTACCCTCTTATCCCCATTACCACCTTCTTGTGCGATCTGACAATGGATACGTGTGCCATATAGCCACGGCGGAATCTACATGATCAGCGGTAGCGGGAAGATCTCCATCAACAACACTCTGGAAGAACGCCTCAAGCTTCTGGAAATCGAAGCGCTACCGGCCGTCCGCGCCAGCGTCTTTGGACAAAACCCCAACCGCAAGTTCTACGATTGATTGATTGATTGGCCGGCCCCGCTCACCCCCCCCCCTGCCATCCCAACCATGGATACGCATGTTTTCGCTTTTATACTCCATTATTGTTCGGGGAAAAAAAGAGCCTGTGATCCTACTTTTTCTTTTTCCTCCTTCTTTCTATAGCTCTTATATCATACGTATAGTGCCCAACCACTAGCCCCGTATTCACTCCCCTTCCCATCTTTCCTTCCGTGCCGTAGCGTAACGTAATAGAGCTTCCAAGCATGACCCTCGCCACCCATTTTTCCATGCTGGGATTATACCTTGCCTAGAGCCTCCGACCTCGCGTATCTACCATACCCACGAGCGTAAACATCACATACACACACACACCCTCTCTCTCTACCGGTGCCACACACATCACACCAAATCGTGACATAGCAAAGCGCAACAGTGAGCACACGCACCGCCACCGGTACCAAACAAAACAGTCATAACCGTAAACTGGATCACCGCAGCCAATCTTGGACGCAAGTTATCCATGCATCCATCCGGCCCCCACCGGAGATGAGAGTACCGGTGCTCGAGCATCCCGGGCGTAATACCGGCACCTGTGGCCAACCTTCCTCTTCGGTACAGCGCTCCCCGGCAGCTACCCAATCACCGGACAGGGGGACTTGAACGGTGGACGAGTGAGTGGTTGTGTATGTGGTTTATATTACCTGTAATTACCAATGAAGGGGATGTCGTATGTTAATGTGCGGCTTTGTGCGGAAGCGTAGCGGGTTTGGTATCAACATGGGGTACTAGGGACTCGTAGGGCAGGGTAGGTGGACGGATGGATGGATAGTATCATGATATTATGATGGTATGATAGCAGGATTCAGTGTTGAAGCACCGGTAGTCATAGTAACTTGACCCCTCCCAACAAACGAAAGGGAAGAGAAAGAGGGTAGCTAAAGATAGAAAGAGATAATAGTAAAAGAAGCCATAACTCCAATCGTTCCTTGCAACATTTTTGGAAGGGGAGAAAAGAAAAAAAAAGAAGAGAGAAAGGAAAGGAAAGGAAAGGAGAGCTTCGGAAACGACAGGTATGAGTACATCAAGCGCCAGGAAAGAAGAGGAAGAAGAAGAAAACGTATTATGATATTGCCAGGAGTCTGCTACTCTTCCCCATTCTCCACATCCTCCCCCCCCGTCTTCTCCTTCGGCTTCAGCTTCAACTTCGTCTGCGTCTTCCCCCCCTTCCCGGTCCACTCTGTGCCAAACGCGGTATCAACGACAAGGTTCATCTTCTCCCTTTTCCTCACACCAAACCTGAGCCTAAACATTAGCCTCTCGATAACATCCTTCGACTCCGTCCTCGATAAATTCTGCGCATTTGTGTCCCTAATCTTGGAGAACATGTTCCTAAAGTTCTCTACGAGCGCGTCAACCTCCAGATCGTTCGTGTTAGGTTCGCCGGACGTGGGGCCGTCGTCGATGGCGATATCCAGAATGCATATGGTCGCGCGGAGCTCGTCGTAATCCGTGTCGTTATTGATTTCGAAGGTCGGGCTGGACTTTAGGAGTCGGGCGAAGCGCTGGAGCCGGACGAGGCCAGGGTAATCTTTGCTAAGGTAAGTGGGGTCCTGGAAGAGGTATGCGAGTGCTAGCCGCCGGCGGAAGAGGTGCGTGCGTGGGGTGACGCATGGGAGAATGGTCAAGAGACTGTAGCGGATATCTGGGTCGCTAACTGTGGAGATGAAGTTATGGCCAATAGACAGAGTCTTTGAAGAATGTTAGGATCACAAGTGTGAGTGTGGGGGAATTGGGGACTTGCAGTTTCTTCCCATTCAGTCTCAGGGATTGCATGAAACAGGTTCTCCAGCGAGTCTTCAATAGCAGCACGTAGGGATGGGCACTTGGCGACACGCACATCAAGAGAAAGACGGCCTAGAAGCTTGCATGATTCTTTAAACACTTTCTCATTCGAAGATATCCTAGACTATATTAGTAAACTCTGAGAATTAGCCTTTGAAAGGAAAATCGAATTCTAACCCATGAGCCATCTTGCCAATATATTTAACTACCAACTGGATATTCCAGTAATCAAGAGGAGAATCATCTACGATATCCAAGTTAGTTTGATCTACCAAATTCCGATATCATCACCAGATTCGTTACCTTTTCTGGATGACCGCCCCAGGCGAACAGGCCCATCAACGCTAAGGGCATCCTCCCTCCCGCCCAGAAGCTGAAATATATGCACCAGCCCGTGGCTAGATAAAGCATGGAGGAGTTCCTCAGTCGATATGCAACAAAGGGTTCGGTAGTATGCAAATGATAGATCCTGATTATCCTCCAAAGCCACTGCACAACTGGTAAGTAAGAGTGGTACAAGATTGAGACAAACATACTCTCTATGAACATCCATTCGAGAACTTTCTCAGAAAACTTGACGCCGATCTCCATCATGTCATGCACAAAGCCTGACACAAAAGTCTCTCGGCGCACCCGAGTATCTATCGTCACAATCAGATTAGCCTGTGAGGTATTGAATCCTACCACGCGGATTCGGCATATCCAACCTGCCAGATTCGTTGTTTCCCAGCCCCTTTTCAGGTGTTCTAGGGGGAAAGGAATCCTGTCTCTAGGCCTGCGTGCCTTTTCTACGTCAAAGAAGTGCCACGATTTCTCAATCCTCCAAGCGTCCTTCCTATCAAGAGCACCTAGGAGTTTGCTCGCTTGTCCTTCCCCAAGCTTACTTCCAATTTCTTCTTCGGAGGGCCTGACCCTCCCTTCTCCACCTGAGATCTCCTTTTGAGCATCCTCGAACATTTTACGTGCCTTCATTATATCATCGCCAAGCGACGATTTCCTAGCTCGCTCTTCAATAATCCTATCAAGAGAAAACTTATAGGTTCGAGGCTTCGGTGTTTCAGGAGGTCCTTTTGGAATAGCAACGTTCCTCAACCAAAGAGTGCCACCCGGCTCTTTCTTTTCGCGTGGGGTTTGCACGGGTGGTTTTCGGGCACGGAGCATTGAGCCAAGGTCTTCGAGACCATCAGAGTCCTCACTCTCCTCACCATCGGAACTTGGTACGACTCGCTGTCTTTTAGCTGGTTCGTTTCTAGGCATTGACGACGGTTGAACCGATGGATCTGAGACAGAGCTCTCCCGCAAAAGCTGTTTGGTGGGTGGACTGATCTTTTCTTGATCATCAGCAAACAATAGTGAAATTGTCAACGAAGGGCCGGATAGACACACCGTTGGGTCCTTCTCAAAACTTGAGTCCTGGCAGCGGGTGAGATCTTCTTCCTGGGAAGCAACCTGCCCTGTAGACCAATTACGGGAACCGGCACTCGGTGTCTGGGGTGAAACCGGTTTGAAGAAGTTAGTAATTCTTCCGCTGGCCGCTGATTTTGTGACTTTACTACTTCGAGACGCCATGGCCACTGGAACCTTTTCAGACTCTGACAGACAGAGCTACGGGGGCAGTATAGCGGTGGAGAGGAAGAGAGCCCAACCTTGGTGAAATCAGATGGAGCGGGTGGGAGGGTTGAAGATTGTTGGTGGGGTCGACGCGTTTATCGCGAAGTGAGTGTGAATGCGAAAACGCATCTATGGTACCGGTACCGGCAGTTGCATCACTTTTCTTATCGGTAGACGACGGCATGCTATCCCCGGGGAGTTGAGCCCATAAGCGAGTTTCAGCCACATATTCATCAGCCACGCTAGCTTCCTCCCAGAGTGGAAGGAGAGAAGAGCAAAAAAGGAAAGAAAAGGAAAACCCGGCTTGTCCTTCTCCGGGCGGGGGTATCCCGCCACATTTTCCAGAATCCCTAGGTATCAACCGGGTTCACCGGCTCTTCACGAAACACCGGGGCAAAGCCTTTTTCCCATCCTCCCACAGTTCCCCCCCACGGACTCCGTACTGCGCCGGTGCTCGTACGGGGCAACAGGCAATATGGAAGAAGAGGAGTGTGTCAAGGTTTTATGCAGCTTATGCTTAAGTTAATTTGAACCAGGTTGGATGACGGTCATCGTACCCGTAGCACCTTGTGGAGATGGAGATTATTCTTTTTAAGGCCCTATCATACATACAAAATTTCGCATGGCCTGTCGTGAGAACATAGCCGCTGTTAAGGTCCGCAGAGTCTGCATGGGTGGGGCGATGAAGGGCGGTAACGGTATAAAAGGAGGAGAGGGTTTATCGTACATACCACCGGGGGGGGGGTTTACGGTTCGAGTACTCTGCGGTATCACGAAAACCGATTTTTTGTCCGACTATTGTTTTCCCATACCGGTACGCTCGTCACATGTCGTCTCCCATGCTCTCCCAGGTTGTCAAGCAGAGCAGGGCTTAAATTTATGCACGTTCCAACCATACGGGCAAGCGGGTGGCCGTTCATCCGTTCCAAGCGGCCTTGAAACTTGTGAGCGGCACCTCTGTCGGTAGCCTATCCCCGAGACGCCCGCTGCCCTGCAGAAGCCAGGAGTACGATAAGCAGGAAGCTAGGCCGTATGATCTGCTTCGCTCGCATCTGCTACCATGAAATAGATCCAGATGGATGAGAACGCAAGCAGAATCGAGTACTCCCCCCCCCCCCCCCGCCTTCCACCATCTACTTGCAATCGCCGCTATGATAAACCTATGGTACCGTACAGTATCATACCTGTACCGTAATCTTTTTCTCCTCATGAAAACTCGGTTTGTAATCCATTCCACCTCTTGCTACTAGAGATAAAACTTGAGTGGAGCATAGAGAGAAAAAATAAGCAAGGAAAGAGTGAGAAGAGGCTAGGTGGGGAAGAGAGGGGGGAGGGGGAAAAAAACGTCGAAAAAAGGAAAAAATTCCCATCATACCTGCGATCGGTGATTACGGAAGCGGGGAAGCTATGAATACGATGTAGTAAGTCCAATCGTTCCTTACTGCGGCCTGATCAGGTCTTTCCTCTCGATTCTCGAATTTAAACCCCAACTGGAGCTTTTCTGGATCAGAGTAATCATTTCTCAATACTCATCGGTCAAGTGATCAGATATGCGAGGGATCCTGAGCTTTTCTGTACGCTACCTTAGCATTCGTTACACCGGTAGGCCTTTTGCTTATCAAGATTAATACAAGTACTAGTATCATACTTGTAATGCCGTGACGTTTAGAACGGAGCGCTACCGGTACCGCTACCTGTACCGTATTGCATGCCACCAAAAAACTTCGCGGCTCGTATCAATCTTTGGCCGAATGCCATACCGGCGTGTCCTTTTCACGAATGTCTCGAAGCTACATGTACGAGCACAAGTACGGGTACCGGTGAGGTGCAAGTGCAAAAGGAGAGAAAACAAGCCACAGACACCCCCTGGACCCCCTTCTCTCGATTCCCTTCATGTTCTTTTCTCACGGGACAACGCTGCGGCAGCCAATATCGTAAAGACACCGAATAGCTCGGGGTATTTTGCCCACAATAAATGTCCGTTGGGAGCAGGCCATACCGTAGCATCAGAGTGGATTTGAGCTTAGTGAACATGTGGCATTGCCAACGGTAGACTCGTCCCCACTAATCTGACGTTTCTTTGTATCCGGGGGAGGTTTCAGGCCATCGTGTTTTCTGGGTTACGCTCAGCTTGGCCCTCCGGAATTAGGAGAGCATTTGCACCCCCAAACCTGTACGAGTATTGGAACGTGTAGCCATTTCACGCACACATACGCACACGTACCGTATTTAGAATCTCTTTAGATGTGCCATCCTTACCACATCGTGTACCGTGCCTTCGGCGGGGTTTTGGTTCTTCTCCAGGCTCTTTGCGGAGGAACCATTCTTCAATGCCCTTTCCGCAGGCCCGTCATACCGTAGTGGGCTGTGGGAGGTGTGATTCGGTCTCGACTGCTAGGCGTATTTCGGCTTTTGGTGTTGGGCGTTGGGTGGTTTCTGAGGGCAATTCATTTATTTATTATTACGGTACATAAGGCACAGGCACGGTACCGGTATGATACGGTACGAGTACGGTATTTCCTCTGCTTTAGCTCCGTTGCCGTCGGGGCCCACGCTTACCTGCTCGCGTTGTCTAAGCACCACACTTCCCCCATTCGCCTAACTCAGACTACGCCCCCTCTTGCATTTTGCATTGATTTATCATTGAGGGAGGAACAGTTCCCCTTCCCTTATTGTATCTCCGTTCTCCCTTTCCCGCATCTCTCGCTCGCCTTCATCCTATTTCACACCCTTTGTCCCTCCCCCTGGGTTTGTTATTCACCAAGATACGATTTCCGAGTGGCTTCCCGTCCCTTCTCAATATTATTTTCACCGGTTTGTGTGGGATTAGGGGGAGCAACACGTCGCGTTTGCCAGGTTCCTTGCTCGCCGGGGAGGGCTCTAATCGCCAAATATAGCCCCTGGACTCGACTCTCGACGGCTGAGCAGACCGTGACGGCTGCCGAGTGTGTTGGAGTGAAGCAGTAGGTCAGGAGAAAACCCCCCCCCTTCGGATTTCCAGAATTCCTTTTCTCGGTACTATCCTTCACCAGACCTCGCCTCTCGTTTGCTCGCCTTGAATCGTTTCCGACGCTTCCGATTTACTACACCACGCCAACCATTGCTACACTCTTTTGCCACAGCTTCCTACGAGTCGGTAGCAATCTTGCTTTACAAAGGTTCCCCCCCATTGACAGGTACCTAATTTTTACAATAACACTGGCCGCATCAACACCGCTCCGTCCCGGTTTTCCTTCTATTCGTCCACGATGACGGGGAAACCTCCGTCGCCCACCGCGACGAAACGTTTGCGATGGGCAACCCAGCGGGTTCCTGGGGTGGAAGCCGTACGGAAGAGGGACACGATAATGAGGGCTTTATCAATCTCGCGAAGGTCACCGGAAAAGATGGAGGCGGATATTTCGGGGACAGGAGGGGGCTCTGGTGGTCAAATGAGTCCCGAGTCGGAGGGGTCGGATGAAGGGTCCACCCAACGGCGTATATTTGTTAACGAGCCTCTGCCGCCGGAGTGTCTCGACGAAGATGGTTCCCCTTCGCAATGGTTCTCTCGAAACAAGATTCGCACGGCTAAATACACGCCTCTCATATTTGTTCCTAAAAATCTGTGGCTTCAGTTCCACAATGTTGCTAACGTTTATTTCCTTTTTGTTACCATACTTGCAGTATGTTGACCTTTGCCGCAGCTTTCCTCTTCTCTTTTGCGCCTTGTCTGACGACTTGTGTCTAGATATTTCCCATATTTGGCGCGAGCAATCCAGCTTTAGGTTCAGTGCCTTTAATTGTGATTTTGTTGATTACGGCTGTCAAGGATGCGATAGAGGATTATCGCCGAACGGTGCTCGATATCGAGCTCAACAATACCCCGATTCATTTATTGGTCGATTGGCATAATCCTAATGTTACCGACGAAAATATTAGTTATTGGCGCCGGATTAAGAAGGCTGCGTCCAGGGGTATCCGACATGTCGTTTCACTCTACAAACGACAGAGGCAGAAGAAAAAGGGAAAGCAGCTTGGGGATGAAAACGCACTGCAACGCAGTCAGACAAGGGCGTCGGTTTATTCGGTTACGACGGAACATTCGGAGTCCATTCAAATGACTCCGGTTTCTTCTCCAACCCCTGACAAGCAACGCTTTTCCTTTGAAGGTCCGTCTGCGGCTGGTCGTACCCACCTGACAGTCCCAAACCCCAAGAGACAAAGCTCTTCAAAGCCGCCTGCTCGGTTTTTTGGTAATGTTGTCGATCCTCACAAACAGACTCCTGGGAAAGCAAAGTTCAAGAGGGATTATTGGAAAAATGTTCGGGTTGGGGATTTCGTGCGGATTTACAACGACGAGGAGATTCCTGCTGATGTCATCATCCTTTCCACCTCCGACGCCGACGGTGCATGTTATGTTGAGACAAAAAATTTGGATGGTGAAACCAATCTCAAAGTTCGACATGCGTTGCATTGTGGAAGGAGGGTTCGGCACGCCAAAGACTGCGAAGCTGCAACTTTTATTTTGGAAAGCGAGAATCCTCATGCCAACCTTTACTCTTATAGTGGGGTGGTTAAATGGACACAGAAGGATCCCACAGACCCTGGAACGGAGGGGACACCGATGCAGGAACCGGTATCGATCAACAATCTTCTACTTAGAGGATGCACTCTCAGAAACACCCAGTGGGCCATCGGAGTCGTTGCGTTTACCGGTGATGAGACCAAGATTATGATGAATGCTGGAGTTACTCCTTCGAAAAGGAGTAGGATCACACGAGAGTTGAATTGGAATGTGGGTGGATGATTTCTACTACCGAGTGTGAGACCGATCACGGCTAATTTGCAGTAGGTTATCATGAATTTCGGTCTCTTGTTAATCATGTGTTTGGTATCGGGAATTGTGCAAGGATTCACATGGGCTAAGGGCAACGAGTCTCTCGACTTTTTCGAGTTCGGTTCTATTGGAGGGTCACCGCCGGTTGATGGTATTGTCACCTTTTGGACCGCTGTCATCCTGTTCCAGAACTTGGTCCCGATCTCGCTTTACATCAGCATTGAAATCATCAAGCTCGCTCAGGCATTCTTCATCTTCAGTGATGCTTATATGTATTACGAAAAGCTCGATTACCCTTGCACTCCCAAGTCTTGGAATATTTCGGATGATCTTGGACAAATTGAATATATCTTCTCGGATAAGACAGGCACACTAACCCAGAATGTCATGGAGTTTAAGAAGTGCACCGTCAATGGTCTTCCTTATGGCGAGGCTTACACCGAAGCTCAGGCCGGGATGCAGAAACGGCAGGGAATAAATGTCGAAGTCGAGGGTGCAAGAGCTCGGGAACAGATCGCGGTGGATAGAGTGGAAATGATCAAGGGACTTCGGGAAATTCACGATAATCCGTACCTTGAGGATGACAGGTTGACATTTGTTGCTTCTAACTATATCGCCGATCTTAGTGGGGCCTCTGGAGCAGAGCAAGCGGATGCGAACGCCCACTTCATGCTTGTCCTTGCTCTCTGTCACACTGTTTTGCCGGAATTAGTTTCGGCTGAGCCCCCGCGAATCGATTTCAAAGCACAATCTCCAGATGAGGCTGCGTTGGTGGCTACTGCTCGTGATTGTGGATACACCCTTATTGATAGGACCCCGCATGGAGTTATTGTGAGCGTGCAAGGCGACGAGAGGGAATACGAGGTTCTCAACACACTAGAGTTCAATTCCTCTCGAAAACGCATGAGCGCGATCATCCGTATGCCTGAGACTGGAAAGATTTACTTGTTCTGTAAGGGAGCGGATAGTATCATCTACTCTAGGCTGCGACCGGGTGAACAACAAGAGCTCAGAAAATCGACTGCCGAACATTTGGAGATCTTTGCGCGCGAGGGGCTGAGAACACTTTGCGTCGCACAGAGGGAGCTCAGTGAAGAAGAATATCAAACATGGAATAAACAACACGAAGTGGCTGCTGCCTCTGTACACAACCGCGAGGAGAAACTCGAGGAGGTCTCTGATGCTATTGAGAGGGATCTCTCTCTTATTGGTGGGACTGCTATTGAGGATAGGCTGCAAGACGGAGTTCCAGACACGATTGCCCTTCTTGCTGAGGCCGGTATTAAGTTGTGGGTTTTGACCGGTGACAAGGTGGAGACCGCCATCAACATTGGATTCTCGTGCAACCTCTTGGATAATGGTATGGAGCTTATACAATTCAAATCTGGAGAGAATAGCCTCGAATCTGCGGCTGCACTGCTTGATGAATATCTCAGGATATACTTTCACATTACCGGAAGCGAAGCTGAGCTCAAAGCTGCAAAGAAGGACCATAACCCACCGCCTCCCACTCATGCCTTGGTTATTGATGGTGATGCGCTTAAACTTGTGCTGGAGGATGAGCTAAAAATGAAATTCTTGCTTTTGTGTAAACAGTGCAAGGCAGTGCTTTGTTGTCGTGTAAGTCCTAGTCAGAAGGCCGCCGTTTGTCAAATGGTCAAATTGGGATTGGATGTTATGACCCTTTCTATCGGTGATGGTGGGTTTGTGTTTTTGTGTTTGTGCTCTTGGACATGGAAATGCTTATTTTTTTTTACAGGTGCCAATGATGTTGCTATGATCCAGGAGGCCGATGTCGGTATCGGTATTGCTGGTGAAGAAGGCCGACAGGCAGTCATGTGCTCCGATTACGCTATAGGACAATTCCGCTTTTTAAGCAGACTGGTACTGGTGCATGGGCGTTGGTCTTATCGGAGAGTAGCTGAAATGACAGCAAACTTTTTCTATAAGGTTAGCTCCCGATCATGTCTTTTTTATCAGTAATTCTAACAGTATTTGCTTTATAGAATATTGTCTGGACTTTCGCGTTGTTCTGGTACCAGCTCTACAACAGCTTTGACGGATCTTACCTTTTCGAGTATACCTACATCCTTCTCTACAATCTCGCTTTCACCTCGGTGCCGGTCGTTCTCATGGGTATTCTGGACCAAGATGTTGACGACAAAGTATCTCTTGCCGTTCCCCAATTGTACCGTAGGGGTATCTTGCGTAAGGAATGGACGCAGGTCAAGTTTTGGTATTATTATCCGCCTTCCCCTGGCAAGTGCTTGGGCTAATTTTTTTCTAGGGTTTACATGATTGATGGTATTTATCAGTCACTAATTTGCTTCTTCATGACTTACCTCTTGTTCCATGAGGGCGGATTCTCCAGTTCGTCTGGTAGAGATTTGAACTCACGAGAATTGATGGGAGTCTATGTTGGATGCGCCTCAATTGTTGTTGTCAACTCATATGTGTTGATTAACCAGTATCGCTGGGATTGGGTCTTCTTGCTTTGCACCGCTATTAGTATTCTACTCATCTGGTTCTGGACGGGTGTTTTCTCACAGTTCACATCCACTGGCCCGTTCTACAAGGCTGCGGATCACGTTTATAGCGCCTTGTCTTTCTGGGTAACCACTCTGTTGACTGTGTTGGTGTGCCTTCTGCCTAGGATGGCGTCAAAGGCTGTCCAAAAGCTATTCTTTCCTCGAGACATAGACATTATCCGCGAGCAGGTTAAGGAAGGAAAGTTCAGCTATCTTTATGGGGATCGCGAGAAGCCAGGCACGTCATCTCCTTCCTCTGCTGCTTCCTCTGAGGTCATGAAACCTCCAGTTCAACCCTACGCCCAAGATGATGAGAGACGACCTATTTACCCGCCAAGCGTAGCCCCTACCGCGACCACCGCTGGGAAACGTGGGAGTGGCAATGGCAGTGACGGGACTGATGGCTCAGGTTATATGGGGACAGGAGCTTTTACACCTCACCGATACTCTATGGATAAGCCAGTACGTCCCAGTATGGATCGAGCGAGGCCCAGCTTTGATCGTGTCCTGGCGTCGACGGATCGAACAAGGGCCAGTTTTGAGGCTACGAGTGAGTTCACATCTGCAGCCATGTTGGCACGAATGGAGTCACGACACTCAGTGCGACCAGCGAAACAACCGTCGTTGCATGATGATGGCACTACTGGCCGATAGATGGCGTTTCCTTTTTTTCTTTTAGCCGATTAATGTATAGTTTTTCACTGGGAGAATGGCATAGAGATAAATAGCGGCTTGGTAAAAGTTGGACATAAGTTTCGGCAGCTGGGTATCTGGGTTTCTTTTTCACTTTTTATCCTGCGTGAGGCAATGTCTGTTGGAGATATTTATTTTTTATCTTTTTTTTTCCGAGCGGCTGGTGGCGTTTGTGGGGTTATCTTTTTTTCTTTCTTTTCCCCTTTTCCATTTTTTTCCACAGGGTTTTCTCGAGTTGACCAAAGCTATCTATTTCCAAATTTCTTCGTTCCCATTGTTTTCTGGGATTTGTTTGTGCTGCACGATTTCTAGTATACCGATCTCCTTTCCTCCTCTCAGCCTTCTCTTCTGCCTTTCAGGTTAGTCATACCCACCTGCCCGCATATTCAACGAAGCTCTGATCCTTTTACGATCCTCCCTCTCAGTCCATGCAGTCACATAGTTAATACCCTTTCCTTTTCTGCTAACATTTTAAACCTTCCCTTTCCCTTCTCTTTTCTCCCTTCGCATTCTTATTTTTCTATTTATAACACTTTTCAACATCGTGTAAGATTTTGCCATTCACGTTTGTATTGTACTTTTACTTCTCCCCCCCCCCCCCGACAGAAGAAAGAAGGAGAATTGGGCTTTAGTCACGCTCTCTGTTTACATACTTTTCTTCTCCTTTCTCTCATTGCTTTTCCGTTGATTTATTGGGTCGTCATGTGGACCAAACCGAAAACGTACCAGGTCAGAGTTTGAAGAAGCAAAGCATGATGAGGAGAGGCGGTTTTTTTTTTCTGCGCCTTTGGTTTCTCTTAGTTTGACTTTTGTGTCTGGTTCGTGTTTATAATGGCATAGTGTTGTAAGCTTGTATAGAATTTAGGCTCTTGTTGTGTGATTTGCTATCACTGTACTAGTACTTGTAGCACACAGTGCTGGTATGTTTGGTACCCCCATGCGGAGCGTGGTGGCTGTGGGACGGAGGTGGGTTAAGCCGGTTCCGTGAAGCCTCGTACTCGTATTGCTGTCCTTTCCCGCGTTGTGTCTCACCACGGATATCCAGTCGATAGTGGGAGAGCACTTGGAGCGGACACCCAAGTGCAAAAATTGACGCAGAGACAACACGAATCGAACCTATCGGATAGTGGAACAGTCCAGAAAGGGTAGATTTTCACCGGGATACCCATGCTGTTCTAAAATTATGAGAGGTCCGGAGTTTGCTCTTGCTTATCATGTCTTGCGAACCCGCACCGTACAAGTTCTCGAACTTGGTTGCGGGGGGGATGTCTGCTGCCTGTTTCTTCGCTTACGCTATTTGTCATCCGCTTCGCGGTGCGGTGGGGAAGGCATAACGGCGGTCCGGTCCTGGTCCAGATACCCGGTACAGTACGTGGCTGCGGTGGAGGGTCCGGTTGGGGACACGGATGACGCGGGTGGTGGGGTCCCGGTTCACGACAAATCGTGGGATGGAGATTGGGACACGGGGTGGACTGGCAGTGCACAGTAGTACGGGTACATTGGTGTGCTGCTTTCTAAGTATCATACCGGTACTCGAGTATTAGCTGCGTGCACTATCTCTCGTACAGGTACTGTACGCGGCACCGGCATCCGGCCCGTTCCGTGGCTGATTATTTGGTGCGGTATCATAAATTATTGTGTATCTTAGTCTACCGTGGAAGTGGGATGGGATGTGATTGTGAAGCATGGAAGGTTTCGGTTGCTGGGTCCTGGATTAATCAGGTAATTTATGATAGGATGCTGTTTCCATCTATAGTCATCATGGTATGTCACTCGTATATGATTTACACTAGAGGTCTTCTGGTAACTACCGGTAGACGGAGGCCAAAACGCACCAGAATTGCGGGGTTTCGGGCCACGATAACTCCACAGATGTCTTGAAACCCAGCTTTGAAAAAAAAATATTAAAAATATTTGACATGTCTGGAATAGTATATATTTATTTTGTATTTTTTTTTCTTTTTTTCTGTTGTTTGTAGAGAACTGTGGACACATGAACTGGCTAAGGTCCGTTGCAAAGTAATCACCTTTCCCAGACAAAAACCTTTGTCTTGGCACGTACCTCGCGGAAATGGACATTCGACACTTCACAACTCTGGGAGAATGGAAGGAGGTTATTTTTTTTTTTTTAATTTTTCTCCATATTTTTTCTGCCCGTGGTGGTCGTGTAATGATGGCTCGAAAACCGCCACTTTTGGTGTATTTTGGCCACTGTCTGGTTACTGAACGACCTCTGGTGTATTATAAACATCGGGGGTTGTGTATATTCGTTGGGAAAACGCTGTTATGTTGTTTTGGGTTTATCGTGCATAGTTCTGCGGCTAAATTCGGTTGATATGTCACGGCTTTATCACTTACCCGTGCCAGTACGAACACCTACTAATGCGAATTGTCGGTTGAATGCTTCAACTGGTTAATTAGTATACATCTGTGACGCCAAATACGGGCATTTGATATCATGGCTCTTTCTTTCTTTCTTTCTTTCGAGGATATATCGATCTCTAGTGGTTCCTGTGGGAGTAAGGGCGGTTCTTTTTTTCTTTCTTTTTTGTCTGGCTATGAGTAGGTAGGTAAATTAGGTAGGGGTATTAAACGTGGACGGGTGTGGTAGAAGGGATTGGTCATGTTTGTATTATAGATCGGGTTCAAGTGGGAGAAGAGGAGACAAAAATGTGCTGGAACAAGTGGTGCAAGTGACTTGCTTTATTTATTTATTTGTTTATTTGTTAATGGTCGGTGAAAAGTGCCTTAAATGCGTGAATGAGGGCTCTTCTGTAGATGCCATGCCATGGTATGGATGTCTCTTTGACTCGATTTGTGGTGTGCCGGACGGCGATATTCAGCAGTGTCTGTGGCGGGGATAATTTCTTGTTCCCCCTTGTGCATTGCTCAAAAGGTTGCGGTGGTTCCTGGTTTAGGTGCTTCCCTTTTGAGGTATGGGGGAACGCGAAGACTGGAGCACTTTTTTTTTTTTTTTTTTCAACCTCATCTATCGTCTCTCTTCCTCTAGAAGGGGATCTCAGGGGCCGAGAGTCCTCGCAAGAGGAAGAAAAAAAAAGACCTTCTTTCAATTATACGGTACTTTTCCACCGAAGCTCCGAGCCTGTCGTGTCGTTGGGTGGTAGGATAAAAGAAGAGAATAGGGATGGTGCAAGAATTGAACTTGAGAGAACCTCCAATCTCAAAACGCTAGGCGATAATAGGAAAATAAAGGGAAGGAAGGAAAGAAAAGAAAAAGAAAGGAATATATAACTAAGGTGTAGAAAAGGTTCTTCCTGTTCTCCCCTAAATCCAGGAGCTAGGGAAACACACAGAAATTTACAAGAGACAATTTCACACACCCTGACTTGGTACTCGAGTATATTTCGCCGCGTGAGAAATGTATCTGGGGTAACGGGACGCTGCAAATTTCCATATGCTGCATGTTTGCTTGTTTTCTTCCGTATTTTTGGTTAGGCCGTCTCACATGTACGGTACAGTACTGTATCGTATCCGGGTATGATACCATTGGCACAGTCTTGTCTGGGTTTCTTTCAAACGAGTGACTATGGGTGACTACATGAGCCTGTTGCTCCACTTACTATTTGCCACATACCTCCAATATGTAACTCCTTCCGGATCTAGATTTTCTCGTGGCCGTACTTGTATGTTTTTTTTTATCACTGGCACTCCCGTGAGCGGCCTTACCCTTTCTGGCGCGAAGAGACATTGTCGTTGTCTACCCGTGATCCGCGTTCGTGGCTAAAAGGGAAGAAGCACCACACTCTCATCTTCTACTCCCCCATTTTGCTGATGGTCATGATGCACATCGTATGCCCGCTTCCAACCCTCGGAATTCGGGTAGGCAGATCTAAAAAAAAGATATTAATGCAGAAATTTAAAAATTCATGTGGGTAAACGGAGAGTAAACCTGGGTGGTCTAAAACTACCCCGCGCCCTTCGTTCCTTCCGTGCACACACAAAAGTAAAACGTAGCCCCCTAACACCCCCCCAAGAAATCCAAAGCGTAGAAGCACTTCTTCCACCTCTGTCCCCCACCCGCCTACAGTGCTGTCCAGGAAAGCCCGTGTGAAGGTACGGTATCCAAACTGCCATCTTGTCCGCTGCCTACCCACACGCTCGTGGAGAGAGTTTCGCCCACCTCCAAGCCGAGTGGGCAGCTTTGTCGTGGACGAGTGAGTTACCGTGATTACGGCGGTTGGGGGCGGGGAACTCGGAGGAATCGCGAGACACGGTTGTAAGAATGAATTTCAGAAGCACGTTTGGGTGCTTCGTGAGCTCAGGCGCTCGGGGTATCTCTTCTGGGCGCTTGGTGGTATGGCGCTAGCATTGAGGGGTGGGGTGGTGGTCGTCACAGAGGGGTTTCTTTGGCATGTGGACCGCCGTGGGTGCTTTTCTGTGCTGCTCTCGATGGAGTTGAGCTCTGTCCACGGGCATGCAGATTCACCCGGCTGGTCGATTGGGCCGGGGATGTTGTCCCGGAGTTTCTGGGGTCGGAGCGGTTGAATTTGCCACTCCTCCCGGGGCGATTGAAGAAGTACTATGTGATCTGGAGTTCGTCTGTTGGATGTTAGCTATGTGCCAACTACTTCCCTCTCTCTAAGGATTGAATGGCCCCAACCTCCCAGTGGTAACTATTCATATGGTACAGTATTATACGCAGTTTTTTTTTTTTCTTCTCTTTTTTGAGAAGACACATTACGGAGCGAGAAATGATAAATGCGTGACTTGGCCGTAAACCGCCCTTTCAGACCAATCGATGAATAATCTCGAGACTAGAGAACTAGTACAACATTCGGGTTCTGTGGTTGCCCTTCTCGGGGTTTAATCAAAGGAGGCGAAACAACTGTCTCCTATTTCTTTCTTTTTTTCTGCTATCGTACCCTCTGATTGTGGACCTCACCTCTAGGTGCATAGTACAGAGTCGGATTCTACCGCCTTTGGACTATAGTGAAATCGTTCTGCCCTGCGTGGAGGATCACTCAAGAGTAACTCGCTATGAGTTGGGATTAGACCACTGGGCTCTTACTAGTTGCGGCGGGGTTTTTTTCCCTCTTCGCCTGAGGTTAAGACCATCGGTTTATGTTATTGTTTGTTGATCAACGTAAAGTCACCGCGACCAAGGACCAAGCAGAGAAATCGTAAAGTAAAAAGCACCGGAGACTAGCCCCCCCCCCCTCTCTGCATCACTTCTCGCAAGTCTCACGATAAATCAAGCTTACCCAGTGAGGTAATTCTGGCTCTATTTTCTCCGGGCAGTATAATACGTACCCTCACCTACGTGTACATTTGGAATATGATATTTGGTCACTCTATAGCTATTGCTCGGGCATCCCGGTATACAACTCAACTTAGCCCCTCCAGAGCCACTTAAATAAACCTCTCCCCCCTCTACACACATGCAGCTGCCAGGCACCCCTTTCTACCCACAAGCCGGCTCCCCGCCTACCTGCCCCCGATATCCCCATCAGGTATCCCCCCGCCCATCATCCACGATATCATCCTGCACCCTTCGCCAGCCGCGTAAACCACCAGTGTACGCCACTGGCTCGGCGTCTAACTTCTCCCCCTCCTTGCCCTTGCCCTTGCTGCTATCGTACACCGGCCTGATCATGCCTTTTAGCAGCGGGTTGCGGGAGTAGGCTCCGCCTTTTGACGTGGGGCCACTAGTAGTGGTGACGGTACCACCTCTTTCCAATGTGTCGTCGTACTCGTAGGCTTCTCCTATATCCCCATCGTCACTATCTTCTCTTGGTCGTTCGATTTCCTGCATCTTCCGCACCACCTGGCGGCCCTTTAGGTCTATCTCTACGACGACTCGGCGTTTTTCATAGTCTTCTTTTGCGCTCCATTCCATCTCACGCATCGCCTTTTGCTGCTTTTTCAATTGTAGTGCGCGCTCTTGTGGTGTAGCCCACATGTTGCTGCCCATAACGGGGGTTTCGAAGTCTGCTGCTTGGTCGATGATCTTTGTCCTCTGAGCGCCGGTCGCCTGAAAGCCTAGTAGGCGATCTTTATGCTCTATAGCCCGCTTCAGGCCTTCGTCCCCGCTAGTTCCAGATGCGCTATCGTATCTTGAGAATGGCTTTGACGTGCGTGCCACCTCCGGGCGTTTGTGCACTGCGTTGCTCATCGCCATTTTTTCCCGGTCTCGTTCGTCGCAGAGTTCATGGATCATACATTGTAACTCTTCCGGGGGTATCAGGGGTGTGTTGCAGAAGGAACAGGGCGCAAGACCTTCCTTGATACAGATTATCTTCCCGCAGGAGAGGCAGTTTGGCGCTGCGGAGAGGACTTCGTGTTCCATGCCTGCGCAATTGCACTTTTGCGACCTCGAGGTCAGTGTCGGGTTCGTGGAGAGTTCGAGCGCTCGCAGGGCGGATTCCAGATCCGTGAGTTCGGCCGATGCTCCTCGCATGGCAACACCGCCGGTTACGTGCACCTTTTGCGGAGCCTTCTTGACTTTTGCTTTAACGTTTATCAAGTCCGAGACCAGTTTCCCGCCGACATTACTGCTGCTGATCTGTTGGGCCTTCTGTTGTACTGGCTGCGGGGTAGCGCTCCTAGGTATCGGCGTAGCAGCCCTGGACACGGGTAACGAAGACGAAGGCGATGATGGATCCCCCGGCTTCGGTGTAGACCCTTTGTTGCCACCCGTATAGTACTCATCTTCAACGTCCTTCTTCATGTACACCGCCGCCGGATTACCAAACTGTCCTTCCACCTGCCGTGGTTGGTTCGCATACTGGTTTATTGGGAGTTTACCCCTCTTCCCGCGTCTCTTCGCAGGTGGAACATTCACGGAGGAGGCAGACGAGGATGCCTGTGGAATTGTAGGTGCTAGCGTAGCTCTTTGTGGGAATAGTCTGGAATTGAAGTCTGAGATGAAGTTTAGTACTTCTTCGGTGCTGCCGAGCAGGCCCTGGCAATATTAGCCTATCCCGGATTGGAGGAGGGAGGTTCCCTACTTCAAAGTGCGAGCAGACTTCGCTCGCATCGGTGAGCGAGAGGGCGTAGGAGATCACTTCCTTTAGCGAGTCTTCTGGCAAAGGAAGAAGGGGTTCGAGACGGGTAAGTGCCCAGGGTCCAATGGAAGATTTAGAATTCATTGCCAAGGTCGGGTGGGGCGGATGGTGGGGTGCTTGACCTTTGATGTACTCGTAGGTGGCTAAAATGTTGAAGTATCATACAGGTGGACTAGTGAGGCAGCATAGTGACACTTGCGGGCCTGATCCCTGGAGGCTTGGCAGGAGAAGCTTCAAAAGCTGAGGCGAGTGATATGTATGAATGAAAACCATTAATTAACTTCGATCTCTATTACGGTACCGTATTGATACTTTTACTTTTCTACCTACTGGTGCCGGTAGCTTTGTTATGTAATGTGTACAGTACTCCCAGCCCCTGCTTATCCAACCCAAATAAACAGCATTTGTTTTCCACCATAAACCATACCCCGTAATAGAAATACGGTAATCAGGCAAAATCAAAAGAAAAAGAAAGGGGGGGGGAGAGAAACCACTAACACCGACATTGAAAATGTAGAAAAATAATACTAGTCCTGTTATAAAACACTAACTCATCCAATCCTGATAACGACGCCGATGCCCAACCCTCTTGCTTCTCTAACGCAACAACCTAAACACGTCCTCCCTTTTCTACCTATGATAGCGTGAGTGCCTATCATGGAGCACCATGCCCTTGCTAGCACCTCACTGCCCCCATCTACACCGCCAGCTTCGATGACAAGGATGCTGTTTCTGTCCTTGAAGGTTTCTTCTGCTAATGCGTCTATGGCGACAGACCGGCAAGAGAAGTTTTTATGTAGCAGGTGTCCGGTTTCGACCGAGTTCTTGCTGGCTGGGGGCTCAACACATGGGAACGAACTGATGAAGAAGACGTCGTGGGCGAGCTTGATCTCGAGCTTTTCGTTCAGCGGGAGCACGGAAAAGTGAAGCTCAACTTCGTAACGTAAAGGCTCCCCAGTGGGCTCCCCAGTGGGCTCCCCAGATTCTCTAGCGACATCCTTAAACACAAGGCCTTCGAGAATTACTCTTTCCTCCTCATCAACTTCGTCTCGTGGCATAGTGAAGTCGGTTGATAGCACTGTTCTGCTGCCTTTAGGCCCCTTTCCCAACGGATTCGACTCTTCCTTGATGGCATACGGCCTTTTGGCTCTCGGCTCCTCATCCAACTGCATGGTTACGAGATCAACCCATCCGTCATCAACCATCCCGATCTCCCCGAGCCCACTTCCTAAACAGGGCCCAATCCATCCCCCAACCTCTCTTGACCCTTCATACCCGGCCAGCACCTTGCCCACAGTGCTGAATGAACTCCACCACGTCGACCCATCGTACTGAAATCCACTGTACAGGTTTGCCTGGAACCCAAGCTTCTCAACCGCTGAAGCATCACTCTCCAACAATGTAGAGATGAGAAAGTGAGGCAATCCCTCCCCAGGAAGTATCAACCCGGAGAAGTACGTCCTTGAAAGCCACCCTCCAGATCCAATAGCTCTCGGAAATGCGGATCCCTTCCCTCCCTTTTCATGGCTACCATTGAATGATATCCCGGATGATGGCAGCTCCTTAACCCTCTTTGGCCTTGCAAACGGCGGAAAATACCCACTCCCTCCAGCTACCGATAACGGAGTATCCAAAGGTGTAGCGGCCATGGACTGCGACGGGGTCGAGAAACTCGACGGCGAACCCAACTTCTCCTGCAACGTGGCGGATAGAGCTTCTATCTGTGGCCATTGGAGGCGTCTAGCGAAATATAGCAGCCCAGAGAGTTGTCTCGTATGATTCCGGGGGCAAATCAGAGCGTCATAGGATCTACCCGAGGCCGATTCGTCATCACCACCTTCCGACTCGCTCTGATCCGTTGGCGGTGACTGCTCTGAAGAGCGACTCGAGAACCACCCCTTCCTCGCCGGTACAGGAGGAGTTTTTGTCTTTTCTTCCTTTCCAACGGCTTCGCTTTCGACAAGTTTAACGTTTTCGAGCCACCGCCGCGCTAGAGTGATATCCCACTCGACCTTCCCAGATCCTATAGCTTTGAACTCGTCAAGCAGCTCATCTCTTGACCCAACTGAACTAACTGAGGAGTCTTTAGAGTTTGCCTCGCTGACTATGGCATCCATCCTGACAACTAGCTCGCACGCAAGGAGAATCTGGAGTAATAGCCAAACCTTTTCGGCATCACTCCTTGGAGGGGCAGCTTCCTTCTCTCCATCTTGGTCGCTCGTAGATTCCACTGTGGAGTTCTCCCCCCACAAGATCTGCCCTAGCCGTATCCTCCATCCTACAACCGAGAAATTCAGCCAAAGCTTCTCCATTGCAAGGGTTTCCCTCAAAGCTACGATCTGAACCTTCAAGCTATACGGATCGTGGAAATCGGCCGTGGTAATTCGGGTTGGGGGGTACAACAGCCTGGTGAATAAGTTGGTGTAAAGCTCCAATGAAGAGAACTTTTCCAGTATCCCTCGCTGTGCTCCTCTCGGCAGCGGCTTCCGTCCATTGGGGGGTTTGCTTTTGCTCTCGTGATAGATTTCACCCAGCTCTTTTAGCCTTTCAACTATGTATCCCATTTCCACTGTTCGCAAACCACCTTTTGCATTCCCAAGACTAGCTCTCCTTGTTCCTCTTTCCCTTCCTCCCCCATCTATTACATCATCATCCTCTTCCTCATCCCTATTCTCAGCGTCGCCAACGGGGTATTTTAAAAAGAACTCCCACCCACAGGTCCCTGGCTCAATCCCTTGGAAGAAAAGCATGCTCGGTTCCTCATTGACCAACCCATGATCCGCCGTGTTCTCATACCCGTTCAGTGTTCGGTGCGGTCTCGAAGAGCACAATGAAAACGCAGCGTGCTCAATCGGGGGACAGTCAGACAATCCTCCCAACTCCTCCGCATTCTCGTCAAAAGGAAATATGACCCTAGGTCTCAACTCTCCGGAAGCCTTCTTCCCGGACGCCGCAAAGACTGGGGCACCGGAAAATAAGCTCTGGATCGCACGTGATGACAACACTGCAGGTTCTCGGTTAGGGTTGCAATCCGGGTTTGCCCGCGTTGGATTGTTTTCTTCCTTTGGGGGCGAGGTTTGGTCCGGCTTGTCCTTTGTTGTGGGAATCGTGGGATCGTCCTTTTGGTTCAATTTGTTGCTGAGTGGTGTTGGAGCTGGCCTCCCACCGTCGTCGTGAGTAGGCACATGCGGGACTGGTGTCTGGTTACCGATTAATTTCTCGTATACCTGATAGAACTCCTCCATTCCAGTAGAAACAAAAAAAAGGGCGAAAGGGGGGGAAAGGGAGGTGCAAGAGGTAGGTAAAGGGATTGTATTATGTATGTATGTAAGTATGAGTATGTATGTATGTATGTATGTGTATGTGTGGTAGGGAGTTTGTAAAGCAGCCAGGCGGGGAGGTAAGAGGCAAAGTCCAAAAAAACTTACAGAAGAACGCGTTGGTACAGGTGAGTGAGTGCGGCTCGCGGAGGAGTACCCCAAGGTTTTCCGGATGGCACGTACGAAGCTCGATTTCAATATTCTATGCCGACGACGATTATATGCTGGCTCACTGTGCGCATGGCCCTCACTACTCCAACCATTCACCATCTCTTGCTCCTCCTCCTCTCCCTCAGAGGCACAAACAGTCGTGAAAGAGCCGGACTGGACTGATTGTCCGTGTGCTTGTCAGCGGATGAGGTATTATTTTTTTGGAGACGGAAGGACAAGCCCTGCCCATTTTCCTTCTCATCTGGTTAGCTCCAACTCACCTTTCCTGTATAAGGGTACTATTTTTACTGCGCGCTGCACACCCGCAGCAAAGCAAGTTTGCCGGTAGCAGCTGATGGGCCAGCTAATTATCGATTTCACCAGAAGGTGTTGTTGCTCAAGGTCCAGTTCGGACCTTTCGAGTTCCGCAACAAAGCCGATAGCTCTCCGGCTGAGATGCTGGTCAAGTGCAAGATTAGGAGGCAAAATTAATAAAATGAAAACAAGAGGGAGTGCTTCTCTTATTCTATTCCATCTTGCCCCAAGGAAGAAGTGAGGATCCGTTTCATACCAGTTTCTGGCCTTGCGATCGTCGGTCAGGGCTATCATACAAGTATCACCGTCCGATAATTGATTGTTATGCGGGTATGTGGCTGTCGTCATCCCACTCACAAACCAGGTTTCATCTCCAAGGAAAAGGGCGCTGAGCGTTTGCCTTTCACCAACCAGTTCGTGAAGACGGCACCGGAACTCACGCCCTCTCAACTACGTTTGCCTGACCTAGTCGGCTAGACCATGGAACTGCGGAGCTTACATCGGCTGCCGTCCTGGTGCTACTACCGCACGATGAGTTTCTAGCACGGGCAGCACTCGTAGGGTGCCAAGTAGCCGTTGCGCTCCCTTCATCACTGCACGGTTCAGTCCCCAACATATCACGCCTGCAGAAACGCAGCCTTGTGGCTTTCTCCAAAGCAGATCTCCCAATCCTGAAAGCAAAGTCTCCTGTGGCGTGAAAAGGCATCCCACTTGGCCAGTCTCATTCTACCCTTCCGGAAAGTTGTTTTTTGTTAGAATTCTAGCCGAGTGCCGGTGCCAGCAATTAGCGAATTAGCGAATTGACAAACCGGAAGGCAAACATTAGCGGAAAATCTTTTTTTTTTCTACGGGTACTACCGGTATGATATCGTGGAAGTAACCTCCAGCCAACCAAGTATCATAAGAAACAAGCCTAGATCTGATCTACCAATACTACCCGGCGAGGGGTAAACAATTACTCCAGAATGGCAATCACTACCGCATCCTCATCAACCGGTATCTGGCTCTCCGTCTATCATCTCCCCAATCTCATCTAAGCTTAACTTATCGATAACACAGACGAGCGAACAGCCCACACATACCTGTACCCTGGCTAGCACAGCAGGGATCAACGAACAAAACAAGCCCTTGGCTGACGCCACCATTTAACGGCGAAAAGGCCTCGATGCCCCCTCTCGCGCCTCCACGACACCTAAACTACCGCCCCGCGTCGCGCTCGAAAGATTCTAGACTACCGTACGAGGATACCACGGCACAAAGGCTCGGATGAAGAAGGGGCCTGTGTGTGTGGCTTGCCGTCACTAGCCGGCCAAAATCATAAGACCTTTCTTGCCACTTTCCACTACCTTGCAGTAATTTATCCACTAGACAGCGTGGTTATTTGCGTTCTCCCTATCTTGTCTACAGGTGGACAGGGTGCCGCGGATTCTAGATGGGGGCACCGGTATTAACATACTGCCATCGCCTGCTACCGGTACTATTATGCCCACAACCAAACATTCCGTTTACTTTCTTGCCGGCCGGGAGCGGCCCCCCTAGCCGTGGGTGCTACGACCTAGGAAAGGTGGGAAGAACGCAAGCTAGAAAAAGGGAATTTTACATGCACAACCCTTGAATGAGCAAAACACTGCAGTGAGGATAGCACCACAGTGAGGAAAGCACTACGGTGATCCAATGCCTGCGGGGGGCAAGCGCCAACGCTCGAGGGTTCGAGTGGGGCCTTACCGCCTATGTATTGTTCTTGAACGGACAAAAAGTATTTCCAGATCATCAGCTAACTTGAAGGTTACTGCACCGCGTCCCGAACCTATCAACTCTCTTCCCTCCTTTCCTGCCCGCGTGGGGTTTGGATTTAGGCTGGACTTGAAGACAAGTATTGTACCTGTATTTTACGTGACTACTATTTTGTGTAGTCGGAAGTTTGAGATAATGTAATTCCGGTGAGCTTGAGGGTAGGCTGTTAAGTATTTATGGACAGGTCAAAGGAGGCCTTGTTCAGTAGATTTTGATTACTTGTAAACGGCATATATGATAGAATTCTGGCTTTGGATTGGTCTTGGGGTTGGAGGGTGGGAGCTGTCAGGGCCCGTAAAATGGCCATGGTACGTGGTAAGTGAGCCTGGAACGACGGGAGTGTACGGAGGAATGGGGACATGCGTGGAGGAGGAGGAAAGATATGTACAGTGGTATATGGAAGGATAGGAATGCTTTAATCCTGTTCTACATATACTCCTATCCTTGCCGTTGGTTTAGTTTGGAGGGAGGCGAGAAGAGAGAAGAACAAGACGACGAAGTCTCCGACCATATAATACCTTTCTCACATAAGACCGAAGTCCGGAGCTATTCCTCCCACCGCGCCGCTGCGCTATTTGTTAGTCGCCCTACGGCAACCCCCCCGACTAGAGAGATGGAAGGGCGCTGGTATGGGAACCAGTAGGTTAGATGGGCAGCATATTGACTAGTCGTTAGTCTAACAGGAGACATCTCGCGGTAAGAGCGTTTAACGCAAAGATGTGTAGTAGCGCAACACGAAGAATCAGTGCAGTCTTAACGAGTTCATAGGACACCACTCGATCAGTTTAAATTTCGAAGGAGCTTCGAGTTAAGGGGGCAGTCGGACGTATGATATCATACATAATGTACCGCAGCTACGAGCCATAGTCTGCACCCAAACCACAATACTCCGCGCCAAACCGGCTCCCCAGATAAACCAGCGGTGGCCCAAGCCCAGCGGACGAGCACCAGAACAACCCTAGCAAGAAATTAGTCCAGCTATGATACGGCCTCTGATAAGATTCGGAACACCCTTTTCCATGCAGCCACCCATTTCCACCACTAAACACTTTCTGACAAAAACACAAATGCGTTAAGTAATCCTTTGGAAACCTCTATAATACATTTCTACCATATAGCAAAGGAGGGGGGGGAGTATCTCCATTTCCTCCTTCACCTCCCATATCCCCCGCCCACGATAGCTGCCTTGCACACCAGTATCATATCAATCTTGGAATTGAAACTGGGGTTAGGTTACCATACCACCTGCAGAACGCAATGCAGGGTAAGAGCTAGTCATTACCGTAATTTCTGATTCTAGAATATTAAAAGAGCTCAGTGCAAGTGCTACCTATCGGTTTCTTGGGCCTGGTTTTGGCAGGGTACTAGTTCAGATGTGGAGCCCATTGGTGCGGGGGGGGCTTAATGATACTTGCGGCTTTTCTCTTTCTTGAAAAGTTCCATTTTCCTAAACGCATCGTTGGGAGTACGATACTTAGTTGAAGGATACAGTGATAGTTCGTCCTGAAGAGAAGCAGGTCATCACCGATAACTTACCACAATAACTATTATACTCCTCTACCGAAACCCCCTCAGCCTTGCACAATCACAATCACAAACACTTTCACACACGGAAAAGAAAAGAGGGGGTGTAAAATATCACCGAAGATGATTCATGTTGGCCGAAATAGTAAATCCACGACCACAACATCCCTCCAGCACTCTTAATTCCTATGAATAGGAAACCTCAGAGAGCTGGGATCATAGAAGACAAAAATCCCCCCAGCAAGCCCTCTCCACTCACACTTATTGGCAATAACATGCGCCGCAAAGCCCGCGCGAAAGCAATAGATGTAGTCCATGTTCGGGCCGCACACCGAAACGGCAGCCCTATCCAACAAAACCGTCAATCAACAAAACCCTACCACTATCCTTGTCTTGTCCCCCCCTCCCTCCCTCCCTCCCTAATCTCCAGAGATATCATGAGAAAGAAAAAAAGAAAGAGAACACATACGACCAAAAGCGCATCATCTTAGTGCACATCGACCCACCAGGATTCTCCTGAACGCAATGCCTGTAACCCAGATTGGTGAGCCTGATGGCGGCATTGTCGATGTCCGAGACACTTGGGGAGGCTTTGCTCGTCTCGCACTTGTACCAGCCGTCGTAGTCACCCATGCCCGTCACGTTCCCGCTAGTGTACAGGCCCGGGACTGTGCCATCGTTGGCGATGTCGTCGGCGTACGGGACAGCGGGGAGGGCAAGGTTGTCAAGTTCTTCTTGGGCGGAGGGGCTGGAGGTGGCGTTCGCAGGGGGGGCAAGGGCGAAAGCGAGGACCTGGGTGGCGAGGGTGAGTAGTAGCATAGTGAGGAGAATTTTGGTATGCATAGTTTGTCTGACAGTTTTTGATCTATTGTTTTCGGGATAAGAGGAGCGTTTGGAAAAGGGAGTTGGGGTGTTTGTGGACAGGGAGAGACAGTGGATTGAAAGGAGCCTTTTATATGCAATGGGGGGAATGGTAGGGCCTCGTCATAGGGCTTAACTTCGTGAGTGCCGTAGATACTGAGGGAGAGGCTTTTAGTGTTAGAACTTGTGTTTGTGCTCTTAGTGAGACTACCGTCTGAGTGATGTACTGTGACTACATAAGTCACCCTCCTATCTATAAGCACATCTTCTCTATTGCTACCCTCTCTCCTCTTCTTCTCTCTTTTAAGTACAATAACAAGCATCTCACCTCTCTTTCTATCTTCTAACATTTAGTATCAGTGCCCGCACCGATTGATATTCCATGATGACACCATACACTAGCCACACTAGGAAATGAGCTGAAGCAACCAAAATGCTCGTTATCTGGTGGGGGATAGGTCCAAAACAGGAAAGTGCCTCAGAGGGCGCTCTGGTGAGATCTATACATTTTAAGAAAATTAATTTTTGGCTTCGCCCGATACTAAATTTAGTCATGCCAGTACAAGTATGATACGGTGCTTTGGCGTCAATCCATCAACCCCAGCCACGGCCTACGGTATCATACCATGGAAACGGCAACCACCCCCCCAATACCCCTTTACTACCAAACCACCCCAGATACCCCAGAGCAATGGACACCAATACTTTCCAAATCATGCACTTTCACTCAAGAGATATTCACCTCGGTAATGCACGAAATGATTCTCAATCCAAATTACAATTCCAGCTGGATTCTACGAGCCGATATCCTATCCGATAGCCCTGCACCCCCTCTCCAACTAGAGGCGGGTATTCTTGGGCCAATGCAAATACCAAATTTTACACCAAATCGGACCATTCTCCGCCGCTTCATACCCAGAAATCCACAGCGTGACGCAGCGGCAGAACAAACGTGCACATTTTACGAGGAGGGCCAAGATAGGCACGCGCTAGTAGTATACCAATCCCACTCCGAGACTCCCGGAGGGCTACCATATTACCTGCCGACAGTGCGGGCGCTTGCGTTCCAGTATTCGCAGGATGGGGAGGACAGTAAAAGCGTCTCGATATACTACCGCTTATTCCCAGACGTTCCTCTTAACAACCGGCTGGAAAGAACCGCCCTCCATCTCCTCACTAGAATCCATAAACTCGGTAACGGATTCACAGCGGGATATAATAAGCGAGTTCATCACGACCAGATAATCCCAAGAGAAACCTTTCAGACAACATACCTCTCGCTTCGCGAGCGGCATGCAAAGCGGTTAATCGGTAAATGGGTGGAAAATACTGATCCTGGGAAACACGTCTTCGAAGATATCCTCATCGCTGCATTCCTAATCGAGTTGTGGAAGGACATGGGCCGGAGCCTAGAAGCCGGCTTCGTGGACATTGGCTGCGGAAATGGTGTGTTGGTGGACATCTTGATCAAGGAGGGGTACGCAGGCTGGGGCTTCGACGCTAGAAGACGAAAAACTTGGGGTGTCCTCGGCTCAAGCACGGAGCAAAACCTTCACGAGATGGTCCTGATACCACGGCTGCTCGATGGGAGCGTAGATGATGGAATCCATGACGGCGTCTTCCCGGCTGGAACTTTCATCATCTCCAATCATGCCGATGAATTAACTCCCTGGACACCGCTCTTAGCTAAGGACTCGGAGTGCCCGTTCTTGATGATTCCCTGTTGCTCGCACGACCTGTCCGGTCGGCGGCATAGACAGGCGGGGAAGGGGAGTCAGTATGCTTGCCTGGTGGAGTGGGTGGCTAAGTTGGCGGGGGACGTAGGATGGGAAGTCGAGCGGGAGGTGCTGAGGATACCGAGCACGAGAAATGTAGGGATCGTTGGTAGGAAGATAGGAGAAGGTATGAAGGTCGAAGAGATACTGCGAAGGGAAGGAGGCGGCAGTGGGTGGAGTGAACGGGCATTGTCGTTGAAGGCTGGGGGGAATAAGGGACATTAGATGGGTTCGATTCAAGGTCTAACAAGGCACTTGGGGATACGAGTGCGGCCGATAGATATATTCGTCACGTGAGTCTGATAAGAAAGTTTCGGTGCACCTTTTAGCTGCGATTTGTCCTTAGATAAGGCACATGACGAATATATTTATCGGCCGCACTCGTATATTGGCTGTACATGTACAAACTCTGATAATCAAGCGGTAGACGTGGGGGTAGGAATACAAGATCCGAGCCTGTAAACGAGTAATCTCAATTGCTATTGTAGGAAGTTGTGGCGCGGCTATTGGACTGTGTGCCCTAGCGGCAAAAGCACTGTAAAGGTGTAGGTGGTGTCGAGAATCGATTTAATGGGTTCACGATGGCACAGCTAGCTGTAACGAGTCCGTCCGTCAATGTCGCAGTAAGTTACTCGTACTGTGTCTTGGCAAGGAACAGATCTCATAGCTAGCGTTGTTGGCACTGTCACGGAAAGTTGTGGCAGGGCACAACGCCTCGGATCGATGTGCCCGGCACGGCACTCTGTAGTGCCCAGGCAATCCACATATGGTTCCGGAAGGCTAGTCACTATACCAACTTTCACACCAAAAATGTGACGATTCCTGCGGCAACGGCAACCGTAACACTATGTTAAATGTTTACCCTACTGCCTTAAGTTGAAAACCCTGACTGTCTAAATCAAAAATGTGAGTTAGAAATTAAATAAATATATATATACCAGGTTGTAACAGGTGCCAACATTCAAAAATTAAGAAACATCATACCTCACCATCATGGATAAAGATCTCCAACTCCAACAGCGGCGTACCGTAACACGTGACCGTGTACGAAAATATCGTGCTGCTCATCCTCCTCCAGTTTCATCGATCCGATCAACTCCTATGTCAAATACCGAACGATCTCGCAAGTATCGCTTGAAGAAGAAAGAAAGTGTTAGGCGGCAGCCAATTCTAGGCCTGACGAATTGTAACTGGGGCCAATAAGGTTTCTCGGAGAGTGGTCAAGAAAGCTTGTAACAAAAGTATGTATCAAAGTATAACGAATATATTGATAAGATCTCTTCTCCGTTCGCTGATAGTTCTGAAAGCT